TGTACTCATTCATCAAAGAAAAGGAATTCAAATGTACATTACAAAGGGCCGAAGGCCGAGGGCATACAAGCATTCATTACAACGAGATTGTTCAAAACATGTTGAATTAAGAAATTACAAATTAACATCCCCGGGCGCCGTCTCCTCCGAAGGCTTTGAAGTAACCTCTGTATCGGCCTCAGGTTCGTCACCCTCGGCCTCCTTCATCAGCTCGGTGTCCTCCAGGTCTGGCCTCTCGACATCGGAGGGGAGCGGAACACGGACATCTGGCTGCAGGGGGAAGTCCGTACGCTGCCGGGTCAAAATCCTTTTGCTCAATCTTCAGGTGGCGGGCCATCCTCCGGTAGATAAGGGCTTGAGTGAAAAACTCGCCCCCACCATAGTACTGTTTACCCTTTCGGGAAACCCACTTCACACCGGGCCCATCGCACCACTCGTCGACCGAGGACTCGACGACCGAGGACAACCATTGCTTGTGCTCCTCTGCTCGCCACCCCCCTTGCCAAGAAACCAGAGATGGCGTCCCCTCGGGCTTTCTCGACGGCCTCCACCTTGGCGGCCTCGGCCTCCCTAACAGCTCTCTCAAGGGCCTCAGCTGCGGACCTCTCAGCCTCGGCCTTGCCCCGATCTGCGGCCTCCGCTCGCAGGGTCATCTGCCGAAGGCTCTCCTCCAGCATAGCCATCTTGTGGATGGCATCGGAATTTTGGCGGATGAGCTCCCGCATCTTAGCATCCTGCTCGGCCTTGCGAAGACGCCACTCCTCTAGCCTCCGGGCCTGTTCTCCGAGGGCAAGGCAGGTCTACAAAAAATACAGAAGTTAGGAAGGCCGTACATTATTTCCTAGCACAAAGTAAAAACGGTAAACTGTCAAACACTTACCGTGAGAGAAGACCAGAGGATCTTGTCCTCAAGGGCTTGGTCATCATCAGCCCCGAGGGTTGCTCTGTCAATCTCAGGGGTCATACCCCTCAGAAGCACCCTCGGGTCAGCCGTGCAATTCATCACGGCCGTTCCTACCGGGAGGGAAACCGTCAGGACCTCAGAAGATGGCTCCCGGACACCCCCCCGGCACCTCCGCCACCATCATCCCCTCATCATGCGTCCCGGAGGCGGGACAATCGTCAACAATAACCACAGGGGGGGCCTTTCCTCCCGGCATCTCCCGTCTTCGGCCTTTTGCCCTCGGGAGCCTTTCCCACGCCTTTTCTCTTGGCAGCAGCAGCAGCGTCAGTGTTTGGGGCCGCCGACGACCCCTCCGGCTTCTTGAAGAAGTCACCGGCGGGTTTTGGGACGCCAGCATCCGTTCCCTTCGGGGCCTTGGAGGACTTTTTCTTCTTTAAATCAGCGAGCCCCCTGACGTTCATCATGTTGACCAGGATACCTGCAAAACAATATGGGGTTAAAACCGAGGGGTCACTAACCGATGGCACAAAAAAAGAACAAACAACAAACAAACTATGTGCTAAGGTACGAAAACGAGGGTGCCCTCAGCCACTACCTCCGGAGGCTCCCTCAAATGCCGGGAACTTCTCATCTGTTTCCCCCAGGAAGCGAGACCGCCGGAACCCGAGGGTGTAGAGATCCTCCTCTTGGGTGCACTCCTTGATGGTTATGTTTTTGTCCCGGCCCTCCGGGATCTTTGCCAGGACCCTGCCATCTTTCTCGAGGGCGGTGCTCCTCCTCTTCTCGTGCCTCCTAAACCGGTCACGCAATTTCCTCGGAAAGGGGCTCTCGGTCAACTTCACGTAACACCACCGGTCTTTCCACCCTTTGTTCGAGGAGGGCGCCTCAGTAAAAAGCTTGAACAATGCCACGTGCTGCAAGTTTGCGAAGCCCTCGGCATTCGCATGCCCCCCCCCCCCCCGCACAGGGTTGAAGCTTTGGAAGAAGAGATCCAGGCTAGGTGTTACCCCCCGGGATTTGCAGAGCTGGAGGAAACCCGTGATGTAGGAATGGATGTTCGGGGTCAGTTGGCAGGGGACCAAACCCACGAACCGGAGGTACTCCCGGAGGAAGGGGTGTAGGGGGAACCGGAGCCCCATCGACACGGAGAGGATGTGCACCGCAATGCAGCCCTCGGGAGCCCGAGAGAGGACGTCATCGGGACCCGGTGCCACCACGATGGCCGAGGGGCCCATGTATAATTGAGTGACATAAATATCCGCCGCATCAGCTTTCGACCTTATCTCTAAGGCAACGGTATTCAAGTAGGAATACCCCTCGGGCATATCGAGGGGCTTCCCTTGGTCTGCAGTGCTGCCCTTCTTCTTGGAAGCAGCGACCTTCGCCTTCTTTTTTCCGGGGGCCACCCGGATGGGAACCGCGTTCAGCGGCCGAGAGGTGTTGGCCTCACCTGTGCCCCGAGGGGGGAGAACCACAACGTTGACCCTCGCGCCCTCTTTCTACGCCTCTTCCTCAGCTGCTTGCCAGGCGAGGGCCAGCTCTTCGTCTTCACACTCTTGTTCGAAGCCCTCGGCTTCCGCCTCAGCAACGAGGGCTCTCTGTAGCTCCATGGCAACGACAGCATCTTGTCCCACCGAGGGCTGTTCGCTTGTGGACTCCACGTCCGAGATGACTTCATCCTCCATCGAGGGCGCCCCCGAGATGTCCTGGGAATCACTTTGGGAAGACATCTTTGCGCTAATTCGAGGGCTCGGAAACGCTAAGTTTTCTAAGTTACAACTCCTAGATCTAAGGCAACTACAGCTAGCTAAGGAGGGAGAAGAACGGATGGGGAACTGACCTTAAAGCGGGGATTGACCTAAGGCGGCTGTTTCTCTCTCTAGAAATTTTAGCAGAGCTTCGCTACAATGATATCGCACAAGGGGAAGTGAAGCCGGCCATGGGGTATTTATAGGCGCTGGGATCCGGGCTTGGGCCTGGAAACCGGGCCTCCGGTTGGACTGCCATCATTACAAACCGTGGTTTCGCCCAATTGGTGACGCCCGTCCACGGGCAGCCAACGAACACACACCACGTGGCCACCCCCCCAACGGCTATATTCTGACGTTAGATATTCCAACGGCTATATTTCCATTGGCTATATTCTGGGAGCTCCCGGCTACACTTGACAGATCACTCCTTCATCAACCAAGAAACACTGGCCCCCGGGCTTTTTACTTCACTCCACTTCATCAAGAGGGGCCCCCGGGTACACTTACCCGGAGACACTCCCGGTTTGTGCCCCACACACTACATAACAGATGCCTTCGGGATCACCCCTTCAGAAGCCCAAGGCTTCATATCAGGCCACCCCTCGGGGATCCCCCCCTCAACACTTTGAAGGCCGGGTAGCCCCGGGGAAGTACGCCTCATTGACGGACAGCCTACGGCACACAGGTAATGGGACCCCTCGGGTACACTCCTCACCAACTAATCAGCAAACAGAGGACACCCCGACAACACTTCAACTGCTACTCACATTCATGATGCCCCCCGATCCCAAGATTGAGGGACTCCCCTTCGGCACCTCCCAAGATATCGACAACAAGCCTCCGGCTAATCAACACATGAGCCCTCAGGACAAGGATAGCCTTCAGCATCAGCATTGTACTCCATTTCAGACCAGGGTTTCACGTTTTCGATTCATCATTGGGGGAATTCGGTGCACTCTTTTTCCCTCATTAGGATTTTTTCCCACAGGGTTTTTCCTAATGAGGTTTTTAACGAGGCATCCCCCCAAAATGAAACGAAAACCATCAGCTTTCGGCCCAAATCAACAGCATGACTACTCTACTCCTTTCTCACCACTTTGCAAGTGCCTCCAGGAGTGGGGGACTGGGGAACCCCTCGGGAAAAAATCACAAAAATCACAAACATGACCCCTCAAGTCCCGACATGTGGGTAACTGAGGGACTGTCCTCGGCAGAATAAACAAACAACAAACTGCCCACAACTCTACAAACTACAACGGAACAACGGCAGAGGACAAACACAATTACTCCTTTTCCCTCAAGTACCTTTCGGCAAAAGGAGTGAGGGACTCCTGATGGAGTATATGGCCCGAAAACCCCCGGCCCACAGACTCCTACTACTCCAATGAAGGCCCAATAGGCCCAGGAAGCACAACAGGCCCAAATCACGGCGCCCAAGGCACCAAGCAGCCCACCACGCGCAACAGGGGTGCCTTCGGCCCCCTGGCCGAATGCTCTAATTCTCACATGAGGGCCAAGACAGGAAAACAAAGTTACTGGGGAAAAACGTCGAAAATCAGTAGCCCTCGGTATTTGGAGCCCTCGGCACTTAGGGGGTCCCCGGTACTCAGAGCCCTCGGCTAGTCATCTACAGCCGAGGGCACCTTTCCCGACATGATATCCGCTCCACATGCGTATGGATCACCGTACCCTGTACAATGTCCCATCCAACAGCCGCATTAAATGCGGCCACATGCAGTTGCCAGTGCCAACCGGTTGAGGTGACCTCTCGGCCAATGGACGCTTGACACGTGTCCCTGTCCGGCATTTATTGCTACTATAAATAACACCCCATTTCCCCATTTGTAACCACGCTGAAAAACTGAACACTTGCTAATATACTTTCTCTCTCTATACTTACTTGCTCTGACTTCTCCCTAGTTACTCCCCGTAATAACCCCTCGGATAAGCTACCCCCCGGGTACACTATCCATCATATGCATAAGAGGGGATCTCCGCAATAGACTCGACAAAATGAATGGTGATGCTCAACCTGATGAAAATGTCTAGGTTTTTTTGTATTGCTTGCTATCGTCTATTTTCTTCAACATTTGGCTATGAAATTTCTTGTTATCAAACTTCTTATCTTTTATTGTAAAAGACATGGGAATCGAGTTGTTCATGCTTTAGCAAAGCTATGTCATACGTTTCTCATCCAATTTTCCGTGTAAATTTGATTAGACATTGAATTGGACCGTAAGCTGAATCCAGAACGATTTAATTGAGTAACATGCAAACGAAAGGCGTTTTCTGGTCCCCCTGAACCGGGTTTTCGCTTCGCACCTTTAGGTGATGAAGAGGAGACCCGGTAATCTTTAAAAAAAAAATACACTGCTACAATACCAACATCTCTAATTAACCTATACATACATGCATTATCTAAGACTGCTTCAATAATCTATTGCTCAATTTAAAGGCTACAGAGGCAGTATAAACTAATAGGCAAATGGCCAAATGTATAAGAACAAGTAAAAATTGTGAGAGAAATTCAAAATCAGAGTCATCAGACTCGAATGGCTACCTGTAAGTCAATTAAGGTCGTGTTTGGATGATATGTTTTCATCTCTTAAAATTGGAACCAATGTTTCACTGCGTTGTCGATGGTGCGAACTAGGAGCTGTTTGGTTTTGGAGACGTCGGATCCCTCCATTAAACGATCTGTGAGTTGACACTTTCCCACCATTGAGCTCTATCTTCTCTTTGCTTCTATGATTTTGTTTCCATATTTATCCTTTGATTTACACACCATTCTTTCTGTCCGTTTTTTAATTTTCCTACTCTTTCAAGTTGTTGGTATTGGTTTCTAGGGTTCGAAACAATGTGGAGATCTAGGGCTATGCATATTGATTGCTTGGATTTCTCGTGGGCTAATTTCAATGAGCGAAGTTGGCACTACTTTTTTTCTTGAAATATTTATTCTTTATTTTTCTTTTCTTCCGGTTGGGATCCGAACACTTTGCCTTGTAGCTGTATGCTTGACGTTTCACCGTGCATGGTGCTCCTACTCGTCAATTTCATTTGTTTCCTAATGTCTGTCATTTTTTGGGGGGTTCATTTTTCAGGGTTAGCAAAATACTGCTTGTAGTAGAGTTCTGTGGCAATCGAAGCCCTTTTTGCATAAATGGCAGACCCGAGCTCAGTAGATGTGATACTGGATTTTTTAAGAAGGAACAAGTTTACTAGGGCCGAAGCTGCATTGCAAAGTGAGCTGAGTGGTCGTCCAGACCTGATTGGAGTTCTACAGAAGCTTGCACTTGAGGATAGTAATGGGTTCAACCCACCTTTGGAAGAGGCCAATGGGAATTGTAGGAGTAGTGGCTCAATTGATAAGGAGATAAGTTCAAGGAGCAGTAGAGATAACTTGAAGGAGCTTATTGTCAATGGGCCAGACTACAAGCTGAAGAATGTCGTTTGTGCAAAGGATCAAAGCAATGCTAATGAATCTATCTTGCAAAGTTCAATGGACGCTGCGAATGAATTGAACTCGAGAAAATACAATCCTACTATTAGTCCTTTCATTTTTCACCAGAGTGATGGGGAATGTATGGGGAACACATTTTCTGGGTTTCCAGTTTCTGGAAAGACAATGTCAAGTCCAAGTGATGGGCATGAAAATAGTGGCAAGGCTGCTGAAAAGTCTGGGGGAGATGGGTACAGTTTCTCTAATGAGATCAGAACATGGCCCGGAAGTACTAGTAAATCCACTCTGGAAACAAAGCAGGAGAAAAGTCATTACAGTGAACTCAAGGAGGTTGATCAGTCACATAAGAAAGCCCGATCCAAAGATGCTTTTGGTGATAAACCTTGGAATGACTGCATGGTCAAAACTGTTTTTCCTTTCTTAAAGGAAGACGTATCGAATTATTGTGATCGTAGTACTGTGATGGGTGACAAGAAAGAAGAAAAAAGACAACCATGTATTAGTGATATCAAAACAGCTAACAGAGAACAATGTGATGATATTGAAAGAACTTCATACTTTGGGAGGTCACTGGGAAGTGAACCAAAAGATCTCACTTGTTTTGACTTTCCCCTTACATCCGGGAATCAAAAGGAAGAGATGCCTAGATTACCACCTGTTAGGCTCAAATCTGAAGAAAAGTCATTTAATATCCATTGGGTGGAAAAGTTTGAACGAGATGGAGATGATTCAAGAATTGCAAATTCAGACAAGTCCTATCATATAGGGTCATTTCTGGATGTTCCTGTCGGACAAGAGACTAATCAGTCAGGAAAACGACCACCGGGTGGTAGTTGGCTCTCTGTGAGTCAGGGTATTGCTGAGGACACTTCTGATCTTGTTTCTGGTTTTGCAACCATAGGTGATGGAATCAATGATGCAGTTGACTATCCTAACGAATATTGGGACTCTGATGAGTATGATGATGAGGATGATGTGGGCTACACTAGACAACCTATTGAAGATGAGACATGGTTTTTGGCTCATGAAATTGATTACCCAAGTGATAATGAGAAGGGAACAGGACATGGGAGTGCTCCAGATCCTCAAAGAAATAAAAACAGAGAAGATGATGAACAATCTTTTGTAGAGGAAGATTCCTACTTTTCAGGAGAGCGGTATATCCCATCAGAAAATGTTGATCACGTTAGACCATCAGATGATCCAAGAGATCTGGCAGTTAATGAAATGTACGGAAGACCGAATGACTTTATTTCTCAATATGATGGACACTTGATGGATGATGATGAATTGAATTTTATCCGCTCAGAGCCTGTTTGGCAAGGGTTTGTCACAAAGACAAACGACCTTGTCATGTTAGGGGATGGAAAAGTCCTTAATGAGCGTCGAAGGACTTATTTAGATGAACTGTGCATGGATGATGATCAACACGGGTCAGTTAGATCCATTGGTGTTGGAATAAGCAGTGATGTTGCTGATATTGGCAGTGAAGTGCGTGGAAGTTTGGTTGGAGGGAGTATTGATGGGGACATGGAGTATTTCCAAGATAATGATGTTGGTGGTATTGGTGGGTTAACCCGGCTTATACTGCATGACTCAGATAAGGTTTTCTGTAAAAAAATTGCTAATCACAGTTCTGACAAGTTTATAACAGGCGTAGACAGAAGAAAGAGTCACCCAGATGGTGGATTCTCATTCCCCCCTCCTAGAAATGGACAGTCTGTTCAGACCATGTCCAATAAATATTTGTTGTCAAAGGAAGGGAGCTCATTTATTGCTACTGATGATATCAACGATTGTTTAGAAGAAAACGATCATATGCTTGTTCCATGGAGGCGCAAAAGTACTGATTCGTCGCCTGACGAGAGCTCAAAATGTGAAAATAATGTTGTTGGATCTGCAAATTCTAGCCCTTCTTCTCTTTCAAATTATGGGTATGCTGAACCAGAATGTGGGAAGAAAGAACATGATACACAAATAATTGCAAGAGAAGAGGATCTGAGGGTATCATTGGAGGATGAAGAAGCAGCCGCAGTGCAGGAGCAGGTGAGGCAGATAAAGGCACAAGAGGAAGAGTTTGAAACCTTTGATCTAAAAATTGTGCACAGGAAAAACAGGCATGCCATCTTTTTCTGAGTTTTCTGCTGATATTACTTTTATTTTCATGTTGTGTTTGTGAGTCTGGAAGCTATGGGTGAAGAAAAATGGAGAGTAGGAAGTAGGAGGGAAAAGGAAATGGGAAGCGAAGAGTCATTACATCAAGATGGTGTACTTGAAATCTATAGTCAATTTGGTAAAAATGTAAAATTTTATCCAAAAAGAGTACTAACCTTTAGACACGTGTGACACAGCAGGTGTTGACAACTTTCTTCATTCGAGGGGGTGCTGCATTTGTTAATATTCCGTATCCCTTGAACTAGAATGCCTGATATGAAATTGTAGATTATATTCAACATGAAAATTGTATAAATTAAATAAACATGAAGGAATTTCAGGATAAGTCGCATGATTAAGTTTTCAAAACTCAAAAGGGGAAGAAAAGATTCATTACATGAAGATGGTGTACTTGAGATCTATAGTCAATTTGGTAAAAGTTATCCAAAAAGAGTCCACTAACCTTTAGACATGTTTGTCACAGCAGGCGTTGACAACTTTCTTCACCTGAGTATGCTAGAATGCCTGATATTACTAGTTCGTTTTCCTTTGCTAGTTTGATGAAATTGTGGAGTATATTCAAAATGAAAAGTATATAAATTAAATAAATATGAAGGAATTTCAGTATATATTGCATGATTAAGTTGTCAAAACTCAAAAGTTGCACAAGCACTATCGGAATTTAAGTTACACATAATCAATGGTTTTTCCACTTGGTGTTAGAGAAGGCTGTGATTAAAACTCTTGGTTCCCTTAGATCTTCAGCTATATGGACATTAAAGATCTGAAATGAATTCAATACATAACAATATCAACCACAATGGTGGGTGGTGGCTTTGTGTTGTGCCTTATAGGAACATATTCATTGGTGTGTAATTAAAGGGAGTATAAGTGTATACCATATTATTTGAGTTCAAATTTCTTCTTAAGTTGCATATGTATGTAAGGAAAGTATATTATACGAGATAGTTACACTGTTACATGGATTGAGATTGTGAGGCCTAAAGCTTAAATTCTGTCGATGTTATTTTGTTTTCTTACTGAGTTACTGGTAACTTATATGGCTCATAATAAGATTACTTTGTACATAAACTGAGAAGTTGTAAAAAAACAGGTACCTTAAGTGAATCATGCTTCCCTTCATCGCTAAAATATGCATTTTCTGTATTATTTCGATGAATAGGGAATTCCAATGTTGAGCTTGTGCGCACTGATAATAACCCATTTATTTTTAGGCATCTTTACAAGGCGATGGATGTTGTCCTTCCCTCTTTCTCAGCTTTCGTGTGGGACTAAGTTAAGAATGATGCTTTACTTACTGATGTTTTTTTGTTCTGTTTTTTGGGTTCAGAACTGGGTTTGAGGAGGACAAAAATTTTCATGTTGTTCTAAACTCAGTGATAGCTGGGCGCTATCACGTAACAGAGTACCTGGGATCTGCTGCTTTCAGTAAAGCCATTCAAGCTCATGACCTTCATACTGGCATGGATGTTTGCGTGAAGATTATAAAGAACAACAAAGATTTCTTTGATCAGAGCCTTGACGAGATAAAGCTTCTCAAGTTTGTCAACAAGCATGACCCAGCTGATAAGTACCATATTCTTCGGCTGTATGATTACTTCTATTATAGAGTAAGTGGAAAGCTTATGCATGCAATAGTTGCAAATGAACTTTTATCTATGTATAGTTTGATTTGAGAGTGACTTTCTTTCCTTGTCTTACGTAGAATTATATAGCTCGATTGGCTTGCTTAATTGCTCTCCTTTTCAATTTTCATGTGGGGTCTTTTTCTTTCACCCCCCTTGATTTACAATTATGTGCTTTCCTCTGCACATAATTCTGCTCTATACATTTTCAATTCTGCTCTATACATTTTCAGGAACATCTACTGATTGTATGTGAGCTGCTGAAGGCAAATTTGTATGAATTCCATAAATTTAATAGAGAATCTGGAGGGGAAGTATACTTTACGATGCCAAGACTGCAGGTTTGTCCGGTAGAAGATCTTTATGGATGTTGTTAAATTTCTATTTCCTTGGGTACTGAAATTTTATGGTTTTATGCATAGTCAATCACGATTCAGTGTTTGGAGGCACTTCAATACTTGCATCGCCTGGGGCTTATACACTGTGATTTGAAACCTGAGAATATTTTGGTGAAAAGCTACAGTAGATGTGAAGTGAAAGTCATTGACCTTGGAAGCAGTTGCTTTGAAACAGATCATCTCTGTTCATATGTTCAATCTAGATCATATCGTGCACCTGAAGTAATTTTAGGACTTCCATATGACAAAAAGATTGATATATGGTCCCTTGGCTGCATATTGGCAGAACTTTGTACTGGCAATGTAAGCTCCTTATGCCCCTCTGTATACTAGTGTTAGATATTTATTTTCTATGTACCTTTGGTTAAATAAGTATTCTATGTTCACAAGTATGATCTATTAATTTTTACTAGGCATAACCTAACCTACATATGGTTTAGATGTGCACTTGTCTTGCTTATATCGCTTTATTTCCAATGACATCATCTTGTTGATAGGCAATGGATTGATCGAAAAATGAGTTATTATGTGTAACTTATGAATAAACATGGTTAGTTTATATGTAGCATTGGTTTTTGGTAGACACATTGAATGATCGACTTTGTTGATGAACCTATTAGCTTCTTTGGGTACCCATAGATGCTCAACAATGTTTGTCCTTCTCTTCAGGTCCTTTTCCAGAACGAATCTCCTGCCACATTACTTGCTCGAGTTATTGGTATTATAGCTCCAATTGACCAAGAGATGCTTGCTAAAGGAAAAGATGTGTTCAAATATTTTACCAAAAATCACATGCTTTATGAAAAAAATCAGGTTAGTTTCATATGACCCTGATCTTTTTCTTTTCTTAAGATCTTTGTTTTATGATCAATTCCATATTACTACTTTATAATGCTCTAAAAAGCACTAGACACAAGGTGGGGCCTAACTGCCTAAGAGAGGTCATGCAAAGCATAGTTGAGATCAATTTGAAGGGGGAAATGTAGGCGGTTGTAAGTTGTAACTCCCTTTGTTTTCAAATGAATGTCCCTTCAGGCTAGTCAGCAATAAACTTTTCGTAAATCAAGATAAATAGACTATTACTCCGGTATATGACTACATTCCCCTTATTTAAATCAGTAAAGAAATGTAAAATAGTATTATGCAGCAGTGAAAGCCTGAGAAGGATAGTTGTGGGAGTGAGCAATTAATTCTCTCTTGATATTTTAAAGCATCACATATTTGAGAACAAATCATTCTCTAGAGATAATTATTTAAGAATAGCTAGAGTATTACGGAGTAGTTATTAGTAATCTACTATCCATCTATTACAATGGTATTTGCAATACAGCCATTACTACTACTGCATTCACGTCCATTTGCCTGCATATATGTTATTATGTACTGAAATATTTAATCATGGATGAATGTTTTTGATAAATTTTTTATGTATTATGAAAGAATTTATGCACAAACAGTTCATGGTGATATGTGTGCCGTGCGTGCGTGTGGGTTTACTATATTGCACCAAACAGTATTAAAGAGTACGTGTTTCTGTTTAATTTTGGGCATTTTGTCTTCAGGAAACCGACCGACTTGAATACCTAATCCCCAAAAAGTCATCCTTAAGGCACCGGTTACCAATGGGGGATCAAGGGTTCATTGACTTTTTGACTCATCTACTAGAGATTAACCCGAAGAAGCGACCCTCTGCCTCAGAGGCCCTAAAACATCCTTGGCTCTCCTATCCATATGAGCCGATATCATCTTAAGAAAGGAGAAAGAGAATGTGCTTCTGTGGTGACTACCTAGGAAGGGATGCCCTCCAAATGTGTGTATATTATACCTTCCACATCACAGAGTATTTTAATGATGCATCCATTTGTAAACCTAGGTTTTCTTTTTCGTCCTTTTTCACTTTTGTGTTTGTACATGTGTGTTTTCAATTAGTCCTAGATGGGAGGAGGGAGGTGTTCATTCTTTTTAGGTAATGTTAGTGTATCCAATTTTTGTTGGCCTTACAACTAATCTGCTGAACTGTATCATTGTGATATGTATTAACCTCACTTTAAAATTCATCTCAAAATTGGTAACTAAGCAGAATTTCTTACTGAAGCTGTATACTTCGTATTTTGGAGCTATATGATTGATAATTAGTTGATAAAGTGGGAATAAAGTAAGAAGGAATTAGAATCACACAAATGTTACCAAATGTTACCAAATATGGTATGAGACAAATAGAGGGACATCCAAAAATGGAAAAATGTGATAATTATAGAGGGACGGAGGGAGTACATCATTCGACGTCGTAGCTAAAGCATTTCTGCATTTTTTCTTTACAATAGCTTATATCTGTAAATAAACCGGTCATAGTTTTATTACATTCGACGTCGTAGCTAAAGCATTTCTGCATTTTTTCTTTACAATAGCTTATATCTGTAAATAAACCGGTCATAGTTTTATTACGGAGTAATAAAAAGTTTTATTTTCAAAAAAAAGTTTTATTACGGAGTATTTATAAATCATTGGAAAAACTTTGAAATATGTCCCTATAGGCCTATACTTTAACAAAAATGTCAATTGTATACCCATACTTTAAAAACACTCGATCAAATTCCCGAATTTAAGATCGGTCAGCAAGTTACTTGTTGATGTGACACACTATGTGGTAGCTTAGTCGGCAATTAAATTATTGAAGTGGTGGCCTATATGTGTGTCCACCATCACTTAATTGATGATGTGATACACACATGGGCTGCTAGGGGTGGACTCGGGCCGGGCCAACCGGTCCGGCCCGCCACTGTGCGGGCCCGGACCGGCCCGGGAACCGGTTCGTTGGGCGGTTCGGGCCACACGGCCCAGTGGATTCTCGGTTCGGGCTCGGGCCCTTCAAAAGGTGAACCGGCCCGGCCGGTTCGGGCCCGTGCCGGGCCAATTTTAATTTTTTTTTTGAATTTTTTTTGAGTTTTTGGGTTGGGCTGGTTATTTTGGGCCATTTGAGGTGGTTAGGGTTGGTTTGGGGGTGAGGGGGAGGGGTGGGGGTTAACTAGGAAAAGCCCAAAAAAAAAAATACCCGAGGCCCGGCCCGGACCTGGGGGTTACCCGGGCCGGTTCCGGGCCTCCCCTTCTTGAACCGAGGCCTGGTTGGGCCCAGGCCTGAATCGGGCCCGAACCGGCCCGAGTCCACTCCTATAGGGGCTGCTAATAGGCCAAGGCCCGCCCAGGCACTAAACAGTATCGGGTCAGGTCGACTCGTCCCAGTCCATCAATATGTATCGACATGTCAATGTTTTTGGCTTTTGCTTAGGGTTGTACATATTTAATTGGTTTAAACGAATCGTACTAAACAGAACTAAACCGAATCGAAACTAAATCATATGCAATTTGATATGAGTTTGGTATTATTTCTTCCAAATCATATTAAATTGAATCAAATTGAAATGGTGAAAAAATTGTATAAATTGAATTGAACTGAAACTGTAAAAAAATTGAATAAAATTGAATTAAAATAAAACTGTGAAAAAATCGAATAAAACTAAATCGAATCATAAAATTCAATAAAATCTTAACATATTTATAAAAATATGAATTTCAAATCGAACTGAACCCAACTAAATTAAACCAAACCAAACATTCTTTCAATTTTAAAGCGAGCCGGACTGAAAACTAATAAAAATGGAACATAAGCTCATATATCCGTCTAGGCATGGACTGGGTCGGTTCAGCCCGTTACTGTGTGGGCCTGGCCCGGCTTGACACTCTATTGTGCGGACCCGACTCGATCCTCTACTGTGCAGGCCCGGTCCGGTCCCGATTCTAACCTAGGCCAGTACCGGGCCTTCATCCCAAAACCCGGTCCCGCCCCAATCCCGACCCGACCCGGTCCCGGTCCAATCCTATGCCCCCATCCCACATGATACCTATTACCTAATGCCAATATCCATATTTGTAAGTTGTATTATTCGTAGTATAGTTTAGCTAGTCATGACATGATACCTAATGCTTCGTTATTTAGCAAGGACTATGTTGTCCTGTAAAAAGAAAAGCAAGGGCTATGTTGTGACTTGTAAGGCAATTTTTTGCACATCTCAAAATTTCAACTTTATCCTTCCTAGGGTGTAAGAATTTGATGTGAAATCGGTGGGCGTAGCTCAACTGGTAGTAAGGGAGTGTCACAAGGGTTAGGTCCCATGTTCGAATCGCGATAACTGCGATGAGAGGTTACTATGCTAAAAATGCATAGGGACTCTGCAAGTACCGGGGACAGAGCCATACTCTCTATCTGTCAGATTGTGATTATAGTCCAACTTACATCCTCCCAACGTACCGTCTGATCAGGGTTGGGGGCCCCTCAGGGATGGGGGTGTCATCCTTTTTTTTACGAATTTGATGTGAATGTCCATCATATATGACTTGTGCCTCAAGCGGGATCAGTCCAATCCTTTAGGGTCGAATTTTTGCTAAATCCTGAAATTACTCGTTAAATATCAAGTTATAAACATTAGGGACCGGGACAATGCACACTATATTTGGTCCAAGTCAGGTTCTTGATAGCAGGGATGGATTCAGGTGGGGGGGGGGGGGGGGGGGGGGGGGGGCGACTGCCCTCTTGAACTTTCAAATTTTTCCATTATATATGTAATATTTTTATAGAAGAATTATACATTAAATATATATATGTGTGTGTGTGTGTGTGTGTTCGTCACCCTTAACTTTTAATTTTCAAAATTAATATATAGCCTTACATAATGCAATACTTAATTGGAGAATTAAAAGAATAAACATCTAAAATAATTTACACATCTTAAACAAATAAACAATAGAACAACTGAACAACTCATTGACGTTTAAGACTTAGGATACTTCTTATTTAAAATTCCCAAATTTGTAATGTTTAGATATCTTTATTAGATAATTAGTACTCGATTTTGTAAAATCTCAAACGATATTGTTGGAAAAAGGTGTTAAAATTGCATTAAATGTCGTCGTGTATGTATTAATGATTTTTTTTTAAATAAAAAATAGCCGCAAAGCTCTACATTAGTAGAAAAAATCACCCCACTACGCTAGCGACCCCCCCCCCCCCCCCCCCCCCCCGCACTACACTAGCGAATAAATTTCACCGCCTACACTAACGAAAAAATTTCGTCCCCCTTGACTCTGAATCCTTGATCCGTCCATGCTTGATAGTCGGGTTCGGTCGGGGTTCAGGTAGGGCCGGTTATCCGAAAGAGAAATTATCACCTTATCCTTTTATATTTTAAAACTTACTATAATTTCAAAGAAAATTACTCAAAAATCGAAATTGTAAATAAGACAAATATTAATCTCCAAAATCACCAACGACTCAAATCCAAACAAAATATTTTGTCTTAATTTTGTGTTTAAGATACATAAACATGTGACTAAAGTTACTAAGAACATATTTTCACGATCACTACGATATACAAATTGAATATGATTAGTCACTAAAAGTTATCGAGTCACTTTTTTTTGCCCGACATGCTAATTTTACTCTATAATATATTCAGAATTATTTCTAAATAATATATTGATTTAGTATTAAAGGTGATTCTTTCGGATTTGACTAGTCTAGGCCGTGTTATAGATTTTAGGGACTGCTAAAGAAACTGACTTTTCAGGTTTGCGTCTGATTTTTTCGGGTCATCCAAAAATAAGAAAATTGGGACATGTCACATTTTTATCCGTACTAGGATCGGTTTCCAATTTTTGGTTCAATTTTTCTCACCTCTACTTGTGCCAAATATTTTTAAAATGTCATTTTGTACTTGATTTTGCAACCAAGTGCTATTCTTACGTACAAATTGTTGGAAAAATATGTTAAAAATTGCATTAAATGGTCATTTTGGGGCAATTATTTGAGTGGGCTCCACTTTCGATTTGGATCGGGTCAAAGTGGTTTCGGATTTTCCTTGTTAAGGGCTACAATTCGATATGTGTACACTCAAAACGGATAACGGGTGAATGAGAAATTGATTCTCGAAGTTCACTCGTTGAAATGGAAAAACTGGGAAAATGATGAGTTTCTAGTGTGTTTATCTCACACTGGAAAACTCAAGGGATTTTCACCCCCTTATAAAGGGAAGCCTCTTTGAAGGAGTTAAGATTTCTAAAGGTAAAGGTTCTCTCTTGTGCGCAGGGGGGTGCCAATCAAATCCCGAAACGGAGAAGAAAAACCGCGACTCGTGTACGTGAGCGACCTGCGGACACGAATGTCGTCCGAAAATCTATCATTCAAAGATACGGTCTAATTTTCAACACACAACACACAAGACATTCCTCACGTTTTCTTGAGCTAAAAACACTTACAGCTACTCTGCAAATTCCTTCTGTGTTCATATTTGGTTCTCGTTCGCTGGAACTCTTATTTGTGTGCTGAAACATTAGTTCGTAGTCATCGTATCCTGGGAAACGATTGTTGCAACGCTCCTAGCACCGTGTGAGGCAACAAATACGTTTTAAGGACATCGTGCGTAGCACGAGCTTTGACTAATTCTGCTTCATCTACCTTCTTGTTTTTCTCTAGTCATTTTATTTAATTAATTTATTTTAATTAATTTCTTTTATTTTCCGAAACACACCCATCACAAATTGTCATTCTTCCATACAACCTAGTGCCATTCAAAAATATAATTGTCGAGAGAACACTTGAACTAATCATCATAGTAGGTAAAAATTGCGAAAATCCCATGACATGATAAAAGTTAAATCCTTTAAAAGTGCCCATGAGTTCTAAATGACGATATATAAATGAAGATGTCATAGAAGCACTGGTTTATATAATTAATTTTTAGCATATTTCAATTCGATTTTGCAATTTAATATTAAAATATTAAAATATTTGGAACGAGGTCCTTGATAATATCATGTGACATAAGAATTTAATTCCTTATCTTTTAAAACAAGAGTTAATTATCAAAATAGGACTAAAAGTCATTCACTTTTCACAAATAGGACCAAAAAATGAACTATGTTTGCATAGGACTAATTATGTGTACCTTGGACAATTATACCCTTATAGCTATTAAAATGTTTTAATTCCTAATAAAATAATAAAAAATAATAAAAATTCGTAAAAAATACTAAAAAATTAAGAAAAACATTTCGATATTAAAATTTAATTAATTTTTTTTTCAAAAAATTAAAAAAATTAAAAAAAATTAAAACTCAAAAAAAAATAATCGTCGCCGCCTCTGCCGCCTCAGCACCACCACCTCCAGTCACCAGAGGAAAAAAATTCCAAGTTCATTACGAATGCCATATTTATGACAGAAAATATGAAAATGTGGGCATTCGAAAAGAGAAATATGCCACTTTTTTGGCATTTTCAGAAAAAAATGGCATTTTTCTGGGAAAATGGCATTTTTTTCATCGCCCAAAGGTGGTGGTGCTGGGAGGTAGTACAGGCGGTGGGAAAGGCATCCATATTTTTTAAAATTTTTTTACGGAGTTTTACTATTTTTTATTATTTTTTTTAAAAATAATTTTTTTTTAAAAAAAGTTTTTGAATTTTTTATTTTATAAAAATTTTATAAATTTTTTAATTATATTTCTACGAATTTTTGATTTTTTTTCGAATTTATTATGAATTAAACATTTAATTATGACTTTTGACTATTTTTAATTAATATTTAATGGAAGGGTAAGAATGGAATGCAAAAATAGGTATGTTTCCAATAGGACTCATATGGTCCTATTTTGGAATAAAAACATAGCAAATCCTATTTTAGGTTTTTGCCATAGTTTTAGTCCTATTTGAACTAATTTCTATTAAAACAATGTCCTCGATGACATGACATAAAGACTTCTAATCTAGGGAAAAATAAATACAATACCCCAAATTTTGAAGGGGTGTGAGATGAACACCATAAACTCACATATATATTTTAAATACTCCAAACTTTATATATATATAGTTATTTAAATTTGGCACCTAAGTCAATTATTATTTCTTTTAAAAAAGTAAATTTATGGTGTTAATTGCATAATTTAAAATATTTTAGAATTCATGAAAACACAATTAACATTATAAACTTCTATTGCAAAATAAATAGAGCTTTTTACAAGAATATTACTAAAATAAAACATATTTATATAAATATGACTATTCATTACTACAATGTGATATTGTGATAACTTAAGCTCAAAACTTGAACATCAATTACTACGATTTCATTACTACTCTAGTCACTAGTCATATTTTTGTAAATCAACTTTAGTTTGGTCATATTTATGTAATTATATCAAATAAATAATGTTATCCTCAATCTATATAATTGCAACACTTTTAATTTGCTATTTTAAAGAGAAAAGGGTCAAATAAGGCCTTCTACTATTATGAAATATTTACATAAGGCCATATCAATAAAGTGTCATATAAGTACATCTACTTCTAAAAAGCAATCGAATGAGTCATAATGACCTATTTAACACCTCTAATTCCGGTTTCAACGTACTTCTGACCATCTCTTTAGAGTACATTATATGTCATATGTCGAATATTTAACTAAGATTGATTAAAATACAAGTCAAAAAATCGACATGTAAGCTAAAATCATGATTATGAGGTGTTAGTTAAGTCGTTATGACTCATTTGATTGCTTTATACAAGTAGAGATACTTATATGACACTTTATTGAGTACATGGTCTTATGTGACTATTTCTTAATAGTAGAAGGCCTTATTTGACCCTTTTCTCTATTTTAAATTATGCAATTTACCCCATAAATTTACATTTTTAAAAGAAATAATACATAACAATGGTGCGAAAATAACTTTTTATATAACGTTTGGGGTATTTAAATTACATACGCAAGTTTGGGGTGTTTACTGCACACCCCATCAAAATTGGGTGTATTTTTATTATTTTTCCCTCTAATTTTTATATAATTGTTTGCTATTTAGTGTGACAAAGCCAAAAAATATATGATTGGGAGAGTCTTCGGCAATTTTTATATTGAGAAGATCAAAGTTTAAAGCTGACATTTATCTCATAAATTATAAATGTTTATAGGTATGTCACATTTTTTTCATATGTATTATTATTGTGTAGGGAAAAGGGGTAAGTAAGCCCACATATTAATCCAAAAAGGTCAAATAAGCCCTTATATAGGAGACTCTGTCTGGCCGTCGTCATTTGGGGCAGTTGCCGATGGATTTTTTTGTGAAATATTTTTAGAATCTTATTCATTAAATCTAGTTTACTCATATCAAATTTCAGCTAACAATTCAATTGGGAATGCATTCAAATAAATTCTTGAAGATAACTGTGCTTTTAACTGCGCAGTTATCTTCAAGAATTCATTTGAATGTCTTTCCGATTGAAGTTTTAGCTGAAATTTGGTATGAGTAAACTAGAATTAATGAAAAATATGCTCAAAAAATTGAATCAAAAATTTCCACCGGGAACCGCCTCAAATGACGATGGCCGGACATAGCCTCCTATATAAGGGCTTATTTGACCTTTTTTTGTTAGTACGTGGGCTTATTTGCCCCTTTTCTCTTATTGTGTATGAATTTACTTCTTAAAACAATTTTAATCAACTTCTTTATTTAAAGAGCTGAAACAATTATTAGAATATTTGGGTGAAAGTGTAGAATTACTTTTGAGTGCTCCAAAATAACTTCCAAAAGCACCCTTTTAGAAGCTGGTGAGACTAATTTTGAAAATCTGATTCTGATTCTACTTTTATTTTTTAAAAAAGAATTAGAAGTAGAATCAATTTCAAGATATTTTATTATGATGCTTTACTTTTTATTGACATTATCATTTTAAGTATTCTACTTCGATACCAGGGTTCTCCATAATGAGCTATTGAAGACTTTTGAAGTGTCTTTTGAGATATATCTAAGTTTTGTTTGATAAATGAGTAAATGTAATTTTTAGCATAAAACAACTTGTGTTCACTTTGAAAAGAACCATAAAATTCACAGTGAGATACTTTATGGCCCTAAATCTTAAGGGCGCTTACTAATTTGTTAGGATTGTAACAACTTTCAAAACCACTTCTAATTCTTGAATCTCATGAACCATAGAACGGCCCATATATGTTGTTGTGTGTATACTCGTTAAAATGATGCTAATGGCATGCCAATTATGTCATTAACTGGTGTCAAGCAAAACACGGTTAAAGATACCTTAATTCTCAACTTCAACTCAAAAGTGGGAATCACGCACCTCACATGCTCAACAAGACCCATGATAAAGCTCTCAAACTGTCGTTGTCGGTAATTGAGCATTTGAGTATGAGACCTTAACTTAACCAACTGTCTTATTCAGTCACAATTGAACTACCCATGCAGGTCAAACCAACTTATTAATTATATCATGATAAAGGGTTTAATGCACATTATGCACCAAACCTCCATGTGATATGGAAATTTATCACATTAGCTCCATTTGATTTAAAAAACGCGTCAAATCCCTCCGTGTTTTAATTAATTATGCACAAAACTCCTTCTATGAACAAATTCAATTGTCAAACAAAAGAAAAATGATTAACATTTTTGTATGATTTAGAGATTTTGGCATATTTACTTGCATATTTAATCAGAATATTAGGAAAAAGGATTATGTGCACGATTAATTAAAATACAAGGGAGTTTAACACATTTTTCAAACCACATGAGGTTAATAAGCTAAATTTCTATATCACGAGAGAGTTTGGTGCATTAAACTCTAATGATAAATAATGAATCGCTATCATAGTATCATCTAATCCATTTATTATTATTCACTTCCGATTTCACATTTTTTAAAATTATTTTCTAATGATGATAAAAAAAATTCTAATGGAAGAATTAAGGGTTCATCATAGGGGTGGGCATTTCGGTTTTCGGTTCGGTTTTTCTTCGGTTTCGGTTCGGTTTCGGTTTAATCGGTTTGATAGAAAATGTACCAAATACAAACCGATTAAATTTCGGTTTGGTTTCGGTTTGGTATGGTTCGGTTCGGTTTGGAGTTCGGTTTACCAAAGTATTAAGGTTTAGACTGGAAAAAATTAACTCAAAATAATGAATCAAGAAGCGATAGTAATGAACCAAATATAATGTTAGATATAAATTTGCAAACAGTAACAAAACACATATGAACAAAAAATATATAAGCATGACACATTTGTAAGCAACAACAACAACGGAAATGAATCAAATTATATATAAAGCCGAAACAAAAACAAAATTGGTGCTTGTAAGTAATGAATCAAATATATAGTAGTAGTAGTAGATAATAAATTATAGTTAAATACTATCTACTTAAAACACTATAATTGTTATAGTTGTGAATATAACTCTTGTAGTAAACTCTAGTCCTGAACATTAAAATTAAAGAATTAAAGCTTCAAAAAGATTAAAATCAATCAAGTTAATGAGAGAAATCTTATATTTTGGTTTGGTTTAGTTTGGTGTAAGTTGGTTTTGATTTGTTATTTAAAAAAAATAAGAAACTATTTCATTTTTAGATTAGTTCGGTTTTATTCGGTTTTATTCAGTTTTATGATTTCGGTTCGATTTGATTCGGTTTAATATGGGTTGGGAGGAATACTATCAAACTCAAACCAAATTATAAATGGTTCGATTTCGGTTCGGTTTAATTCGGTTTGGTACGATTCGGTTCGATCAAACCGAACCGTTATGCCCACCCCTAGTTCATCATATTCTTTTCACTTTGGTAATAAAAAGTGGAAACAAAGGTTGGCTTATAACTCTACGTTGGGAAGCGGGTAGATTCGATCTTACCAAGTGAACGAATCTTAGAAGAATGTATACATACGTATATGCAAGGTTGACCCAAGCCTGGCCGGAATAGAAGAAGGCCAAAATGGTCAACCTCAAAAGAAAAGCCTACCATTACCAGGCCAGAAGGTCACCACGTTCCTCTTCCTCCTCTCTCTAAAAAAAGTACTCTTGAGAAGAGAGAGAGAGAGAGAGAGAGAGAATCGCTCTTATTAGCGTGTGGGGTGTTAAGGTCTTTAAGGTTATGCTTGGGCACGAAGTGTCTTGACTTCCCATCTCAGAGAATGGGAGTCCTGTTTTGGCGATGGAATCGATTGGGTACAATTTGGTTGCGGAGGTATTGAATTGAATGAATTACCTTCATTTTTGAATTGCCATTTTCCAGTTTCCATCATCAACTCTTCTTTGCTTTCTGCACAAAAAATACAAACTAAAAAGCTCTTATCTTTCCGCATTCTTGTAGATTCTTATTCTGTTTCCATATACGTAGTACGTAGTATTATTCTGCCTTAGTATCTTTCAGACTTTCACTATCTTCTTTTTTAAAAATCAATTCTCTCAAGTTGATGCTTTGCTTTCTAGGGTATCAAAAACAATTTGAGCTCTTGTGTTTTGGTCATTGGTTCCTTAAATTTTCATTTTGCTATTTTATACAAGTAAATTTGGTAATGCATTCCAGTTCCCTGTGTTTCCCAAGAATTTTTGTTTTGCCTGGTGGGATCTAACATCGAAGTATGTAAGCTCACCCTTCCTTCCTCACTCTGTTTAGACATTTTGATGCTACCATGTTGCTACAGGGTTAAGCTGTAGTTGTCTTGGATATTGGGTTAAACGTGTCATCTTTCAGAACAATTGTTCTAATCTCTGCTTCACTATTTTTGCTTATATCACCTTGCTAATTTTCAGGTTCAGTGAAATATTGGTAGTGCTAGGGTTTTAGGGGGGACTTACAAGTTTGTTTGCGTCAATGGGAGACTTGAGTTCAGTAGACACAATTCTAGAGTTTTTAAGAAGGAACAATTTTACTAGGGCCGAGGCAGCATTGCGTGGTGAACTGACTAACCAGCCTGATACGGATGGAGTACTTCAAAAGCACACTCTAGAGCACAAGGTGCTGAACGGACCTTTGGATGAATCCAATGGACGGAAAACCTCTAGAGAGAATATGGGGACGGATTATCAGAATAAAGGGGAGTCTGGAAGAGACATGGGTTTCAGGAGCAGCACTGAGGTCTCAAAGGAGTTCATAATCAGTGAGATAGAGTATGGGTCTTGGAGGAATGGGCCAGGTTGCAAGTGGAAGAATGTTGCTAATTCAGGGGAGCAAGGCAAAGTTTGTGAGTCAGTTAGTACAAGTGAAAACAATTTCAAATCTAATGGTTCAAAAGAGATTGCATTTGATTTGTACTCGCTGAATTACAATCCTAATAATGGACCTGATGTCTCTCATCAAAATGATTGTGGAAGTGCTAATATGGAGTCAGTTATTGGAAAGGAATTGCTTAATCCAAGTGAGTCACACAATGAGCTGAGAAAATCATCTCTAAGGAGTACTAACAAAACCCCTATGGAAAGAAAGCAGGAGAAGAGTCAAAAGCAAAGTGGGTCTTGCCCACAAGATGCATTTTCTGATAAATCATGGAATGACTGTGCGCTAGAAACTATTTTTCCATTCTCTAAGGAAGATGCATCAATGTGGTATGATCATAAAACTGTTATTGGTGATAAAATAGAAGTTAAAGGAAAGCCTGAGATGATTGACATTAAGACAGCTATAGAGGAGCAAGCGGATGAAATTGGAAAAAGATTGTACTTCGCAAGGGCATGTGGAAGCGGGCCAAAGGATCTTAGTGGCTTTGATTTTGCACTTGCATCAGAGAGCCAAAAAGAAGAGCTACCCATTTTGCCGCCTGTTAGACTCAAATCACAAGAGAAGTCATTTAATATTCTGTGGGAAGAAAAATGTGAACGAGATGGAAATGACTCCAGTATATTAGATACCGATAAAACTTATCGTACGGGATCATTTCTGGATGTTGCTGTAGGTCAAGAAATCAACCCTTCAGGTTTGCTCCTATAATTTATAACTTTGACTAATTTTTTGTTTTAGTAGGCTGTGAATTGGAAAATATGCCACATCCCTATGTTTTATAATCCATGGAGTTATTAATTTTCTTGCGGAAATTTCATTATTTGGATTTGTGTGCAATTTTTTCATCCTTTATCTGTGGTTTAGAGTGTGACCTGCTGGAGTTTAAAGGCTAGTCCATGGCTATTTATAACTTTGGCTCTTACTTTCTCATTGGATGTGATGTGTATTTGGCCTAACATTTATATTTGTAATCCGTGCTACTTAATTTTCGTTCAGCTATGTCATCATTTGAAATTTTGTGCAGCTATTTTCCTTCTTTATGAGTGATAAGGCGGATTGACCCTGAGGAAGCAGTCAGCTCAACTTTGGTAGCCGACTCACTCTCCCATATGGGAGGTCTCAGGTTTGAAACTCCATGGAGGGAGTTTCAGCCCTGTTTACCCCAGGCTCCCCCTCATAGGAATCTATGGTAAACTGAATTTGGATCATTAAAACATTGTCAAATTTTGGTATAGTAACTAATAATTAACACACTCAAATTAAACTTTGATAGGCACTTGACTTTAGATAGTGGGTTATACTGAAGAATAGTGAGAATAAGACAATGATATACAATTAAAACATTGCTGATTTTCTTGCTACAAAGAAACTCCAAGGTTATAGGCTTTTGAACGGTATTAGTTTGATAATTAACGCCTGACTTTCGATCAGTGAATATAGGTTACAGACATACAAGTGTCTCCTCTTTTGTTTTTATAATGTGGGTGCATGGGACCATTTTGACCTGAATAATCCCACGGGCCCTAAAGTTAATGACCAGGTAAACCTCGAGTGACCCTATGGGGATCAAACTAGTGATCTCAGATAACTTTTTATTCCTGGTTTAAAATCAGTTGAACAACCGAGAAAGGTTGTGTCTCCTCCTTTCTATATATTATGGGTTTGTGTCATGTTAATTTGTTAGGGTTTGTGTCATGCTAATTTGTTAATACTTAATATGTTGATGGCGCCATTCTGATTATGTCCAGGTGTTAAAGGGCATGTTGGAAGAGGTAGTTTGCTCTCTGTGTGTCAAGTAATTGCTGAGGACACTTCTGACCTTGCTTCTGGTTTTGCAAGTATTGGTGGACTTAGTGAACAAGGTTTCTATCCAAATGAGTATTGGGACTCTGATGAGTATGATGATGATGATGATGTAGGTTACACTCGACAACCTATTGAAGATGAGGACTGGTTTTTGGCCCATGAAATTGATTATCCAATTGACCCTAAGAACAAAACAGGAGATGAGGATGTTCCTGATCCTCAAAGAAGTCAAAACAGAGAAGAAGATGAACAATCATTTGCAGAAGAGGAAGACTCTGACTTCTTGCGCGAGCAGTATGTCAAATCAAGAGCTGTTGATGGAATTGGGCATGGAGATGATCTCACAGATCTGGTAATCACAGAAAAATACTGGAGAGCTAATGATGAGTTCACTGCTCAATGCGATAGCCATTTGATAGACAAGGATGAACTAATTCTGGCCCCTGCAGAGCCTGTGTGGCAAGGGTTTGTCACACAGACAAATGAACTTCTCATGTTAGGGAATGAAAAGCTCCTAAGTGAATGTGTGAAATCTCATCTAAATGAGGTTTGCATGGATGATAATCACCATGAGTCAGTTAGATCCATTGGTGTTGGAATTAGCAAAGATGCTGCTTGTGTTGCTAGTGAAGTTCGGCAAAGCCAGGTTGGACTGAGTTTTGATGGGGATATTCAATATGTCAGTGACAGTCATGTCAGTGTTGGTGGGTCCAGACATGTATGGGATGCCTCGAGCAAGACTTCTTCCAAGAGATCAAAGAATCATCTAGATGGGGGTTTCCCATTTCCTCCACCTAGAGATGGACTACTAGTTCAGAGTGACTGTGGAAAATCAGCAGCAGCTGATGATAGTGATAATTACTTGGCGAATGATGACATACTCGTCCCAAAGAGTGGTGAGTCATCACCTGTCTATAACTCAAGATACAAAAATGATGCAAATGTTACTAAATCAGCAAGTTCTAGTTCTTCATCTCTTTCAAATGATGGTTATATGGAATATGACATTGCGAAGAAAGAACATGATGCAGAAGTAAATGCAAGGGAAGAAGATCAGGGAGCATCATTGGAAGATGAAGAGGTAGTTGCAGTACAGGAACAAGTGAAACAGATAAAGGCACAGGAGGAAGAATTTGAAACCTTTAATCTCAAAGTTGTGCACAGGAAAAACAGGTGTTTGCTTTTTCCTATTTGTTCTTTTCAATTGCTGTTTTCTTTTTCATTTCTGGTATTACTTTGTATTTTTTGAATTAATGATATTATGATACAACAACAACAACATCCAAGCCTTATTCCCAAAAGATTTTGGGGTCGACTAACATGAACCGATCCATGATATTAGAGCCAAAAAGGGAAGGATAAGAAGAAAAAAGATAAGATGGATAAGATAAAAAAACATAAGAACATAAGATAGATAAAAGATAAAAGAGATAAATGAAGAAAAGAGATCCATCGTCCACACGTATATGCGCCCTCCACTTTGCTCTCTCCAAAGCCAAACTCTCATCCAACCCAAGAAGAAGCATATCAGATCTGATTCCTCTAATCCAAGTCTGTTTGAGTCGTCCCCTCCTCCTACCTGCCTCCTCTCCCCACCTCTCAACTCGTCTGACTTGCCGTTGAGGTGGAGAACATAAGCCTGGAGTATAAACATCTTTCTTATATCTCTCTGTTTGTTTGTTTGGCACTTCAGCGTAGAGAAAGTGTCAGTGTGCCAAGCTATACTCTTGTTTGATTTTTTCTTTTCATATCTGAAAACTCGACTTTAGTAAAATGACAATGTATCATCTTCCCACATTAGTTTTCTATGATTGTTATTTTCCATCCAAAAGAATGATACTTGTTGGTTTTCTGACTTTCCCATTGAGACTTTTTTTACATGATTTCAAAATTTTAGCTAAGTCTATGTGAGCTATCTAGAAGGAATAAGTTATCCGGAGTACCTATTTTGTTAACTAGAACTCAATTTTTTTTTGCAGAACTGGTTTCGAGGAGGACAAAAATTTTGAGGTTGTTATAAATTCAGTAATAGCCGGGCGCTATCATGTCACCGAGTATCTTGGGTCTGCTGCATTCAGTAAAGCCATTCAAGCGCATGACCTTCATACTGGCATGGATGTATGTGTTAAGGTTATAAAGAACAACAAAGATTTCTTTGATCAGAGTCTTGATGAGATAAAACTTCTCAAGTTTGTCAACAAGAATGACCCTGGTGATAAGTACCATGTGCTTCGGCTTTATGATTACTTCTATTATAGAGTAAGTGAACACACTTCGCCTTTGGCTATGAAGAAAGCTTTTTCTTTCCTATTCCCCCCCCCCCCCCCAACATTGCATATGACTATATTCCCATCCGTTGTTTTATTGCGCCCACTTCTGTGCCATATTGCATATGTGGCTTTTATCCTGCCTTTCTGAGCTCTTACAACTGTGTTTAGTTTGGACTTTGGAGTATTGCCTGAGTTAGTTTACTTGATAATAATATTATTGCTAGCCTATTCCTTAGGTTTGTAAGATCTACCGGCGACTTTTGTGTAAAAATTTGAGGCATCAGTTTTCTGTATTCATCACCCTTGATGAACTATTGAATTGTTTAAAAAATGCTTTTAGCGAAAATCTTCTGTTTCATATAATGATCCAATGGAAACATCTATTCTGTAGATTCACTTGTTTAACTTAAGCGCTTGAAGTGAATATAATCAGAACAAAGTCTTTATAACGACTATTATGTTTATTTTCAGGAGCATCTGTTGATTGTGTGTGAACTCCTGAAAGCCAACCTATACGAATTCCATAAATTTAATAGAGAATCTGGAGGGGAAGTTTACTTTACTATGCCAAGACTGCAGGTTTGCTCCATAGCGATCATGTTATGGATGATGCAGTTATTTTTTATCTAACTGGCTTATTAATGTCATTTGCAGTCAATTACAACTCAATGCTTGGAGGCACTTCAGTTCTTGCACAGTCTTGGGCTTATACATTGTGATTTGAAACCTGAGAACATTTTGGTGAAAAGCTACAGTAGGTGTGAGGTGAAGGTGATTGATCTTGGTAGCAGTTGCTTTGAAACGGATCATCTATGTTCATATGTTCAATCTAGATCATACCGTGCACCTGAAGTGATTTTGGGGCTTCCATACAATAAAAAGATTGATATCTGGTCACTTGGCTGCATATTGGCAGAACTTTGTACTGGCAATGTAAGTTCCTCATGGTTGAAATAGGAGCATGTAACTCTGTACTTGCTCTTATGAGACACGTTTACGTCATACCCTCATCACAATTTAATTGAATTTTATAATAGTGTACACATATTAAGAAATATATTACATATTACATAATGACATTTTTATTCCTATACAAATTCAACATTAAATGCTTCTGATGTTCTTATATGCTTTCAAGGCAAAACAAAGTTTAATTTTGAAAAGTTATAAGGAAAAATTTGGAAGATTAAAAAATATGTGATGAATTCTTAAAAAGATAATTACTTTGGGATACAAAATATTTGCTAAAAAGAAGAATAATTTGGAACCAAGGGAGTTTGATTTAAGGAATATATACTTGATGCATATTTTTTTGGTTGTGGAAAGTTGATATGTTTTTCTTGGGATCCTAGAGAAGAAGGTGAAACTGTTTTTCATATGTGCAGGTCCTTTTCCAAAACGACTCACCAGCCACTTTGCTTGCTCGAGTGTTGGGTATTTTAGGTCCTATTGACCAAGAGATGCTTGCCAAAGGAAAAGACACTTTCAAGTATTTCACCAAAAATCACATGTTGTATGAAAAAAATCAGGTGAAGTACTCAATCTCGTTGCTGTTGTCTAATTTTAGTGCTCTGGCTTGTTGTCATTGACTCATTGTCTTAGGGGTATTTAATCGTTGCTTAGAGTTTCTTCTGGTCATGCATAACTATTTGAATCAGTGAATACTGCATATATTAGATATAATAATATTGCTCACCACCTCATACACCGCATATGTTTTACTTTCATCAGGAAACCAACAAACTGGAGTACCTAATTCCCAAGAAAACAGCTTTGCGGCATCGATTACCGGTCGGGGATCAAGGCTTCATTGACTTCTTGACTCACCTGTTGGAAATAAACCCAGAGAAACGTCCCTCTGCCACAGAGGCTCTAAAGCACCCTTGGCTCTCATATCCTTATGAACCCATCTCATCTTAGGGTGGAAGGGATTTTATTTCTTGCAACACCATTAGAGAGAGTAATGTCTACCTCTAGCATCTATAGGGTGTGTGAAATGATAAAATTGTTTGTACATGATGTGTGTAAGATTGTTTCTAGGTCGTAGTTTTTCTTATAGTGACCACGTGCCCCAATTTTGATATTTAAAAAAGAAGAAAAACTAGTTCAGTGTACGTAATGAAGCAAGCTCATCTAAAGTGTACTATATGTATGTACACTATCACCATCTTTTGTGCCTTTTTCACATTAAAAGTGTTTTGGCCTTTTGAGAATTGGGGGATTAGCTTGCTCTTTTGTTCCTCGCTTCCTCCTGGAAATGTCATGTTTCAGTTATGGGTGGACTCGGGCCGGGTGGCCCGACCCGGAACTGGCCCGGGACCGGCACTGTTCCGGCCGGCCCGACCCGGTGGCCCGGTCAGTGACCGGTCCGGGTAGGCCCGACCCGTGGGTTTTCCGGTCCGGGCTCGGGTCACCCAAAACAAGGCCTGACCCGGCCGGGCCCGGCCCGGACCTGAGTCCACCCCTAGTTTCAGCGTTGCAATCTTTTAATTTTGATAATGTGTAAGCTGAATCATTTAAAAAACCTTGATAATACATGGTAAATGAGGGATGCAATCATGTGAATTTTTGTTATACATTGCATTTGGGGTGTAAAGTCAAATATTGAGGTAACTATGAGATGCAAAAACGAAGTTTTCGAAAAGAGAAAATGAAAAGAGATGGAAACATGTGCTGCTTCTTAAAATGATAACTTTTTATAATGAGAAATTGCAAAATGCCTTAATTTACAATAAATAAATAATTGAAAAGAACTTTTTGCACTTCATGTTTTTTAACATGAGGGTGTAGATTATGTACACAAAAAATGCCTTAATTATTTAGGTAAAAAATTCATTGTAATTTTTGTTTTCAAAAATATTCTTTGTACCATTCTAGTTTGCAAAAGACCATTCACCTTCGAGCTCGATTTAGTAATAATGTGTTCGGGTTCGAGCTCAAAGCTCGATGAGCTTTACAAATGAGGTTTGAGTAAGTTGAGTTCAACTCAATAGATGTTTGATGTTCGAATCAAGCACTCAATAAGCTCTATAAATATGTTCGGTATAGAAAGTTAGATCATGCTCATTAATAAGTTTGCACTCAAATTATTCGACAAGTATTCCAATTTGTTAATGATCCTATTTGAATTTATAAATTGTTTAAATTTTAAAAAACATGTAGAATTCCGTATATGATACCATGTATGTAATTTTATGTAGTTTTTGGTTGCACTATTGAATATTAATATAGAAATGAATGTTATTGTAGAATATGTTCAATAGAAAAGAATGTTACTCCCTCAGTCCCAAATTTTAAGATATATTTACTATTCACTTGGTCAACATAAATCACTTTTAATCTTTTACTTTATATATCAAAATTTTATGAAATTTGAATTATTTTTTGCAGGTTTTGTAGCGGTTTTAATGTAGTTTCTGAATATGTAAATTTTATTTTCTAAAACTATTTTGAGTGTTGACAGGGAATAATTTGCTTTATTGTCAGTCAAACATCGTAAACCGTAAAATATCTTACAAATTGGGACGGAAGGAATAGTATATAATATGTTCTATAGTTCTGTTCCGATAAATTTTTGAAGCTCATGTTTGAATTTGAAGCTTCATTATGTTTTATGTGAGTCCATCTTCATCTTTTTTTCTTCACCAAGCTCATGTTCCGATAATTATCTTCCTTTCTATCTCTCTCCAACCGGAAGTATCCTGGAGAGGATCCAAATCCGTTTTATGTACACGTTTTTTATACACATCATATTAAACTCCACCCAAATTGTTACATCATTTTTCGACTTTTCGAGCACACAAAATTTATGGTTCGTGTCACGAAAAGAAAGGACATGTGATCGCTCTTTGAAGCTAGGCTCCCGAAATCGAGTTCGAGAAATAGCTCTGTCACCGGTGGGCGTAGCTCAACCGGTAGCAAAGGAGTGTCACAAAGGTTAGCTCCCGGGTTCGAATCCCGACAACTGCGAAGAGGAGTTATAGTCCAATTTACATCCTCCCGACGTACATTACGGTAGGAGTTGGGGGCTTCATAGATGGGGGTGTATCTTTTTTTTTTTTGAGAAATAGCTCTGTTTTTTAACGGTGCTGATAGCGGCAACAGAAGGCGGGCGAATACCGAGAATGCACCCTGAAATACCAGACTTTACTGTAATTGCTCTTTCCTAGTAAGCACCCAAAATTTAGAACTTCTGGAAGTAAATAAGCAATCATGGATGCATCAACAGCTTTCCAATTCCTAGCGAAAAGGCCTTACCAGCCTCCCGCCTGGGCTTCGCAGCTCAGCCCCATCCCCTCCCATGTCTTCTCCCTCGGACACGTAAGACGATCAACATCTATTAGCCCGTTTAGCCGATATATGTAAACTGCCTTGTCTATTATATGCGTTAAACTAACGGGTTTTACTCTTTGGATAGCTTCCTACTCCAATTCATAAATGGAACCTGCCCAATCTGCCTAAGAACACTGAGGTCTGGTTGAAGGTAAACCAGTCAACTACTGCCCCTGTTTCGTCCTTTGTGCTTTATTAATGGAAGATCACAAATAGTCAAATACGCTAAGAAGAATAGCCAGAGATGAATAAGCTCCTTATTATTGGTGTGACAAGAACTCATATTGTTATTTGACTGCGTTATAACTTAAAAGTTTATAACAGAAGGGCTTGTCCATGACCAAACTTTGCTCCAAAATTGCATAGAGTGAAAGCATTGCTTGTACTGGAAATGTATTCATCCGTCATCAAAATTGTCTTGTAGACTTTTTCTTTCTGCTTAATGTACGAAGTATTTGATATGCCTACTTCTATTACGCTTTTGTCTATTCTGCTATCCCTTTCTGATAGGAAAAACCTGGTGTCTACAGCGTGATGACCTTTCAGGAATGCAATTGAGTGGTAACAAGGTGCGAAAACTGGAATTCTTGTTTGCAGATGCCGTGGCACAAGGAGCAGACTGTATTGTCACCATCGGTGGCATTCAAAGTAATCACTGTCGTGCTACTGCTGTAGCTGCCAAATATCTGAATCTTGACACTTATCTCATACTGCGAACTTCAAAGGTGTGTCACAAATGCTCGCTTTCTAGTAACTTAAATGTCTTTTGGAATTCCTTCTTACCCTAATTGTGAGTTTCCTTGACATTTTCAGGTTCTTGCGGATGAAGATCCTGGATTGACGGGGAATCTCCTTGTTGAGCGTTTAGTTGGAGCTCACATTCATCTTGTTTCAAAAGAAGAATATGCTAAAGTTGGGGGTGTGGTATGCATATCTTCTTCGTTCATCATCGTATCCCCCCCCCCTCCTAACCAGAAAACAGTTGTAGACATAAAATCACAATTGGTCCGTAAACTTCTCCAAAATGATTGATTGTCTTCAATATATTGACGGGGTTGTTATCTCTGAGTCCAGACTACATAATTTAGATTCAGTCTCTATTCATGCTTCTCTTTATTTGTGGAGGTTGGTTGACATTAACTTAAATGGGTGCTATGAACTAATGATAAGGATGTTAGTTGCATCCATTTTGATAATCTTTTTAAAACATATTGTTTTGTTATGTTTTTGCATATTGTAATGATTTTTTATTTATTTCAGGCTCTTAGTATGATATTGAAAGAAAAGTTAGTGCGTGAAGGGAGAAAACCATATGTCATACCTGTTGGCGGATCCAATTCGCTAGGAACTTGGTGAGGTTTTTATTTGATGCAATAGTCTAGCATTAAAGTTCCCTTTGGTCAAATATGCAGATCACAACCTGAATTGAAAACTTTCCATAAAAGCACGCGCTAACTGAATTTTTTCAGGGAAGTTAGCAAGTCAATGGTAAATACAATTGCAGCGTATAAACCATCGATAAAACCGATCAGTGCATGCTGCTTTTAAACAAATTGGGTTAAATTTTGAGAAGTAAATGTCTGACCTTTCTCTTTGAATGTCTAAAAGTGCAATGTTGGTTAACCGTATCGTGTGGGTGTTCTCCTGTGGTATTAGTGATTGACTGTTACTAATTGCCCATAAGCCGGAGGTTGTTATAGGCAAGTCTCATGCTCAATACTCTAAGGCAGAAATGCAGTTCAGTATTCTTTGCAAGTCTTTACCTGGCATATTGCGGTGATTCTAATCGTGGGAGTTGGAAATTTCAGGAAGAGGTCAAACTAACAATACCCTGTTTGGTTGGAGGGTTTGGTGCAGGATTAAGGGTGTCTCGGATTAGATCAAATTAACAATCCCATGTTTAGTTGGAGAATTTTGTGCTGGATTAAGCGTGTCTCTCATGGGATCAAACTAACAATCCCTTCCGTTGGAGGATTTGGTGTATGATTAAGTGTGCCTTACTCATGCCACAGGCCCACAAGAGGTTGTGGGTGTCTGGGGAAAAAGTAATTTGGTGGATTGCAATCTCACCGCCCACTGAAATATCTTACTTCATTTGTCAGTGTTTTTTGGTTGGTTTATTCTTCTATACTTTGGATTATTATGCAATACGTAATTCATTTTGGAACCATATCAAAGCAAGAATATGAAGTGATTTTCAACTGGAATCTTGGAGTCAATCTTCTACCTTTATTACAGAAAGCAGAGGTGGTCTTCTATATCTGATATCTTAGTTTAAGTAAATTCTGAGAGTTAAAAACCATTAAATGAACAACCTCCCTCTTTTAAGCTTACTTTAACAGTATGCTGCTAGTTTTGTAGTTCTATTTTTATGGATCTTTATCAATCCAGGGCCTGAAAGATGAAATGTGCTGATATAGAGCTATATGATTGAAAACTATCAATCAAAGACCTAAAATATCATAGATGTTGATTTGTTTAATTTTTTACGTATTCCATTGCTAATTTTTGATGAAGTTTTCTTCACAAAAGTCTATTAGTTTAATAAAACTAAATAATATTATGTATTTAAAAATTTTAAAATAAACAAATAATATAGTTCATGACAATTTAGGTCTTAGATTGATAGTTTTCAATAATCCGAGCCCTATATCAACACATTTCATCTTTCATGTCCCTAATAAATTCCTCTTATGTATTTATACAACATACTTCTATTTCAGGGGCTATATTGAAGCTATTAGAGAGATTGAACATCAGATTCAGCATGCAACTCTTGAACAAAAATTTGATGACATAGTTGTCGCATGTGGCAGGTTGTTTTCTTCTCTCTCCCTTATGTTATTTTTTATATTATAGAACTATAGGCTCATCCTAAATCTGCTATATGTGACTAGATAAGCCTTCACCACTACGGTCGAGCACCTTTGCGAACGAGGCTCTTCCCCCAACTTGGACCTACCATCAAGTCATAACTGATTTGCTGTCTCTGCCGCCATCATTTCCCACATGTCCCCTATTAGTTTGTTTACCGCCCTCATACTCTCAAAGCTTTAAATTTGAAGATATCCCCAAGTTGCAGTGCACTTGTTTCATCACCTTATACACGTTTCATCTTCCTTTATGTAAACATTATCGTCTAATTAGGGAAAAGGGAAAGGAAGAAAAGAAGAATATAAAAATAAGAAGGAAAAATAGAAGAAGTGCAAGAGGGGGCACAGGAGCTGGGCAACCAGGAGAGGTGAGGAAGACAGAAATTAAAATGAAAAGGTAAAGAAGAAAAATAGGAAAAAAGTAAGAAGGGTAAGAAGGCTGGAAGAAGTTCATCGCACGGTGGCAGGAAGAACCGGCGAGAAAGAATAAGAAGAAAGAAAGAGAAAGAAAAAAGAAAAAAACAAATCTGCAAATGACCTGTTAAAAATAGTCACCTTTCCGTAAATTAGCTGATGTGATCTTTTTTTAAGAGTTAACATGCTTATGTGATACTTTTTTTGGTATATGGGTTTTCCATCATTTCCAATGGATCCAAAAACTCACTGTTTTTTGGCCTGGTAATATGATAGAATAAAGCAAAATGGCTCACTAAACTGTTTGCGCTTCTTTGTTATGAAGCAGCAGCCAGTCCATGCAATTTTCGATGTGATTTTCATCATGGGTCATCTAGAAACAGTCTCTATGTGCTTTAGTACAGGGGTAAGGTTGCGTACATCCGACGCCCTTACCCCACCGTAGGTGTGAGCCTTTGCGGCATCGAGGTAATGTTGTTCTTGTTTAAGTGATGGATTTACAATTGTAGAAGGCCTATTATGATCACTTTTTCGAAAATATTAAAAGTGGTCATATAAAAGTGGTCATATTTTTGTCCATTGAAAGGCTAGAGTTAAGTTATAGTCATTTTTTCTAATATAAATAGAAAAAATCAGAGCATTGATATAATTTTTCCATGATTGTATATTATTAACATTCATATATAGTCTTTTAGATGTCATCTCAATATATACTACTACTAATTGAGTTTTGCATTTGCGTTGTAGCCTTATGGTAATCTGTTAACTGAATTGTTTATTCTCGATACTTCAGTGGGGGTACAGTCGCTGGATTATCAATTGGGTCGTGGCTTAGTAGCTTGAAGGCAAAAGTAACTGTTGTTTACATTGTGTTTTATCCACTTATCTTTTCTGCTTTATTTGTTTCCATTACTAAGAGGTTAGATTTGGAATGAAGGTTAATGCATTCTGTGTCTGTGATGATCCTGAGTACTTCTACAAATATGTTCAATTCCTGCTCGATGGACTCGATGCAAGGATTAGCTCATCTGATATTGTCAGCATCCAAAATGTAAGGATTCCCATTCACCTCTTTGTCAACCTGGTAGCTTCATCCGTTGCTACTGTTTTTTAATGAAAAAAAGCATCTTTGTTGACAACTTGGTTACTGCTTATCCCTCTGGTTATTTGCAGGCCAAAGGTCTTGGGTATGCTATGAACACAAGTGAGGAACTCAAATTCGTCAAAGAAATTGCTGAAACCACTGGTGTAGTTCTTGACCCCGTTTACAGGTATTGTCTATCAATCATAGTAATTCTTTGTCTGGACTTATTATCAAGTGTTAACCCCAGTTTTGAGGTGGATGACAAGTATGTTTGTGATTCCACTGAACAGTGCCTCATCTGAATTCTGAAGTACAGGAAGTGCTACACACATTATATGTGTGTGTTGCTAAAGTCATGTGTTTGGGAGATCAGTGAACAAACACGGTTTGGAAAAATCAAGTTATAATGAATGTTGATGATGTTTTGTGCGAACTTGTTTTATATAGATGGCGAGATAATTAATGTTATATCTTTTTATTTACTGCATGCTTATGATAATACTCTCTCTCTGTTGCTTTATACAGCGGGAAAGCGGCATATGGGATGATGAAAGATATGGGTGAGAATCCAAAAAAGTGGGAAGGGAGAAAGGTTCTTTTCATACATACAGGTGGACTGCTAGGTTTGTTTGACAAATCAGAGGAAATGGCATCACTTATGGGCAATTGGTGCAAAATGGATGTCAATGTAGCAATTTCTCATCACTAGTCAGTAGGACGGCACTGCTTTAAAGTTCTAAAATTACTTGGCTGCCCTCAGTGCCCTGTGATTGCTCTTTTCCTAATAATGACATTTTCATATACAATACTCGTATTTTCTTTTGCTTGTATTGCCGTAAGCCTGTAATTATATTAACAACTGCCATAAATATGAGTGAATTTTTAGTTGAAAGAATGACAAATATGAGTTCCGAATTGACACAAACGTGACCAAGAATAGATCCGGACAAAAAACTTATCCATTTTAATTAAAGAGCCGATAATGCCCTTGCACTTCTCCAGGCTTGATCCGGCACATCTTCCCTTGTCTTCTCCCTCGTGAACTTCTCCCTCCCCCTCCACCGTACCACGCTGCCACGTCATACTCTCATTGGCACAAACTCAAAACCCCTATTCTTCTTGCGTGGAGAGGGCGAACGAGGGTGACGGTGGCTAGTAGAGGTGGCTAGGGTTGGCGGCTAAGTGACAAGTGGTGATGGTGAGCCGACGCCCGACGCTAGTAGAGCGGTGCTTGCCGACTATGGTTTACAAATTTTGTCTGATCTGAGGTGAAAGGAGCGGCGGCTAGGCTCCATGGTTGTTGTCGTGCTTCGGTGGTGGTGATTCCTAGCAAATGGTGGTGGCGATGTAAAAATTACGGTTGGGGGCAGGTGGCGAGGGCAGTTGGCTCGCGACTAGGGTTATGACGGTGGTGGCTGGAGGGTGGGCGCTAGAGTGGCGGTTTCGCCGCCGCCAAGCTTCTACTATCACTGCTCTTTTCCTTTCTATCTAACAATGACGAAGATCCAAATCCGGAGGATCGCCGCCCAATTTGAAGCATCTCACTGACATCCCTTGTTTGCTTCGATGGAGAGGTGATGTGGCGGGGGGAAGTTGGAGGTCGTGGCTAAGGTTACGACGGTGGTGGTGGACGAGCGGCTAGAGTTTTGATAGTGGCGGTGGGCTAGAGGTAGGGGGTGAGGAGGTGACTGGAGAGTCAAGTCGAGGTGGGGCGGTGGCCGGTCGCGACACTAGTTGAGTACGGCGGTAGTCACTAGTCGGGGCAGTGATGGTCATTGGGTGGGTGGAGTAACTGTGGACGGAGTTACATTGGAGATGTCATTGTGGCCCGCGACTGTCATCGGCCGGTGGCACCGACCGGTGGTCACTGCGAGATGCCACTGTGTCGGGCGTCACCGTGGTGGGACATGTAACTATAAGATATAATCACGACAAAGTAGGGGTAATTAATTTAGTAGTTTAAAGCTGAAAAAATGGCATGAAAATTACACTAGACTTTGCATTTCCTAAACTATGATCCATTTTGAATTTTTCCAAAAATGTGACTTATATATAAATGAAAATCCTTAGCTTAGCTTCTTAAAACATACGGACCTTAGCTTAGTTTTCTTCATTTGAGACTCCGTCTCTCTCTACCTGTGGCCGACCCACCAGACAGCAGCCCTCACGCCCCGTCGCTCCACCGCACTCCAGTCGCCCCTGCCCCCGCTGCCTCACTGCAACTCTTCTTCTTCTCACTGCAACTCTTCTTCTCATTCTTCTGCACCGGTGATTTTGACGGTTTTTAAAGCTAGGATGGGGGTGACGAGCTGGCGGCTATGGTTACAGGCGGTGGTGCGGTTGGGGCTTAGTTGCAGGCTTGGGATCTGGACTTTGGATCTGGATGGGCTGGCGGGGCAGATCTGTGGGTTGGGGTGGGCTAGGTTTGTCTTGTTCCAGGGGTTGGGGTGCTAGGTGGCGGAAGTTACCGGCGGCGGTGTTCGGATTTGGGTGGAAGTCACTGAGTTAGTGACCGGAGTAGGCTGGAAGTTACCGAGTAGTCTGAGTTAGTGACCGGAGTAGGGTGGCAGTCACTGGCTAGTGACTGGGGTTAGGTAGAAGTCACTGGTCAGTGACAGAAAGTCACTGAGTTAGCGGCGGTGGTGCCGGTGGCAGCGGCGGTGCCGATGGCAGCGGTGGTGCCGCGACGATACCGGTGGCAGCCTGGTGGTGCTGGGATCAGCGGCTCAGAAGCGCTGGTGGCTATAGAACACTTATCAAATGTATAAAAGATATTAATATATTAAACACAAGGAGTAAATGACTCTTAGTCACATATTTGGAATATTTTAAAACAGATCATATTTTTGTCTTTTCAATTCATTTTAGTAATATTGATAAAAAAAAGGCTTTTGAAGCTTACTAGTCATATTGTTTTTAATTAAAAAAGGTCAATTGTCCATTTTTTTTAGTAATACTCAAGTCAAAAGCTTTTTTGAAAATATGTACTCTGTATGATTTTTAGACCATTTCATGAAATTTCAACTTTAATCGAGTTAAAATTATAAAAATAAATAGTGATAGTGTTGAAGAAGAGAAGGATACCACTGATTTGCATTCCTCATACCCGTGAATTATACAGTGGGATTGACCCACCGTCCGCACGGTGTGCCGTTCCTACTTAAGGCAGTTGCACTTTCGTTTTTGCTCCTAGAGCATCGTTATTTCTTTTTCCTTTGCTTTTCTTTATTTATTTATCTTTTCTTCAATTCTTATCCTTTTTCATCAAATTAAAATACTAAAAAATCATCAACTTAAATTATAATTGAATCTATTTTTTTTATACTTTATCAATACATAACAATTCCATCATTTGCAATGGAGCCAAAGATTCATTATTTTTTAGCTTGAGATTATGATGGAATAAAGCAAAATGGCTCACTAAACTGTCTACGCTTCTTTGTTATGGAACAGCAGTCAGTCCATGCAATTTTGGACGCAATTTTCACTATGGGTCATCCGGAAACAGTCTCTCTGTGCTTTAGTATAGGGGTAAGACTGCGTACATCCGACCCCCCCTTACTCCACCGTAGGTGGGAGCCTTTGCGGCACTGGGGTAAATGAAAATGAAATCAATACATAACAAAAAAATTATCAATCTAATTAAAATAAGTATATTGCATTTCACATTCATACACTATTTTTATTTCTGTAATATTTTTTATGTTCATACTTTTTTTAATTTTTTTATTCATACACTTTTTTGTAATATACTTTATATGTGCACACTTTTTCTATAATATTTTTTTCTCTTTTATATGTTTTTAGAGGTTTTTAAAACATTAAGTTTGTTTATTTAGATTTTTGGAGTTTTTTTGGGAAGGAAATAGCTTATATTAAAATAGCAAGATCCAAACAAACAACCATATCCAACGATCTAACACTCCCTCTAACCCACCAAGACCAGAAGCCACCCCAAAAGGTGCGAAACTAATCGCTGCAACTGTGAGAGTTTCGAGTCTATTAGCGACAGAGTTAGCCTGATTGCCTCCAACAAATATACTAACTATCAAAACAAACCAACAACCAAACCTTTCTTATTGTACGACAAAATAAAAACAAAGTAACCAAAGGAAAATAGACTGAAATGAAAAAAAAACATAAATATTGATGGAGTATATGGCCCGGGAACCCCCGGTCCACAGACTCCTACTACTCAATAAAGGCCCAACAGGCCCAGAAGGCCCGACAGGCCCAAATCACGGCGCCTAGAATACCAAGCAGCCCACAATGCGCACCAGGGGTGCATTCGGCCCCCTGGCCGAAGGCTCTAACTCTCACAGGAGGGCCAACACAGCAAAACAAAGTTACTGGAAAAAACGGCGAAAATCAGTAGCCCTCGGCAGTGGGAGCCCTCGGCACTAAGGGGGTCCCCGGTACACAGAGCCCTCGGCTATTCATCTACTGCCGAGGGCGCCTCTTCCGACACGATATCCGCTCCACATGCGTACAGATCACCGTACCCTGTACAACGTCCCATCCAACAGCCGCATTAAATGCGGCCACATGCGGTTGCCAGCGCCAACCAGTTGAGGTGACCTCTCGGCCAATGAACGCTTGACACGTGTCCCTGTCCGGCATTTATTGCTACTATAAATAGCACTCCCTTTTCCCATTTGTAACCAAGTCATAAACGTTGCACACTTTCTAAATATGCTTTCTCTCTCTATACTTGCTTGCTCTGACTTCTCTCTTGTTATTCCCCGCAATAACCCCCCGGATAAGCTACCCCCTGGGTACACTATCCATCAAATATATAGAAAAAGTTCACTTGATGGAGTTTTGTTGCTTCCATCACTTTTGAATCATCATGCCCAATCTTCAACTGTCAGATAGGCGGGATGTGGCACTGCAGCCCGCCTCCACCCCCATTTTTTGGCACCCTCAACTCCACCTCCGTGTTACTATATATGCAGTCCATTTTTTGGCGCTCAATCTTCTGCTCACTCTTATCTCCTGCAGAGTGGTGCTCTTGCCCTTGCCTAAGTCCTCCTTGAACATCCAATTCTATCCAATTGGCTCTGCCCTCATCTTCTTTGCCTCTCCCTTTGCCAATTGGAACAAGCCACTTATTCCCACATGCGTCCTTTTGTAGCTCTCAACTCTTGTCCAAATGGTAATCCTCCACTCTTCCTAGGCATGTCAATGGGTCAGGTCGGGTCGGGTCGGGCGGAGCGGGTACTGCAAGATCCAGACCCGCCCCGTAACTTGACGGGGCGGGTCCGCCCCACCCGTGACCTGCACGGATCCAAACTTGTTGACCCATAACCCGCCCCATGCGGGGCGAGTTCGCACCGCCCCGCCGTAATCTAATTAGCTAGTATGTATTTTTATTTGTGAAAAGTTGTTACCAAGTGAATTCACATAAAGTTTATCTTTAAATAATTTTTAAAAATTAATATATTAAATCAAATTCACGATACGCTAGAAATTTCAAAAGTTAAGGAAAAATCACTTAGATTTGAATAGTTAATCTATTTAATTATATTAATACTTGAATATATGTGATAGAGTATATATCTAGAGAGAAGTGAGAGCTAGAGAGAGAAGTGCAAGTAAATGCTTCAATAGAATGATTTTGTAACTCCTACAACTACCTCCAGGGGAAGTATTTACAGGAAAAATACGGCCGATGATTTTGTAACTCCTACAACTACCTCCAGGGGAAGTATTTACAGGCCCATTTACAACTGGACCGCTATTGGGCCGAATACAATGTGTGTAGAAATGATTAAGTGTAAAATCTAGTTCTGTGAGGCTTTCGTGGCCGATGAGGGCACAGCCGACGAGGGCACGGCCGACGGGGACACCCAAGTTCCCTGGCTTCAGGATCATATTCTGAGTTGGTCCCTCTTCGGCCGACGGGGATCCTTGGGCCGACGAGGGCACAACTTGATGGCTTGCACCTTCTGTTGTTCTGAGTATGTGGGTCCTGGGGCCTAGACCCATATACTCCATCAATATGTATTAAAATGTTATATATAAAGAAGACATTGATAATCCGGCGTTCATCTCAATCTAATATATATATTGATGTATTACAAGATCAAAGAATTTATGATTTATTTTATACACACATATGTATGTTGAAGTATATTTGTAGTATAATTTAAGAAAAAGTATGTATATACTTATATATTGAGCGGAGCGGGGCGGGTCAGGGCGGCACGGGGCGGCACGGGTCAATACTAATACCCGAACCCGCTCCATTGTATTGGCGGTGCGGGGCGGACCCGCCCCATTTTCAAGACGGGGCGGGCCAGACCTGCCCCAAATGTCTCGGGCCAGGGCGGGTCATTGCGGGCCAGATAGTTTTGACATCCCTAACTCTTCCTAGCTAGTACCATCAGGGTTGCGCGGACAATAATTTTTTTGCATGACCAATAATTCTGCACCCAAAACAGAAACTAGGGAGAAAGAGTTTCCTTTTCAGAGACCCGATCAAGTCGATACTAACACTTATTCTCACAAATGAGTTCCATTTAGCAGAAAAATTGTACTCATCCACTTTAATAGATTTTCCAACATAATTACCAAATTTTTATTTCAATTCTTAGAAGTATCCAACTGGTACGTCATGGGCTTGTAGCCAGAAATCAGTTCTATTTAGGGACACTTCCAAAGGCAAATCTCCTTGCCTTAGCTTGTTCAACACAATGGATGCTTATATAGTTATTGATAAAAATGAGAAGCAGAAGGTGATCGGTGATTCCAAATAGGGTTGTGGGGCGATGGAGACCGTCACCACATAGATGCGGTGAGGGCGGCAATGGTGAGATTCGCGTTCGTCCTAGCTATTGGGCGAGTAGAGTTGTAAACGAATCGAATCGAGTCGAATAATGAGATTTTGTATTTGTATTTGTTTAATTTTTTCGAATACGAATTCGAATTCAAATATGAAACGAATATTAATTTTGATTTGTATTTGTTTAACGACACGAATAGTTAACGAATCATATACGAATACCGAATCGATTTGAGCATATGTTAAATATTAGTCAAATATCACTCTAAAATAACTTTTCTTATACTCCGTATTTTTATGTTGTAAATACATGCTATGACTCAATATGTGTTTTTAGAATTTAAATTTAATGGATCGATGCATTTTTGGAAGGTGCACAATATACTAAAGTGAATTAATTTCATTAGTAATAAATATAAATCTATTTTAAACTTTTTGAAATAAACACTAACTCACACATATTAGAAATTATACATATAATGTGTGAAATAAGTTGATAATTGTATATATCAATGTTAAACAATTCTAATTTTATTTTTCAAATCGAATACATAATTATTTGTATTGTATTTGAAAAAAAAATTGAACCAAAAAATTAATTTGTATTCGTATTTATATTCTGATTTATTACAAATGAGCTTGGAATCTGTATGCAAAAGTATATATATGGATTACACTTTGAGGGTATTGCTATATTTTAAAAGTTATTGTAGTGTTATTACTATTATTATTATTAATAATAATATTGACATTAATATTACCATTATTATTAATCGAATATATTTGATTAATATTCGAATCGAATACTCTGATATTCTTATTTGTATTTGATAACAATTCGAATCAAGTTTAATATTCTTATTTGTATTTGTATTTGAATTTTACGAATTCGAATCGTCTTATACGAATTCGAATCTGTTCAAGGGAGTTCATAGGCTATCACTGGATGCCTTCAGAAGGGATTCACGATAAAGGGGAAGTTGGCTGGGTAAAGGATGGGATTCTTCAGCTTCTCGTTGGGGAGGGTCTAAATGTCAATGGTCTGGTGGGAGGGGCTCATCGGAGAGGGATTCAGTAGATGTAGATGTGGATATTCATCATAGCAGTTCCCTTCATCGCATGAGAGAATCGATTTATGACAATTTGATCTTTTTTGGATATATCCCTACGAAAATGAATCAATAACAATCTGAATGGGGAAAAGGTATAAAGACTAGGGAAATCACTGTTGGGACCTAGCGACTTGCGATGGCGAAGAAACATCGAAGAGGGAACATGGAGAAATGGGAATTGGCAGAAATCACCGGTGACAGGTAATAGGGAGCGGGTTTTTGATGGGGGGAATCGTCTAACCGGAACTGGCTTGCCAAGGTGCTGCAACGCGATGGAAGATCGAAGAGGACATTGATGCATGATATGATGGTTTTGGGGATTCACTGCTACCATCCAATGATTTATCTTTCAAGATCGAGAGAAAACATTTTTCTTTTGACGTTCACCAGAATAATATCCAGATTTTGCAGAGAAAACAACTTTGGATGCAACAGTTTTCTCTCACTTAAAATAGATCGTAGAATATTCGTGTAAGTACGAGTATCGTCTCCACAGGGATGGATAAAGGGGAATCAGGAATTAATTAAATAAATTGTGACAGAATGGTTGGATTAGAAAATTAAAATGCAATTAAACGAATAAAATAAATTGGGTTCTTTCTAACTAATGACGAAGGAAACAAGGATTGATTCCGGGGTAATCGGATTTTTGGCTGATCAGGTTTAATCACATGAAATTAATTTAATTGAGTCTCGCTAATCATTACTAAGTTATAACCGCTCTCGCGACGTAGAGTACAATAATTTAGGGAACCAGGTTGATCTCTCATGCGACAAGTATCTAAAATTATTGCCAAAAAGAACGAGCGTACGACCCCTTAATCGCTATTAATCTCTTAGCGAACGATTAAGTGTGTTTGAAGGTGTCCTAGAACAAATTAGATTTCTCTTAATTTATTCTACAAGCAATTGTAATTCTAGCGGCCGTTCTAGGTTACAAAAGATATCAATAAAATCATCCAAACACAAATTAAATCAAGATTAATGCAATTAATCCATCATGAGTTTAGCCATACATCATAATCAGGGCCGAACCTCTAGATGAGGCGAAGAGGCAACTGCCTCAGGCCCACAAATTTGTAAAAAAATTAGGGCACAGAAATTTATTAGTTACCTTTATATAGAGGAAAGTTCATGTCCGAAATTCCGGACAGGAACCGTCGTTCGGACGGTGGCATTTGGCCGTCTTCCCCGTGGAATTCTTTGATGAAGTTTTTATGACATATTCCTGATCAAGTCTACTTTATCCACACAAAATTTCAGCTTAAAATTTAATCGGGAAGGTCGTCAAATAATATTCGGAAGTTAACTGCGTTTTATATGTATATTTTGGCGCGGTTATCTTCCAAAAATCATTTGACGGTCTTCACGATCGAATTTTTAGCTTCACTTTTTTGTGGATAAATTAGACTTGATGAGGAACATGAAATAAAAATTTCATCAAAAAATTCCACTGGGAAGACGACGAAACACCGTCGTCCGGACGGCAATTCCTGTCCGGAATTCCAGACATGAACATTCCTCCCCAAAAATTCCTTAGGGCCTTTTTTTACAGTTCGACTCAGACCAAAAAACTCGTAGGATCGGCCCTGATCATAATTCACCCCTTCATCAACCACAAATTCCTAATTAAGACTACTCACAACTCATAATTGAAGAATCAATATAATTGGGAAGAATAGAATTAATTGCCATTAATTAAAAATTAGGAACTTACAAATAATCCCAAGGAATTGAAGAACAAGGCTGAAAAACTCTCTAAAATTCATCCCTAAGTCTCTCTCTAAGCTCCCCCTCAAAACATGGGTTTACAGGCTGTTTAAATAGGAAAGAAGGGGTAAAATTCGAGCTGGAATAGGAGATCCGGGGTCAGGCACGACCTGTAGGTATCTTCCACCTTCTTTCTTGGAAGTTGCCAAGAGACACCTTAACATGGAGGCACCTTCTTGGAAAGAGCTCTCCAACAAATAGGTGTGGGAGAAGATATGGAGATAACTAGGAAGCTTGGATGCAACTTCCTCATGTCTCCAAACCAGCCCTATAAATAAAGTGCTCCATTCTTGTTCATAGTATAAGTTTAGAAAGTGAGAAAAGTGTGTGAAGAGTGAAATACACTTAGTGTAGAAGTGTATTGGTGAGGATTGGTTTTTTGTAATAGTTGAGTGTGAGAGTTTGCTCCTCCTATTGTAATTCTGTTCTTGATATTGAATAGAAGAATTTTCCAATCCCAACAAGTGGTATCAGAGCGAGGTGGAGTTTCCATACACTGTTTTCTCATTTTCAGATAAATTTCTACAGGTTAGAAAATCGTGATTTTTCAAGTTGCTCGGAATCAGGATCTGATCATACCGTTAGATTCGTCTCGGCGAGACGAGAAATCTGGTATTTTTGGGGATTTTTTTGGCCACCGGAAGAGGCCGTACGCGCTGCCGAAAAACTGCCTGCATCATCACTGCGTCATCACGCAGTCCAGAGGAAGAAGACGATCCACGTCAGCTGCCACGTCATCGCCACGTTGGACCACATCAGCGACACGTGGTGTCGAGTCATCTGCCACGTCATCCACCCGACCTGTCCGCTGTGAGCCACGTCAGACGCCACGTGGCTACACGTCATCGCCACGTCAGCGAGGGAGCAGAGCCACGTCATTCGCCTGCTGGGCTGCAGGCTGGGCTGCAGGCTGGGCTGCTGCCTGAACCGGACCGAACCGGTTCGTGCTTTTGGAGGCTGGTTCACCCGTTTCCAGACCAGTTTTGGATGAGGTCAGACTGGTTCTTATCATTTTCGGCCATTCCGGATCCAACGGTGAGCTCCGTTTGTCCAAATTCGGCTTCGAAAATAAGGTACGAGATATATAGAGCGTTTTATTATGGATAAATCATCGTCGGACACCATGATTGCTCTCACATCCACAAACTACAATATGTGGAAGCCTCGGATGGAGGATTTGCTAAATTTGAAGGATTTAGCGGATCCTCTTGATAATAATGGTGTGAAACCGAATAAAAAGACGGATGAAGAATGGACAAAAATGAATCAAAAAACTGTCGCACAAATTCGACAATGGATAGATCATAGTGTGTTCCACCATGTTGCTCAAGAACAAAGTGCTTACACACTATGGGAGAAGCTTGGTAGCATGTATCAAGCAAAAACCGCCCGAAATAAGACGTTACTAATGAGGAGATTAGTAAACCACAAATTACGTGGGGGTATTTCGGTGTCAGAACACACCAGTCAATTCCAGGATCTTGTGAATGAGTTGAGCACCACCGGATGGGTTCTCAAAGATGAAGAGCAGGTGATACTACTCTTGAGCTCTCTACCTGACAGCTGGGAGACTCTTGTTGTCACTCTCAGTAATTCTGCTCCAAATGGGAAGGTGACTATGCAGATGGTCACAGATGCCCTGATGAATGAAGAAGCCCGAAGGAAGGAAGCCGGAACGGAACAATCATATGTCCTCATATCAGAAACTAACAGACGAGGGGGAGGCAGAAATGGAGGAAGAAGTCGAGATCGAGGTAGAGGTCAAGGTCAAAGTAGAGGAAATTCTCAAGTTCGCGGAAGATCACAAGAGAGAGGTATGTCCTTTGAAAACAATACTTGGTTCGAAGGATATTGCAATTACTGTAGTAATTATGGACATAGGAAAAGAGATTGTAGAAAGTTTCTACGAGAGAAGCCACAGACGAGTCAAAATACTAGCCAAGAAGATGGTGAGACCATGGTTAGTTTGTCATCAGACGTGTGTCTTGTTACACATGGTGAACAAAAATGTTTACACGTAGGCACTCATGATGTTGAGTGGGTGATTGATACAGCCGCATCATTTCACGCAACTCCACACCAGAACTTATTCACAACTTATAAGTCCGGAGACTTTGGAGCTGTGAAGATGGGAAACACCAGTTTCTCGAAGATTGCTGGCATTGGTGATGTGCACATAATAACCAATGTCGGATGCGCACTTGTGTTGAAAGATGTTCGACACGTTCCGGATCTTAGATTGAATCTTATCTCTGGTACAGCTCTGGATCAACAAGGATATCTTAACCGATTCAAAGAAGGTACGTGGAAGCTATCTAAAGGTTCCTTGGTTGTTGCAAGAGGCCATATTTGTGGCACTCTTTATAAAACTCATGCAAAGTTGTGTCATCCGAGTCTCAATGCTGTTGAAGAAGAGATATCACCAAACTTGTGGCACCGGAGGTTAGGTCACTTGAGCGTGAAGGGATTGACAACTCTTGCAAAGAAGGAAGTCATTTCCATGGGCAAAAGTGTTGCCCTAGATTCATGCGAGCACTGTCTATTTGGGAAACAACACAAGGTTTCCTTCAGTTCTACCAAGAAGAACCATACAGAGTTACTCAGTCTTGTCCACTCTGATGTATGTGGACCCATTGAAGAGGAGTCACTTGGAGGAAGCAGATACTTCGTGACATTCATTGATGATGCATCATGAAAGGTATGGGCCTACTGTTTAAATCGTAAGGATCAAGTGTTTGATCGATTCAAATCATTTCATGCCATGATAGAAAGAGAAACAGGGAAGAAACTGAAGTGTCTGCGTTCAGACAATGGAGGAGAGTACACTTCCCGAGAATTCTCAGCATATTGTGCCGCATATGGAATCAGACATAAGAAGACGGTTCCACGAACTCCGCAACACAATGGTGTAGCCGAAAGAATGAATCGGAACATTATGGAGAAAGTTCGTTGCATGTTGAGTCTGGCTAAGCTACCTAAGCCATTTTGGGGTGAAGCTGTGCTGACAGCTTGTTATCTTATAAACAGGTCACCTTCTGTTCCTTTAAACTTTGAAGTGCCAGAGAAGAAATGGTCAGGAAGAGATGTTTCTTACTCTCACTTGAAAGTGTTCGGGTGCAAGGCATTTGCACATGTGTCCAAGGAGTTGAGACAGAAGCTTGATCTCAAGTCAAACCCATGTATCTTCATCGGCTATGGAGATGAAGAATTCAGATACCGGTTGTGGGATCCCAAAGTGAAGAAAGTTATTCGAAGCAGAGATGTTGTATTTTATGAAAACGAGTTTCATGGGTGTGCTCCAATAATCCGCCAACAACATACTCCAGAAGACGAAGTGCCTGTATCATCAAACATTCCTCTCAGCGACGAGGAGATGCATGATTCTACCGAACACGAGAGTGATGGTTCAGCAGGTGATGATGATACTCACAGTGATGATATTCCTCAGCAGGGGGAGCCTTCATCTGAAGACGAATCTGAAGGTATTCATGTTCGACGTTCTATGCGAGGCATAGTTCCACAAAGAAAATACTCCACATCCGAATGGATACTTGTTGCCAGCGAGGGGGAGCCAGTGAGCACTGCAGGAACGAGAGAAATAAAGAAAAAGGTGGAGGGGGAGATTTGTAGGTATCTTCCACCTTCTTTCTTGGAACTTGCCAAGAGACACCTTAACATGGAGGCACCTTCTTGGAAAGAGCTCTCCAACAAATAGGTGTGAGAGAAGATATGGAGATAACTAGGAAGCTTGGATGCAACTTCCTCATGTCTCCAAACCAGCCCTATAAATAAAGTGTTCCATTGTTGTTCATAGTATCAGTTTAGAAAGTGAGAAAAGTATGTGAAGAGTGAAATACACTTAGTGTAGAAGTGTATTGGTGAGGATTGTTTTTTTGTAATAGTTGAGTGTGAGAGTTTGCTCCTCCTATTGTAATTCTGTTCTTGATATTGAATAGAATAATTTTCCAATCCCAACACGACCGTGCCTGCGGAGCAAAAAAGCGTGTCCCGGGTAAGGCATTGTGTGCCTCCCTGGCAGGCACGGCGTGCGTGACTGGCAGTAGCTCCAGCGTTGTTTCCTCTCCGAATTTGACAATGCTCCCTTCATGAAAGTTGTAGCTAATTAAGTCCTCTATCCATCACAACTTGCAAAAGTGGATTTGGATCATCCAATCAAAAGATATAAATAAAATGGTGGAAGGTCGCATTCTGAAATCGCAACAACGATCATCTGACTGCTTCGTCTGTTTTCACCTTTCTCCTCTCGGATTTTCGCAAAGGTGTCGTCGTATGATTTGTAGCACTTGAAGTTGGCTTTCACATGAAACTTGTTTCGTGTCCTTTCAATGTTTATACAAAATGATATGCTTGAATGATTGACAAAAGGTCATCCTAAACGCCGTTTTCAAGCTCTATTCCTCTTCATTTGTTCTCGAGCCAATCCTAGAACTATTTTATCATCGAATCTTCATCGTGAACCTCCCGATGACCTCAAAAGCTCTCAATTCACTCTCGAATGCTTCTTGAATCATCCCGTTTGCTCCTCAAGCGCCGGTGTCGGACTCTAAATTTTTGATTTTGACTACAAACAACACAAAATTCTAACCAACGTCCAGTAACTATGACTTGAGCTAAAAATGAGACTTGTGACGCAAAATAATTAAGGAAACCATAAAAAGTCGATCTAAACATGCATCAAATGTGTGTCTAAATACAGACGGATGATCAAAAATCTAGAATCAATTCAATCTCGTGCTAGTTGGTATCAACTGAGGTACGAAAATTCTACAACATTGGAGATCTCCATAGGCTCGAATTGTTTTGGAAGATTTTTGTGTATTGTGGAAAGAAGGGATCGAGGTTGTTCCACCCTGTTTTGGAAGATTTTTGCGTATTGTGGAATGTTAATGGTTTCTGCCAATTTACTTCAAAACTCTCAAAAGCTTTGGTGGTGCTTGAGGAGAAGATGCAAATAAATGTAGAACGGGGTGATAAGCCGGTAGAGAGTGTATTGAGGTAGATGCTATGGTGGAACAAGAAAACAAGGGTCTGTTTACTAACAGAGATATTTTCTTGTTTTCTACTTCTGTTTTTCATTCTCCAATTTTCTGTTTTTATTTTTCAGTTTTTGTATCTCCACTTTTCGGTTTCTATTTTCTAGTTTTCCATTTTCAAATCTGAAAACATGTTCATCAATTTTTTCACTCAGTTCTGTGATCATCCAGAAGACTGACACGTTTACTTCACGGGTTACTAAATTGTGCTTATTAAGACTCGCGTTCATAAGCGACACATAAAATAAGCAATGTTATAAGATCATGTTTACTTCAAAAGGTTTAAAATACCGTTTAACATTAAAATGTTCAAAATTACCCTATACATATATAGACACACAAACATTCATGAATACAAATATATAATATAATATGTGGGGTCGATCACCTCGTACGTGTACCCATACTCCTAACCCCTACCCTGCCCTATACCTCGTACCCCCACCCTACACCCTACACCCAATTCCACACCCTTGACCCCTATCCCCCACCCTTACCATGATATTACACTCTACCCATACTCCCCTAAAACCCTTCATACCCACCCATACCTACTCGTAGGGGTCGGGGTAGGGAAGGAAGGTATGGGTGGCGGTGGGTGGGGATGAGGTAAGGAGTATGGTCGGGAGTGGGGTGGTAACGTCTAGGGGTACGAAGTTGGGTGGGATAGTGGGTGGGTTAAGGGGGTGGTTAGGGGTAAGGGTGGGGGTAGTGAGTAGGGTTGGGGTAGGGGTATGGTAGGGGTAGGGAGTTGGGATAGAATAACGGTAGGGTGAGGCCGGGATCAGGGTGGGGCCGAGGTAGGGGAAGGGGTAGGGTGGGGGGATAGGATGGTGGTGGGGGTAGGATTACAGTAGGGTACGTGGGGGTAGGATGGCGGTACGAGGGTGGGGGTAGGATGGCTGTAGGGTGGGGCCGAGGTAGGGGGCATGTGGGAAGGGGTAAGGTAGGGTAAGGGGTAATATACGAGGTGGGGTAGGGTAGGGTGGGTCAGGGTGGGGTTGAGGTGGTAGGGGGTGGCGGTAGGGTATGGTGGATTGGGGTGGGACCGAGGTAGGGGCATGTGGTAGGGATAGGGGTAGGGTCATTGTGGGGAAAAGGAGTATGCGGGGTGGGGGTTTGGTGGGTAGTGTAGGGTAAGGTAGGGGTAAGGTACGAGGATGGAGGTACTAGAATGGAATCGACATCGGAGCGGGACCGGACCCACCACTAGTTGTAAGTATGCAAATTTATTGTAGCGACCTGTACATCTGCGTTTTCCAAATTTAGAAAACTAGTAAAAGTCGATTCTCCAAATCATTAAGGAAAAGAGACACATGTCTCATTTTTTTCATTTTGGTAAACGCGTTTTTCTGTTTTCCTTTCTCTAATTTTCCAGAAATTTTCTTTGGTAAACACGTTTCCTGTTTTCTATTTTCTAGTTTTCCAGTTTTCTGAAAAACTCGAAAATATCTCTGTTAGTAAAGAGGCCCCAAGCTTTTCATTTCCCAATCTCTCTTTTGGGTTGACTTAGAGAATTTGAGTCTGGAATCTGACAGGGTCACAGAATTCATATCAATTGCATCGGGAGCGAGAAAGCTAGAGCATACCTCCATGGGTGAGAGTGCAAACTCAAACGAAGATGAGGTCATCGTTGTTAGAATTCTGCCATCTCATCAAGCTTTACTGGATCGTCTCGCAGATCCTAATTGGACTTCTATCAAGCCTAAGCATCCTAGGAAATTGTCTTTTCCTCGAAGAAGTGCCAGATTGGCAAAAAAACTTGAGTATTTCTACGGTGCATCTTATAATTGCGGAGGTAGGGTACAATCTGCCTAGGTGGACAAGTAATAGTTTTACACATGGATTGTTTGAACACATAGACACTCTATTAATCCGTATTTAATTTAAAGAGTATCTAATTTGCATTTCAATCCCTACAGCTAGGGTTGGATTCGGTTCGGGCCACCCGGCCCGTGACCCGGCCCGGCCCGGTACTGTGCGGGCCCGGGACCGGCCCGGTCGGGCGGTCCGGGACCGGGTATGGGCCCGAACCGGGGGGAAGGGGCGGGGCGGGCTCGATTCAGCATTTTTGTGACCCGGCCCGGCCGGGTCGGGCCCGGGTCCGGGTCCGGGTCTATTTTAAAAAAAAAAAAAAATTTTTGATTTTTGGCTACTAGCCGTTGAGGCCTTGGGGGTGGGGCTGGGGACAACCCAAACGGCTATATAGCCGTTGGGTGGGGTAAAGGGGGGGTCCGGGGGGGTGGGGGGGGTGGGGGGGTGGGGGGTAAAAAAACCTATAAATACTCCTACTCTTAAACATTTTTTCATATCTCTTCTCCAATTCTTCCTAAATTCATTCTTAACTCTCTACTCTCTAATTCTCTTATTCTCCAATATATTATATATCTACTCTCTAATTCTCTTCTCCAAGAAGTTAAGATGGAAAATCAAAATGCCATTATACGGTATAATTTTGATAAGCAGAAGGACCCGAAGACCGGGATGTGGTACGCAATTTGCAAATAGTGCGAAAAAAAATGTATTATGGGGGCTTCAGGCGGATTCGGGAATGCAATCAAGCATATGAAGTCATGTGACAAAGGTCACAAAGCCAAAGGATCGGGAGGTGGGGGAAGTTCCGATTGATTACAATTTTCAAAATGTTTCTCTTAAAGTTTGTTTTAATTTTCAAATGTAGTTCCTATTTCATTTCAAATAAATGCAATTGAAGTTTGTTTTTAATACTCTTATAAAACTATAAACTATAAAATATAAAATATAAATTATATATAAAAAAAAATAACCGACCCGGCCCGAACCGGACCCGACCCGTGACCCGGGCGGGTGGCCCGGCCCGAACCGGACCCGTCCAACCCTCGGGCCGGTCCCGGGCCACTGTTCTTGAACCGGCGGCCTGACCCGGGCCTAGGCCATCCCTACCTACAGCAAACAGAGTATTGACGGTAAATGAAACTGAATTAAACACGCAACCGCTGTCTTAATCCGAACGCAGAAGACTTCCGGACTCCGGTAATTGTTCTCTAAACACAGAAGGATACAAAGACGGCTATGCATCGTTTCTCCTTGATTTTGCCGGTCAAACTGGTGCACGGTGTACATTGCATAGTTGTCCTTCCGTTCTGCGTTTGGAGAACCTCTGCCATACCGGTGTAGTCTTCCTTTCTGTGTTCGGCCGGTAACTAAGGAGAATCGTTTCTACTTGAGTTCGTCCGTTGGAATGCAGCCTAAACAATCTTCCTTTCCTTAGTTTAATTTTATTTCCTGCATTTAGTTCATCATAACAGACGTTTATCTTAGGGATTAAAGTGCAAATGCATCTATCCTTGAAATAAATATTACCGAGTAAGGTTATGTCTAAAAATTCCACATGTATCATTCTTATTTGTCCACATAAGCAGAGGTACCGTACCTTCTTAATGTAAAGAGGTACCCTAGAAGAACCCAAAAAACTTTCATTAGCTACTTAAGCCTATTTGTTTTCGATTTTAGAATACGGTTACATTAAGCTCTTTTACTTTCATTAGATTTATCCACTCATTAACGCTTTGTACTCTCTCTCTCTCTCATTTTACTAATAAAATTTAATATTTCTTGGAAAAAAACAAAATAATTTGTTCAGCACAATAAGATTTTGGTCAAAAGTCCATGGTCCTTCCTCCAAAACCCGGTTATATCACTTTTATTATAGAACTGAAACATATTTTTTCAGCACAATAAGATTTTGGTCAAAAGTCCATGGTCCTTCCTCCAAAACCCGGTTATATCACTTTTATTATAGAACTGAAACACCTCTTCCAGATTTCTAGACATTCGCCATAGTACCACGAAAATTAGGGAAACATCTCGACTTTTCAGAGGTAATTGTCCCTACCAGGGACAAGCCCACTTTGTTAATGTCGGGAGCCGTAGCCTCAACATGCAGAAACTCATCCTTTTTTTTCATCTCCATTTGTCTGTGCACATTAGCCAGTCTCTCGATCTCTCCTTGCTTGGTATTGGCCTCCATCGTCACTTGCACCGCTGCTCGCGCTGCTGCTCGCCGGAGAAAGCACACCCAGACTTCGTAATTGCTTGTGAGACAGTCACCCTGCACCGCCTTCCTCTCCTTCCTTCTCACCGAAGACTTACTGATTTTAGAGGCCAACTCAAGCCTTGCCATTCGAAAAAGTGCTTACACCTGTCCGCTTTCACTCAGTCGACCAATCAAACCTCTGATTACCACACTTCAATTGCCGAATGAAAGGAGGCGCCGACTTACAAAACCCCTCGTAACCTAGAGCCATAGGTACGAGCCGCTCCGCTCTTGAAGTTACATTTGATAATATATGAAGTTACATCTTACTATGCTTGAGTTACATCTTATTAGGCGTGAGTTACATCTTCTTATGCGTGAGTTACATCTAATTATTTGTGATTTTTTACTTATCTTTATCTTTAACTAATTAAGTTACAACTTAATTTATTTTTTTCTTTACCAATTTATTACAAAAAATTACTAATTCACATAAAATAAGTATATGACCAAATATTCATATACTATAATAAAAATTAGGAGTTAGAAGATATTTTGTTTGGATTTTTTACTCAATTATTGAAATGTTGAAAAGGCTATTCTTGTTTGCACGGCCCGATCCTTACTCAACCGGGCATTGTTTTCTAAGAAGTAGAAAATTATTTTGCATTTCATATTGAATAAAAATGGAATAAAATTTTTTTATCTGATTTTTAATTATTTTTATTAATACATAATTAAATAAAATGACGGTCAAAGTTGTGTGTTGGTAAACGTGAAAAATGGAATGTTGCAACTAAAAAAGAAAGGAGGGAGTATTTCATAATCATACACTATATTTTACTTTTTTTGTTCAACTGAATTACTAACGAATTTATTTTTTATGTAACTTTTTTACATTTTTACACTTTTTTTGTAAAATATTTTTTATATTCATACATTATTATATCCAATTTGTTTGGGCCTTTGACTGTGACTCCAGACAGAATTCCTATGCAGACCCCCAACGAATAACAACCAGACGAAAGCGTGTGTATGTCCGCAGATATCAAAGAGCGTGTGTATGTCCGCAGATATCAAAGAGCGTGCATATGTTTGCAAGTTAATTATCTAAATAGGTGTAAAAGGTAGTCCACAGTCACAAATAGGACTACATTGTTTTATAATCACTGACATGAGTAATTTATGTGTGTTTGGACAAATATACCTTTGTAGCTTTTGAAATATTAGTGTTGCCTCTGCCACCCCAAGCACAACCACCTCCGGTCACCGGGAAAAAAATGTCACATGCATTAGTAATGTCATATTAATGGCAGTTTCAATGAAAATTTTGGCATTATCAAAGAGTAATATGCCATCTTTTTGGCATTTTTAGAAAAAATGGCATTTTTTACGAAAAATTGATATTTTTACGAAAAATTGATATTTTTACACCGGTCAGAGGTGGTGGTGCAGGGAGTAGAGGTAGGACAGGCATCCACATTTTTTTTATTTTTTAATGTTTTTAACTATTTTTATTATTTTTTTAATTTTTTTAAAATAATATTTTTATTTTATACATAGTCAATATTTTACTACCTCCGTCCCTTAAAACTTTGCCAAAGTTGACCGGCACGGAGAATAATAAAGTAAAAACTGTGTGGTTGAAGTTTGTGCAGAGGAGAGAGAAATAACAGTAACCACAAAATAATTGATTAAAAGGGAAAGTGGCAAAGTTTTTTGGGACGTCCCAAAAAGGAAAGATGACAAAGTTTTAAGGGACGGAGAGAGTATTAACTTATTAATATTTTTCTAGGATTTTTATTATTTTTTATGATTTTTTTATGAATTAAAACCTTTTTTACGAATTAATACACTTAAAAGTATTTTGGGTACAAAATTAATGTTTAGTCCTATTTAGTCTGATTTCTGAATGTTTTAGAGGTGTAATCCTATTTGTGATTTAGCCTAATTCTAGTCCTGCTTAAGGCAATAACTATATTAGCTATGCACAAGCGAAGTACTCCCTCCGTCCCATTTTACTTAGTCAAACTTGACTTTTCAAGTCAATGATGTCTAACTTTGACCGATTATACGTTTATATAGAGAAAGTATTAATAATATGAAAATGATATGAAAATGCTTTTTGTTAAAAATATTATCATAAAAGTATAAAAGTATTATATTTTGCATAAATATATTAGTTTAAATAATTGGTCAAAGTTTACCATCTTTGACTAGAAAAGTCAAACATGCCTAAGTAAATTGGGATGGAGGGGTATATGATTTGCACGCTAGTGTCACTCTCACACGACCGTGAATGTAGTTTTTGTTGGGATCCCTCCTTAATTGGAGAGGTTCTAGAAAAATTCTAGAACTTTCTAGAGAAGTATAGAATTTTGTAGAACGTTGCGGAGAATCCTAGAGAAGTCTAGAACTCTCTAGAAGCTTGCAGAACAGTGTTGAATCCTCTAGAATATTCTGGAGATGTGTGGAACCTTCTGGAAGCTTATGGAAGAGTATGAAAGCATATGGAAGGGAATGGAGAGGTATAGAGATTCCTTGGAATTCTCTTGAATAGGTAGTCATGTGTAGATCATTCTAGAGAATTATTTTTCACCACTCATTATGGAGGTGGAGTAGTATAAATGGGAGTAGAAGCCTCCATTCCTAACCATCCTAGCAATCCTAGCCAAGAATGAATCCACTTCTTAGAGTGAGAAAGTTAGAGAGCCTCTTTGAAAGAGAAGAGAGATAGCTTAAGAAGTTCTTATCCTCAAGCTTGAGTGAGCCACCATTGAGTGAGACAATTTTGTAACATCCTTGTAAATCCTACTATTCTTTTGTATAGTGGAAGAATCTCCATACTGGAGAATTTAAACCGTGTGCTCCTGTTACTACTTTAATTCCTAAGTGCCTATCTTAACTTCACGAAACGGGAAAGTCTGGAGTTTTTCCCAACAGTGCAGTATCAGAGTCGGGTTCAATTGATGTCGTCATTAGCTCGTGCAATTCAAGATGGAGGATAACGTTGCCCATGATGGAGACATGTTCAAGCTCACCGCCAACAACTACTCATATTGGATTTGAAGCCGATGATGGAGGATGATCAATATTGCAAGGATTTGCATGAGCCCATCATCTACAAAGAGAAGGTGGAAGGCAAGAGCGACGCTCAATGGGAGCTACTGAATCGGAAGGTCGTTGCTATGATCCGTAAGTACATCGACAAATCCCTCTTCGAACATGTGTCCACTTACACGAATGCTTATGAATTATGGGCAAAGCTTGAGTCCATGATTCAAAAGAAAACACCTCGTAATAAGGCCAATTTAGTTCGACGATTGGTGAAGTTGGATTATAAGGATGGTCATAGTATGATTGAACACTTGAACAATTTCAAGGGTCTCGTAAATCAATTAACCAAAATTGAGATGAAGATTGATGACGAGTTGCAAGCCCTTCTACTCCTTAGTTCCTTGCTGGAAAGTTGGGACACACTCGTGGTTATGCTTAGTAACTTAGCTCCGGAAGGAAAGCTAACCATGGACACCGTTAGTGATAGTCTTCTTGGTGAAGAAACAAGGAGAATGGAACGAGGTGAGTCTATGCATCCCGAGGCTAATGTTATCGAGAACCGGGGTAGGATTGTGACTCGTGGACAGTGTAAGAGCCGAGATCCGCAACAATCTCGAGGTAGGTCCAAGTCACGCTCGAAGGTCACATGCTACTATTGTGGAAGAATGGGCCACAGGAAAATGGAATGTCGATCCTTCAAAAGAGATCAAAAGGCTGGTAACGTCAAACAAGACCAAGTCAACCCAACGAAGAAGCAGCAAGAAGAGAAGAGTATCACTGCCATAGTAGCAAAAGAAGATCTGCTATATCTCGTTGGAGAAGGTAATATTCTCGACATTGCTTATGATGATAGTTCTTGGATTATAGATTCTGCTGCTTCCTTCCATGTTACTCCCCATGGAAGTTTCTTCTCATCTTACCAAAGCGATGACTTTGGTACGATTTAAATGGGAAACCAAGATAGGAGCAAGATAGTTGGGATAGGAGACATCGTCCTAACAACTAGCACCAGATGCAAGCTTGTTCTAAAAGATGTGAGGCATGTTCCGACCATGCGCCTCAATCTTATCTCCGCTGGGAAGCTAGACGATGCTGGTCTGATGAATTACTTTGGTGAAGGAAAATGGAAGCTCACCAAAGGAAGTTTGGTCATGGCTCGAGGGAAGAAGGAAGGATCATTGTACGTGATGCAAGCAAAGCCCTGTAAAGGAGAGATAAATATAACCACTGATGATATGGAGGTATGGCATAAATGACTTGGCCACATCAGTGAGAAAGGCCTTCACATACTTGCTCGGAAACAACTCCTCTCGGACGTGAAAGGTAAGTCACTTGATTCTTGTGCACACTGTTTAGCTGGAAAACAACACATGGTTGCTTTCCAAAGATTTTCTCCGCCTACTAGGAGAAAGAATATTCTCGACCTTGTACACACCGATGTGTGCTCAATGTCTGAGAGATCCATTGGTGGTGCATTGTATTTCGTGACCTTCATTGATGATCATTCAAGGAAGGTATGGTTGCACCTGTTAAAATCCAAGGATCAAGTGCTTGACGCCTTCAAGGAATTCCACGCTCTAGTAGAACGTGAGACTGGACGAAAGATCAAGTGTGTACGATCTGACAATGGAGGTGAGTATAGAGGTCCCTTTGAGGCCTATTGCAAGAAATATGGCATTAGGCTAGAGAAGACTCCACCCAAGACACCACAATTGAATGGGCTAGCTGAGAGAATGAACAGAACAATTGAAGAAAGAGTCCGTTGCATGCCCTCTCAGGCTAAGTTACCCAAGTCCTTTTGGGGAGAAGCTATAATGGCCATAGTTGACATTGTCAACCTCACACCATCAGTTTCTTTGGACGGAGCCATCCCGGAGGAAGTCTGGATGGGCAAAAGAACTTCATACAATCATCTCAAGGTGTTCGGGTGCAGAACATTTGTTCACATTCCCAAGGATGAGCGAGCAAAGCTTGATGCAAAGATGAAGGAGTGTATCTACATGCGCTCACCCAAGGACGAATTCGGCTATCGGCTATGGGATCCAATCAACAAGAAAGTTGTTCGTAACAGAGATGTGGTATTCTTCGTAGACCAAACGATTGAAGATATTAAAAACTTGGAGAAACCAAAATTGAGAAGCAACAAAAGTACCGAACCTACTACAGTTCGACGTGAGGATGACACACATCAAGATAATGATGATGAAAACCATGAGCCTGTTTCAGAGCAAAGCAACCAGGAGACTCATGATGAATCAACTCAGGAAGATCCTCAATCTAGTTCTCTGCCAGCACCAGAGCCGAGGCGATCCTCAAGGGAGAGAAGACCATCCACTCAGTATAACACCGAGGAATATGTGATGCTTAAGGATGAAGGGAAGCCACAGAGCTATAAAGAAGCAATCAATGATATTCATAAGGAAGAGTGGAGAAGAGCCATGCAAGAAGAGATGCAATCCTTGAATGAGAATCACACTTATGAACTTGTGGAGCTGCCAAAAGGGAGAAGAGCCTTGAAGAATAAATGGGTTTATCGAATCAAGACCGAAGACAATAGCTCAAAGCCTCGCTACAAAGCTCGATTGGTCGTCAAAGGATTCGGTCAAGAAAAAGGCATTGACTTTGAGTAAATATTCTATCTCGCGGTAAAGATGTCATCTATCCGAGTTGTCCTTGGCCTAGCAGCGGTGAAAGATTTGGAGATTGAACAACTCGATGTCAAGACAACGTTCCTTCATGGAGACCTAGAGGAAGAGATCTACACGGAGCAATCTGAGGGGTTCAAAGTTCTGGGTAAGGAAAACCTAGTATGTCGCTTCATGAAGAGTTTGTATGGCCTTAAGCAAGCACCGAGGAAGTGGTACAAGAAGTTTGAGTCCTTCATGGCAGAGCATGATTTTGCAAAGACGAAAAGCGATCATTGTGTCTTCATAAAGAGGTATGCAAGTGGTGACTTTCTCATACTTCTACTATATGTTGATGATATGTTGATCGTTGGACAAGATCGCATAAAAATAGATGCCTTGAAAAAGGATCTAAGCAAGAGTTTCGCCATGAAAGATTTGGGACCGGCTAAACAAATCCTTGGGATGAGAATAACTCATGATAGATCAAAGAGACTGTTGTGGCTATCCCAAGAGAGGTACATTTAGAAACTATTGGAACGGTTCAACATGAACAAATCAAAGCCAGTGAACACACCACTTGCTGGACACTTTAGGTTGAGTTCGAAGCAAAGCCCCACAAGTAAGAAAGAAAAGGAGGAAATGAAGAAGATTACATACTCATCTGTAGTAGGCAGTCTCATGTATGCAATGATATGCACAAGACCAGATATCGCCTATGCAGTTGGAGTCATTAGTCGTTTCTTGGCCAACCCAGGGAGTGAACATTGGGTAGCGGTCAAATGGATCCTCCGGTATTTACGTGGAACATCCAAAAGATGTTTATGCTTTGGAAAAGGAAAACCTGTGTTAGAAGGATACACAGATGCAGACTTGGCCGGTGATATTGATTCAAGGAAATCAACATCGGGATACCTAACTACTTTTGCAGGGGGAGCTATTTCATGGCAATCAAAACTGCATAAGTGTGTTGCATTATCCACCACAGAGGCAGAGTACATCGCAGCTACTGAAGCTTGCAAGGAGATGCTGTGTATGAAGAACATGTTGCTCGAGCTGGGAATAGATCAAGAAAGGTACGTGTTGAAGTGCGACAATCAAAGTGCAATTTACTTGGCGAAGAACTCAACATTTCATTGTCGCACGAAGCACATTGACATAAGGTATCATTGGATCCGAGAAGTCCTCGAAGAAAAGAAATTGCATCTTGACAAAGTTCACACAGACGAGAACTGGTCAAACATGATGACCAAGGTAATACCGACAAAAAAGTTCGAAGATTGCTGTCAAGGTGCAGGTTTGCTACAACCCCCCAATTAAGTCGGGGGGGGGGGGGGGGGGAGATTTGTTGGGATCTCTCCTTAATTGGAGAGGTTCTAGAAAAATTCTAGAGCTTTCTAGAGAAGTATAGAATTTTCTAGAACGTTGCGGAGAATCCTAGAGAAGTCTAGAACTCTCTAGAAGCTTCCGGAATAGTGTTGAATCCTCTAAAATATTCTGGAGATGTGTGGAACCTTCCGTAAGCTTATGGAAGAGTGTGGAAGCATATGGAAGGGAATGGAGAGGTATAGAGATTCCTTGGAATTCTCTAGAATAGGTAGTCATGTGTAGATCATTCTAGAGAACTATTTTCCACCACTCATTATGGAGGTGGAGTAGTATAAATAGGAATAGGAGCCTCCATTCCTAACCATCTTAGCAATCCTAGCCAAGAGTGAATCTGTTTCTTATAGTGAGAAAGTTAGAGAGCCTCTTTGAGAGAGAAGAGAGAAAGCTTTGGAAGTTCCTATTGATGGATTGTTGGGTATCCAAACGTATATAAAATGGAGAGATTGAGCTCAAGAAATGTGGAGAAGATGAATGAATAATGAGTTGAGGCTTTTAGAGTTAGGGTTTACAAGCTCCAAAAGGAGTGTATATATAGAAGAATATCCGAGTCTGGGCCTCTAATATGGGCCTGACAGACCCGGTTACATAAATGGACTGATAATATAAAAGGCTAATCTAAAACACCTGAATAATAATAATGTATAATAATGAAAATGCTATCAGCTGAGTGTACGTGGGCCGCTGTCCAGGCCCAATAGTCGTGAGACCTGGGGGTCCGAGTATATATACTCCACCAGGAGTCCCCCACTCCCTGAGTCGAGAGTACTTGAGGCGAAAGGGAGTAGAACTGTGTGCTGATCTATCGTCTGATGAGTAAACTTCGTGAAAAATTTTGAATTTCTGCTTCTTTGGCTAACGGAGGCGCAGGAATCCCCCACTCCCTGAGTCGAGAGTACTCGAGGTGAAAGGGAGTAGAACTGTGTGCTGATCTGTCGTCTGATGAGTAAACTTCGTGAAAAATTTTGAATTTCTGCTTCTTTGGCTAACGGAGGCGCTAAGTCCCCTGCTCTTCCAATCCCCCACTCCTTGAGGTGAATGTAGTGAGGTGAATAGGAGTAGAGTAGTGCATGTCTCGTTATGTCTTCAATAGGGGGTCGAGGGTCGACACCTTTCGATCCACAATGGGGAGATGCCTCGTTAAAAACCTCATTAGGAAAAAACCCTGTGGGAAAAAATCCTAATGAGGGAAAAGGAGTACACCGGATCCCCCCAAAATGAAGCAAAAAGGGTGAGCCCTTCGGCCTAGGTGTGGAGCTGCAACAGTGTCCGTCTGCTGAGGGGATGGCCGAGAACAGTCTCTAGATGTGAGTAGCTCGGCATGATAAGTAGTCTTAATCATCAAATAAAGATGACTAAGAGATAGGTCGAATGACCGTCCATAATGTGATGTCCGGGTCATCAAATAAAGTGATCGAGACATGTGGTCGAGAGGCCTATAAGACGTCCAAGCCATCAAATAAAGATGACGAGGAGAGACGGCCAAGTGGCCGGTATGATGAGCTCCACGTCATCAAATAAAGATGACGGGGCGATGCATGGTCGAGGTGCCCGGATGAGAGCTCCACGTCATCAAATAAAGATGACGGGGCGATGTATGGCCGAGAGGCCTGTATGAGAGCTCCACGTCATCAAATAAAGATGACGGGTCGATGAATGACCAAGGGGCCTGTATGAGATCCATGTCATCAAATAAAAATGATGGGTCAATATATGGCTGATGGGCCTATATAAGAACTCCACGCCATCAAATAAAGACGGCGGGGCGATGTACGGCCGAGAGGCCTGTAGGAGAGCTCCACGTCATCAAATAAAGATGACGGGGTGATGTATGGCCGAGAGAGGCCTATATGAGAGCTCCACGTCATCAAATAAAGATGACAGGGCGCTGTGTGGCCGAGGGGCCTGCATAAGAGCTCCACGTCGTCAACTAAAGACGACTGGGCGATGCATGGCCGATGGGCTTGCAAATGAGCTTTGCGTCATCAAATAAAGATGACGGAGCAAGATATGGCTTAGAGGCCTACAAATGAGTTCCTCGTCATCAAATAAAGATGACGGAACGATATGTGGCCGATGGGCCTGTAGATGAGCTCTTCGTCATCAAATAAAGATGACCGAGTGATATATGGCTGATGGCCCTGTAGATGAGCTCTTCGTCATCAAATAAAGATGACATAGCGATATATGGCCGATGGGCCTGTAGATGAGCTCTTCGTCATCAAATAAAGATGACAGAGCGATATATGGCCGATGGGCCTGTAGATTAGCTCTTCGTCATCAAATAATGTTGGTCCAAAATAGGACGCTCGTAGGCTTTTAGGAAAGCTACGTACGACACTCAAGCAGGAATTAGGAAAGCAAGAACGAGAATGGAAAGTAGCTATGAGATTTAGTTGCCAGAAATAGCATATAGAAATTGCCTCCCATAATCCGAATTACAACCCGCCTTTTATAGGCGTATACAAATCGTAACCGCTACCGATCATAATGACTAATTAATTACAACATTAATACGGAATTAAATACATAATTAATAGTGCATTAATTGTTTGACCGTTACTCTTCCGGGCCGGGAGGTCGGACGGAATGGCAGGCTACCCGCTGGGCTGGCAGGCAGGCTCCAGGTTGTGGACTTGGATCCACGGGTCCAAGTTTGGGGCTTGGGCTGATTAGGCTCCGGGCCTAGTCCCATTACTCCATCACGAGTCCCCCACTCCCTTAGTCGAGTAGTAGACTCGGCTAAGAGGGAGTAGTCCAAGTTAGTTGCTCTTCTCCGAGACTAGAAGAGCCCCACCCTTGTCCATGTTGGGGAGATGCCTCATTAAAAACCTTCATTAGGAAAAAACCCGATGGGAAAAAATTCTAATGAAGGGAAAAAGAGTACATCTGACGTCCCCAAGATGAAGCAAGAGGTGAGATCTTCAGCCTTTATTGCAATGGTCGCCATATGCGAATAGGATGGCTAGAATTGTTCTTCTCGTCGGGCTCAAACTCGTAAGGTTCATCATTTGCTTCCTTGAAGACGGTAAGACCCTCAGTCCCCCACTTCATTCGGTTGTACCTACACATAAAAGAAACTAGTGTAGAATAGAGCATCTGGCCTGGTGTGGAACCACGGCTCAGTGTGTAAGTGAGTCGGACTCACTACTTGAAAAAGAGTGACATCAAGTTCCCAAGTTAGGCCTCAACCCAGTCTCCGAAAGAAAGATTGAATCCGCGAGTAAGTGAGTCGAACTCCTCACTCGAATGGATAATCTAACCCCAAAGAACTAAAGTATATCAACCTTTTCGAGAAATGTGAATGTCAATTAAGTGACAAAATTGCTCGGAAGAGCGTGGCTCTAGGCCCCTAACAAGAGTTAAACTCGCCGCCCGAGGTTAGTAGTTCGAACCCGCAAGTAAAAACTTTTGAACGTGTGACTCGTCCCATGAGGTCGGAGTGTGATGCACTATGAAGGGGTAAGAGCACACGAGAACTCGTATGAAGTCAAGAGTGTGCGGTATTAACATTTATATTGGAGCTTATTAATCGTCGCACCCGTATGACGTGACCCGGTGGCGCGAGTGTGTGTGCTCGGCCAGTGTACGAGTGTGTGTGCTTGTCCGGCGTACTTGAGTGATAAGATTTCATTAGTCCGTTATTCAATGTTAAAATTACACACACTTAACAAGAGTAAACGCAATTTTATCACTTAAAATATCTTTTCAAATGTCTCAATCTATGATTTTTTTTAAATCTTTTTGCTAAATAACCGTAGGAGAGATTTTTAGCACTTATCTTGTGGTCGAGTTCGCTCAAAATTTTTGAGACAAGAGCATTAGATTGGTTGACCTCTACGACATCACCTTCAGATGTGCTAAATTTTTTTTGGACTGAAAGCTTTGTTAGGCGCTAGGAGAATGGGAATTGGACCAAGGATCTAAAGCAGTGATGTCGTGATCTCAACAATGACTCTTCGGTGTTAGTGGCGAAATCAGGTGCAACATTCGGTGCATTGTCGTCCTGAATGGTGAGCACAACTTTCGTTCAATTGAAATTCCAAATTCTTATGTTTTGTTCATCTTTTTTGAGATTTCGAGAACAATCTTTCTGGCATTCTTTGTGATTCCTACTAAAGTGATCTGAGAGACAATAACAGCTCTCAATGAAAGCACCAATGTTGGATTATTGGGTATCCAAACATATATAAAATGGAGAGATTGAGCTCAAGAAATGTGGAGAAGATGAATGAATAATGAATTGAGGCTTTTATAGTTAGGGTTTACAAGCTCCAAAAGGAGTATATATAGAAGAATATCCGGGTCTGGGCCTCTAATATGGGCCTGACAGACCCGGTTACATAAATAGACTAATAATATAAAAGGCTAATCTAGAACACCTGAATAATAATAATGTACAATAATGAAAATGCTATCAGTTGAGTGCACGTGGGCCGCTGTCCGGGCCCAATAGTCGTGAGACCCGGGGGTCCGAGTCTATATACTCCATCACCTATCCTCAAACTTGAATGAGCCACCATTGAGTGGGACAATTTTGTAACATCCTTGTAAATCCTACTATTCTTTTGTATAGTGGAAGAAGTTCCATATTGGAGAATTTAAATCGTGTGCTCCCGTTACTACTTTAATTCCTAAGTGCCTATCTTAACTTCACGAAGCGGGAAAGTCCGGAGTTTTTCCCAACAATTTTTTACACGAATTGCCTATGACGACATTTGTGTACAAGTTGTATCATTTGTGAATCAATAATGTTTGATGTACCCACCCTTATACTCACCTTATATCCATCATGTTTGTGAAACTTTTTTTTGTTTGTGAATCTGGTTCACAGACAATATTTTATTTGTACAAAATATTGTCTGTGAATTGATGTTAAAAGACAAAAAAAATCACAAAACATGAGTAAAAAAGTGGGCATTAGAGTGAATATAAACATTTTTTTGTTTGTGAACAGGTAAAGGGACAAAGATAGGAGACAAAGAATATTGAGCAGAGACAACCTATGTCCGGACATGTGTCCTGATTTGGTACGAGATTCGATCGCCAGTCCGAAGTAGCAGTACAAGTCTGGGAGCAGATTGGCCGCGACTTCAGTTGGGACTTAGGGACCTCCTTTTCAACGACTTTCAACGACTTAAGAAAGACGGTCGAAAACCAGCTACCTTCAGCTGTTTGAACTTTGCAAGAATCAGGAAAGACTAGCATTGAAAGACATAAGAAAAAAATACAGTAATCACTTGGCGAAAAGGCGATAAGATTCTTCATCTTTATTAAATAGTAAAGCTTGATTATGATCTACGTGCGAATAATATAAACTTTCTGATCTGCGATTGAGGTATCCGATTCTCCAGCAATTTGTCGTCCCTTCAAGTGGGAAGGAGCCAGTTCATCTCATTCCATATTCTTCTCTCCGTACCCAACCATTGAGATTCTCGATCGCTGCTATTTTAAGCGATGAAGTGAATGTGAGTTCCATCCCGGGCATACTTATACTGGAAACCAAACCGGGCTATACGCTGTTCTTCCTTCATTTTCTCTACATGCTTGTCAACCGTCTGGATCAGAGCAAACAATTGTCGTTTCCTGGCCGCGAATTATACTGCTGTGTGGTTTTACAAGTTGTGTAAAGTGTAATTATTTTGGGGTTGGGAGGAAGTTCTTTCCTGAGGTATGCAAGTCTGCCTAATACAAACGGACTTTCTGAAGTCATTCGTATTTCCCACTATGTTAATCTTTAAGTTCCCTTTATGCTAGAGCTTATTATGCAATGATCTGAACTGGACCTTAGAAGGCAGTGCCCCAAATGATGTTTCTAACTTCAATCTATTGAAAATTTTAAAAGAGCTTCTCTCTTATGTTTAGCACATTTGCTTAAGGTCGGGATGCATTCAAATCTGTAACCCACATCTATTGCTTTTTATTGTATCTGTACCGATTTCCTATAGGGGCTGCTGATATTTTCCTTTATTTTTGTACTTTGAGATTATCATTATCAGTACAGCTTTTTCGTCCAAGTTCAAGCAGAATTCATATTCATATAGTTGTGGGACTGCGGGAGTGATTCATTTTATGACCATATGGGCGTTGTCTTAGAGGAGTTAGAGCAATTCATAACTTTATCTTATTGTTAGTTTTTTTCGAAATATTTTTACAGCTCAACTACTTCACAAATGGAGGCCTATGAAAGGGATGCAGTACCAACATTATTAGCTACAGATTTAAGAGATGACGAAAACAATGGAACTCATTTTCGAAGACTTTCCTACAGGGCAAGGAGATCACTATCTATTCCTGCAAACTCCACTCAGTCATATGATACTGAAAATAGTCACATTGGATTTACTGGTCCGATGATGAATGAAAGACATACTTCTTATATACAGATGAGTGGTCCATTGTATTTTGGCCACCCACCAAAGAGCAGCCTCAGACCATCTCAAGTAGCATTAGGACCCAACATAATTGGGACAACAGAAGAAACATACCCTTCCTTTGCTAGAAGGGAACCAAATAGTTGGGAAGACTATGATTATGAGCGAAAAAATGAACATCTTCTGAAGTCGGGGCCACTGGGAGTATGCAACGACCAATACTGCACTACATGCCCAACTATTGACATTTTAAAGGCGCAGGGGGGGAAGTCAAAATCATCACAAAAATTTGATCACAGAGTATTCTGCCTTATCCTCACTTGTTTACCTACTTACATGAATGATTTTTGTTATTCTTGTGAGTAAAGATTGGACCATATTAGTTGTTACTTTTGAAGGACAAGAAGCTACATGTAATATGGGCATGGTATGTGCTACTAACATGCACACCTAGCTTTAGTGATCTTAAACTTTATTGAATATACTTTAAAGAGTTTCATGAATATAGTTTATCAATTTTTCCTCCATGCTCTTACTGTATACCTGGACAGTTTGCATCAAAGTGACCAGTTACCTGAAGGGCTCTAATCGTTTGTAGTTAATGTGACTGCATGCAGTTCAATAATATGATCTATGGAGATGCAAAAGGTTGGGCAAAGAGAAGTTGTTCTTTATTTCGGTCGTGCCTACCCGGTGTCATAAACCCTCATGCTATGGTGGTACAGCGGTGGAACAAGTTCTTTGTAATCTCTTGTTTATTTGCAGTTTCAATAGATCCGCTGTTCTTCTTTTTGCTGACTGTCAATCAGGTATTCACATAATTTTGGTAGTTTCAAATATTTAGAAAACTTTTGCATTTTAACTAAACTACATGCCTAACGCATTTAGAAATCTGGATAGGAATTTACTTTTATGAGATGATAAATCATAAGTATGTAGCTTTTATCTACACGAGAGTATATTATCTTTCACAGCTTAGTTTCAGAAAGAGGGAACGGTCAATTGAGTACGTCAACTTATGTATGAGGTGAAGTAAAGAGTACACTATGTTGCATTTGACATTCATAAGTACATAAACTCGATCTTTTAGTGTTAATTGAGTACAATCGTTAGATCAACACGTTAATATGGCTGAGTTGGCTAACGGAATACTGAGTAAGAACGAGTAATTGACCATATTTATGACGTCGACCTTCAGGAAGTCGGGCAAAAAGGGAAAGTCGACCTTCAAGGGTGACTGACGTCGACCAAGGAAAAGTCAACCAAGGGGCTGAGGGCTGGCTTTGACCTTCAGGAAGTCGACTTATTAGCATTTTGTTAACCAACTCAGACGTATTAACATGTTAATCTAACGAGTGTACTCAATTACCACTAAAAATCCGAATTGGTGTACTTAGAAATATCAGATGAAATATAGTGTACTCTTTACTCCACCTCATACGAGTTGATGTACTCAATTGATCCTTTCCTCGTTTCGGAAATATACAACAACAAGAACAACATTCAAGCCTTAGTCCCAAAAGAGTTTGAGGTCGGCTAACATGAATCGATATATGACAACAGATCTAAAAGAAGATGAGATAAGACAAAAAGACAAAAAAAAGATACTTCCACCATCCCATTTTTGTAAGATACACTTTCCTTTTTGGGTTGTTGCAAAAATATGATCACTTTGTCAAAGTAAAAGCCACAAACTTTTTACTTTCCCACTTTATCCCATCATCTATCACTTCACCTTTTACTTTTTGTGGACCGGTCCTACTTTTTCTTACATTTTGAGGTTAGAATGGTAAAATAACAATCCTTCTTTATTTTCTTAAAACTTGTGCCAAACCCCAAGTGTATCATACATTATGAGACAATGGTAGTAAAAAAGATAAGATAAAGATAAGACACAACAACAACATTACCCCTGTGGCGCAAAGGCTCCCACTTACGGTGGGGTAAGGGGGTTAGATGTACGCAACCTTACTCTTGTACTACAATACAAATTGACTATTTTCGGATGATCCATGATGAAAATCGCGTCGAAAGTTGCATGGCCTTTCTGCTGCTTCATAACAAAGAAGCACAAACAGTTTAACGAGCCATTTTGCTTTATTCCATCATATTCCCAAGCCAAAAAACAATGAGATTAAAAAAGAAGAAGATAAAAAATAAGATAAGAAGGATAAAAAAATATAAGATGAAAAAGATAAAATGAGATCAATCCTTCCCATGTATATTCTCCATCCACGTCTGTTTGGATCTTCTTCCACCTCTACTTGTTGTCTCCTCTCCCCACCTCTCAAATCGTGTGACAGTTGCATCACTCTGTCTTCTACGCACATAACTAAACAATCACTCTCGCATCTTATCTTCAATAGGTGTTACTCCCACCTTTTGTCGGATTTTCTCATTCCCCAAGCGGTCTTTTCTAGTATTCCGATACATCCAACACAACATGCAGATCTCAACCACACTCATCTTTTGAATGTGAGAATTTGCTTTTATGAACATTGGTACTTATTTATGTCATATGAAAATTGAATCTAGTGAATTGTCAACACCACAACATGTGAATTAGTTATCATTTAGAAGTCAATTACCATAAGGCATTTATCTAAGTACTCCCTATTTCCATTTCAAGGTTCTCATACACTATTAACAAGCTCAACGTAATTCTATTTTAATCTTTATGTTAGTTTTATATAATAAGTTTTAATCTTTTCGATTTTTTGCTATTTAGTAGAACTTATAACGTACTTTTTGAATATGTATATTTTTAATTATTAAAAGTACTCCGTAATATATATTTAATCAGGGATGATTTTACTTTATCAATCAACCATCATAAACCACACAGAAAACCTTGATATGGGGCGAAGGACTTACTAAATAGAAGTACCAATTTTTATGTGTGCTTTTATTTTGCAACACACGAGATGCAGGAAACATGAAATCAAGCTCAATACTGATTATGGTCCCACAAAAAAACAAGAACCAATTTTTAGTTCGATTTCTCCCTATTATTAGGCATGGACTTATAGAAAGTAAAGAGGCAAGAGTGTCAATAATCAAGAAGGAAGATGTTATCTAAAACTGAAAAAAAATGAAGAAACTCACGTGTAGAAGAAGAACAAAAAGAACATGAAATACCTGGAAGGTATTCCCCAGCAAGACTAACTTGCCCAACACTCTGGCTGCCCAACTCTAAAAGAGTCCCAAATTCAACTAATCTTTCAATGCATTCTATGCTAAAGAATCAATGAGAATAATTAAATAAGCTAAAATGTTATCAATAATCTACTATTCTCAATTTCATGGTAAGCATAATCTATTGCTACAATCTTTTATCTAAACAAATCTGATTCAGTATGATCATTTGAACTGTCTTGGTTGATTGTATGATTTATTTTGTTCTATAGAGGTTGGAACATATGAGGATATACCTATCAATTTTCTATTTCATTTTCCTTTATCATGCCACCTGCTTCAAAATAGCCTTGTCACCAAGGCTGGAGGTCAGACATTTGCCAATTGCCAAAAAAGTGAAGTGTGAGACATCATATTTTGTACTCTTACCCCTATTAAATATCTTGAAGTAGGTTCCCTCATGTTTGTGTTGTGATAACAATACAAAGTAGAATTTCAGGGATGTCGAGAATGTACATCCAATCGTAGGTTGTAGTTGAGAGTTCCATTCGTTCATGCAACCTTTCTTTCAGATGTTGGGCTTGTTGTGAAGGCTCACAAATGGCGTTAAATTGCCTTTTAGAGATTATTTTGGTGATGGGGGCAGTAACAGGTGCATTTGACGTATGACAGTGGCGCTGAAGAAGGTGTTGGTGGTGGAGGTCCTAATGTCAAAGATGAATTAGCAGGTGATGGAGGTAAAGGTGTAGAAGGTGGAGGTGATGATTTAAAAAATGGAATCGTTGGTGATGGAGGTGGAGGTGCTGATCTTGATCTTGGCATCAACGATGGATCTCCAAATTCAATCTTTATTATTTCACCATAAGTAAATTTGATATCTAAGGTGCAACATCGATCACATGGATTTTGTGTGTGATATGCTTGTTTCACTCTCATTGCATCCAAAATATAATATAACAATATTAAAACTTGAAAGGCGAGCAAATCATCTTTCAATCCTTGAAGGTAACAAACTGGGCTTTTCATATAAAAGTGTCCATATAAATCAAAATCATCAATGGACCGCCATAAATGATGTTCTTGATACCAAGAGAGCTTGATGTACCATTTCTCAAGAAAAAAACTGTTGGATTGTTTTGCCTTTTTGGCTGATTTTGTGGGCAGTTTTTCCCAAGTTTTTGTTTGCCTCGTCTCCCCCAAAAATTACAGAAAGTGTAAAAGGGTAGGACAAGAAGCTGTGGGTCAGACCGATTGATAGAATGATAGATAGTAAAGAGGCAAAGCTATAAATAACCAAGAGGGAAGATGTTTAATAAAACTGAAATACCCAAAGGTGCTCCCAAAAGATTAACTTGCACAATTGTGTAGGCTGCCCAATTCCAAAATAGCAAATTCAATTACTCTCTCAACACCTCCTGTGCTAAAGGAAGCCTTAAAAATAATCCATGACAATATTTAAATAAAGTAAAATATGCTCCGTACTTAATAGTCAACTATTCCCAATATCATGCTAATCATGACCTATTGCAAAAAACTTTCATTTGAGCAAATATGGTTTTGTGTGATCCTTTGATTGAGTCTTTGGACTTTCTTGATCGATTCTATGATTTCTTTCCTTCCTTAGAGGTTGGAACATATGTTTATCGTTTTCCTTTATTTCCTCTTCCTCTATCATGCAACATTTTTTACATATGTATGTCTTGATCATTGACATGTCTGCCTTTCTTTTGTTGGTTTTATATGTTCTTGTTAGTTTGTAGTATGAAAACAAGGGAGAATTGGAAATATGTGAGAATTGTTATTGATGAATATTTTTTTATACATAGAACTAGGGCTGTTAACGAGCCGAGTCGAGCCCGAACACCCAAAGCTCGAGTTCAGCTCGATAAGGAATTAGTGGTGTTCGGGTTTGAGCTCAAAGCTCGACGAGCTTTACAAATGAGGCTCGTGTTCGGCTCGATAGGCATTCGATGTTCGAAACGAGCGTTCGATAAGCTTGATAAATATGCTTGAATTAAAAAATTTAGGTGATGCTCGTTAATAGGCTCGTGCTCGAATGATTCGACAAGTATTCGGTTCGTTAATAATCATATTTAAATTCATAAAATCATACTAATTATATTTAAATTTTGAAGTATATATAAATTATATTTATAATTTCAGGTGTTCGATATGTGCGAGTTCGAACCAAGACGAATACTACTATGTTCGAGCTCGGCTCGATTAAGTTTTCGAACTTACAACTCAGCTCGGGTTCGAGTTCGAAGGCTCGTTAAGCTCGGCTCGTTAGGTTCGAAACCGAGCTCGGCTCGTTAGGTTCGAAACCGAGCTCGGCTCGTTAGGTTCGAAACCGAGCTCGAACTCGAATAGTTCGATAAAAGCTCGGTTCGTTAACAGCCCTACATAGAATTGACTGCCAGCACCTTATTTGTAGCTTAGATAGATTATTCTAGACCTCTTGGAATACTTTAAGACTCTAATTAATACAAAAAGTCTAAGAGGCTCATCCTTTTGTATTCTGTGTTGCTGGACAAACTTAATTAAGATTCTCTAGAATAATCAGGATGCTTCTGAAAAAGTCTCATGCTTCGACACTCCTCCTTGAGACTTTTCCCTGTAACACCAAGCTTGAACCTGAGGAACTCAAACCTGCCTTTTGGTAAGGCTTTAGTTAAGGAACTCAGAGGGACAGTGAACAAGTTTTACTTCCTTATCTTGTTCTGCATCCTGAAGTGCATAAAACCTGACTTTCTTGTTGTACCATGCCCGCGGGGCTTGTTTTAAGCCATATAAAGCATTTCTCAATTTACACACCTTCTCTTCTTCTCCTCTCTTAACAAATCCTGGTGGTTGCTCAATGTAAATCTCCTCCTCGAGTTCTCCATTGAGGAAGGCTGATTTGACGACATCAAGCTGAAATATTTTTCACCTTTCTTGCGCAGCTAGAGCAATGAGGGTCCGGACTGTGTCATGTCTTGCAACCGGAGCAAATGTATCTCCATAGACCATAATCGATTCCGGCTTGTTGGGAGTATCCTTTGACAACTAGCCTGGCCTTGTGTTTATTAATAGACCCATCAGGATTTAGTTTGGTTTTGTAGATCCATTTCACGCCAATCACCTTTCGATCTACAGGCTTGTCAACTAACTCCCATGTTTTGTTCTTCTTTATCATGTTGATTTCTGTTTCCATAGCATCCTGCAATTCCTTATGTTTGACCGCTTCATTATAGTCTCTAAGCACTTCAATGGCAAAGTAACATCTCTGGCACTCCTCGGGATCTAAATGGATGATAGGGCAGTCACTATATATTTCAGAGAGTGCCCTTTTACTACAAGGGCCTGTAGCGTTTTCTGAATTTTCATTCGAAGATAGTGACTCTCCCTGCACAAGAGATGAAAGTGGCGTGTGAGGCTCTGAATTCAGAATGAGAGAGTAATGTCACTCTTCTTTCAACCTTCTTCTCTTACCAATTCCAGATCGCATCTTTGTCAAACTCCACCTCTGCTGACCACGATCTTCTCTGATTCAAGGTCGAAGATCCTATAGCCTTTTGACTTGGAATCATAGCCAGTAAGGACCCCTTTCTCTGCCTTTTCATCAAGTTTGCTCCTTTTTTGAGATGGAATATGAGCATAGCAGATTGAACCGAACACTTTTAGATGCTTAGCTGTAAGCTTTTTCCTGCTCCAAGCTTCTATAGGAGTTTTACCTTGAATTGTGTTTGTAGGAAGTCTATTAAGCAAGTATACGGAGGTATAAACAACATCTGCCCATAATTTCTTTGGCATTTTCTTTTCTGCCAACATACATCTTGTCATTTCCATAACGGTTCTGTTTTTCTTTCCGAAACTCCGTTCTGCTGAGGCGTATACCCAACTGTGAGCTGATGTTCCACGCCTTCATCTTTACAAAACTCATCAAATTCTGTTGAAGTATACTCCTTCCTCTGTCAGATCTTAACATCTTCAATTTGGAGCCACATTGATTTTCAACTAGGGCCTTGAACTTCTTGAAGACTTGAAAAACTTCTGATTTTTCTTTCATGAAGTACACCCAAGTCATTCGAGTAAAGTCATCAATGAACAGGATGAAGTATCTGTTTTTGTGAAGAGACAATGTTCTTTGAGGACCACATGCATCCGTGTGAACAAGCTCCAATTTCTCCTTTGCTCTCCATGCTTGTCCTCTTGCAAATGGTAGTCGATGTCGCTTTCAAAATTTGCAAGGCTCACATAGCTCTTTAGTGATGTGAATGAAGGAAAATCTCACACGACATTACGCTTGTGAAGGTCAGCTAGTGCACGCAAGTTGAAATGCTCATACCTTCTATGCCATAGCCATGTGTCTCCGGTGGTTGCTCTATTTGATGTCTCCTCTACGTAGCTCCACTTTAGTGAGAAACGTTTGTTCTCCACCATTACTTTAGCAATCTCCTTTCTATCAGGATGCAATGGTCATTCTTAAAAACAAGTGAATAACCATTTTTTATCATTTGAGCCACACTAAGCAAGTTTTCAGCAAGTTCCAGGACAAGAAGCACATCATTCGTACCTCTCTTTGTTGCAATAGCAACTGTTCCCCTACCTTTGGATTTTCCAACTTCACCATTTCCCATGCGAACTGGAGTTTGGACAGAAGTGTCCAGTTTGCAAAAGATGCTAGAATCATTTGTCATGTGATTTGTACCACTATCAATTAACCATTTCTTATTGTTGGTGGCTATTGCTTGGCGCGCATAGAAGAGATATTCATTTTGATTGTTACTTGAAAAATGAGCTTCTATTTTGGACTCCATTTGTTTCTGTCTACACTCCTTCTCAATATGGCCAAATCTCTTGCAGTAGCGGCATTGAGGTTTACCTTTGAAATTCCAATCCTTTCGGCATGATTTGTCTTTCCGCATGTGCCACAAGGAGGGAATTTCCCCCTTCATTGAGCAGCCTGTTTTTTATATCCACCACCAAAATCTGTAGAACTACCTTTCTTCTTCCAGTAATTGCTGCTACCTTTAGGCTCCAAAGTCTTTGGTTTATGCTTAGACTGAAAAGCATCCATAGGAGTAGGAACCGTCTCAAACTGTTTCTTGAATTTTTGTTCATGTGCGAGCAACTATCCAACTAGCTCCAACACTGTGAGCTTTGATATGTCCTTGGATTCCTCAATGATAGCGATAATTGTGTTAAACTTTTTGGTCAAGGTTCCAAGAATTTTCTTCACATTTCTTGAATCTTTGATATCTTCATCATAAATTTTCATTTGATTAACAACTTCCATTAACCTGGAAGTGTAATGTTTTATGTCTTATTGTCCCTCATCTTCAAATTTTCGAAATCCTTCCTTAAAGTGCTGAGTCATATGGCTCTTATCTTTTCATCTCCATGATATTCTTACTGGAGTGAATCCCATGCTTCTTTTGCGGTTGAAACTCGCATGATTTTGGGGAAGATGGTCTCCGTAACTGCATTGAGAATGGAAGACAAGACTTTGACATCTTTTAACTCATCTTCCCTTATCTCCTTTAATTCAGCATCATGTGTTCAACCCCTTGTTGCTGTTGTTGGGGACCACTCTCTACTATCTCCCACAGTGAACTTGATCTCAAGAAGAGCTTCATTTTAATTCTCCAATAGTCATAGTTTTCTCCTCTGAATACAGGAGGTGCTGGCACAGAAATTGTTGGTTTTGTGTTAGATGTGGAAGCCATGATTGGTGGCCCTAAAAATCTTTCAGCTCTGATACCACTTGTTACTTTGTAGTATGAAAAAAGGGAGAATTGGAAATATGTGAGAATTATTATTGATGACTTTTTTTATACATAGAACTGACTGCCAGCACCTTATTTATAGCTTAGATAGATTATTCTAGACCTCTATGAATACTTTAAGACTCTAATTAATACAAGAAGTCTAAGAGACTCATCCTTTTGTATTCTGTGTTGCTGGACAAACTTAATAAAGATTCTCTAGAATAATCAGGATGCTACTGAAAAAGTCTCATGCTTCAACAGTTCTCAATTTCCATCTTTAACCAATCAAGATGTTTTTATCTTCTTTGTTTCAAATGCAACAGTAACTATGATTTAGTAGTTCAGCAATGATACCTACATTTATAGTTTTCTTGTAACATGCTCATTGCTTCTCTAATGTTATATTAGTTGGGTTGATGTATCTTGAATCAATGTTCTCATTTTGGTTTTAGGATGACAAATGCATGGTACTTAACTGGGCACTGACAACTACGGTTTTGATTTGGAGGAGCTTGGCTGATTTCATATACCTAATACACATGCTTCTTCAGGTGACTATTTTCTTCTGGCACTCAGATGCATTTGAAGGACATCTTTTCTATTAGAACACTGTGGCCTGATTCCTCTTCTCTTTACAGCATCTGCTGTTGAATAAGTGTATGGGTGTCAGTCTTACTTGAATTTACTTGACTGGGTTAGGTCTCTTTTGGTGGAAGTATGTCTCCTTTCAGCCAACAGCTAAGGATTATTTTCCTGGCTTGTACTAGCATGCATGGGTCAGAAAATGACAATGCCAGTAAAGAAAGAAACTTTTTTAAACCATGAAGAAAATGACTGTCACAGGGCTATATGCCACTTCTATTCATGGACGTAGCTGGGGGGGCAACCTAGGCCCCGGCCCAGCCCAAATTTAAAAAATGTCTTAAATGTAAGTGTAAATTATGTTGTGTTAAAATTTTCAAGAAAATTATTTTGTGCTGGCCCAGCCCCGTTTGAACGTCTGCCTACACTACTGCAGTTCTATCTGATTCTTTAATTCCAAATCATGTTTGCAATTTCCTAGTTCAAGTTGCAAATTCATCACCCACCTTAATAATGACATGCCCGGGTTGGTGGCGTGAAATATATAGTGCCAAATAATTTTTTAAATTTAATGAATATTATCATTCTTCTAGTTGGCTTAGTGAAACAGATGTTTTTCTATTTTTGTTTTTAGTGGTTTCTTTAATTCTTCATCTAGGGCAGTAACTGCATGTGAACTTCATTATGGTTGGCTTGATTATGCTAATTGTTACCCATCACATCTAACTCCAATTTTGCAGTTTCGGCTGGCTTATATTGCACCTGAATCCAGGGTTGTTGGAGCGGGTGACTTAGTTGATCATCCCAAAAAAATCGCTGTCAATTATCTTAAAGGATATTTTTTGATTGATTTCTTGGTTGTCTTGCCATTGCCTCAGGTAAAAACCGCATGACTTGCTCGCAAGTTGTTTGCATTTAAACTTCCATGAAAATGCAATATATAGGTAGCACTTCTCTATTACATAATGTAGTGCCACTGCATTGTGGTTATGCTTGCTCCACAGAAAAAATCGACCTTACTTTCTCCTTTCAGCGGAGTTATACTAGTGACTAGTCAATAGACTAATTACACACTTATTGAATTAGTACCCATTTCACCTTTAGGCAATGGTTTTGCGAAAAATGGATTATTTGTGAGGTATTGATCTTTAGCATTTCACACCACAGATCATTATACTGCTGATTTTACCTGGCTCAATGGGATCATCCGGTGCAAATAATGCAAAAAGCCTTTTACGTGCAGCAATTTTGGTGCAGTATGTACCCAGACTGTGGCGGTTTCTTCCCGTGCTAAGAGGCCAGTCTCCAAGTGGCTTCATATTTGAGTCAGCATGGGCTAATTTTGTGATCAATTTTCTAACATTTATGTTGTCAAGCCATGTGGTGGGATCATGTTGGTATCTTTTGGGCTTACAGGTAGGAAGCTAATTTAGATATTTTAGATTTTCATGACATAACTGTGCTGAGGTTTATGCAAGCTACTTTGACAACCCTATGGTTGCAATATATCTGCAATTTCTAAGATGATTTGGTTGTCCTTATTTTTACAGTATTTTTCTAAATTGTCTCAAAAGCAACATATTATAGAAAGAACGTCTCCCTACTTCACAGATTAATAGTGGAATATTATTGTTTTTGTTATTTCTGACATGAATAACATAGACACAAATTTTATAGTCTGTGAAAGCTTACAAGGAACCTAGTGACAAAAATTTTAATGAAGCACTTCATAATTTATTATACGGAGTAATTATTTATGATTATATATGTTGTAATAAGAAGTTATATTTTAAGATTAAGAATATATCTTTAAAGTATAGGGGTTGGCTCTGCCCTTATGTTTCCTGTTCCTCCTCCAGAGGGTGAATCAATGTCTTCGTGAAGCTTGTCATAAATCTCAAATTAAAAGGTGCAAGGAATTCATTGACTGTGGGCATGGCAGTGATTACAGTGATTTCTCATCAGATTCATCGTGGATTCAATGGAAGAATGATGGGAATGCAAGTGCTTGTTTTCGTACTGATGGTTTTGACTATGGAATATATGATCATGTCGTCAATCTCGCAACAAAGCATAGCTTAGTTAAAAGATATGTGTACTCACTGTTCTGGGGCTTTCAGGTAGTTATAGTCAGGTAGTTCTATATTTTTCTTGATTGTGTGAATATCTTATAATGTTTATCGAATTAGTGAAGTATCCCTGGCCCCTTATTAAATTATTATAGCCCTCTGGGTCAGTCAATTGGCTTGATCCCTGGAATTGAACCCATGGAACAAAGAGTTCTATGTGTTGGCCACCCGAAACCAACTCCCCAGAGGGTCACTGGAGGATTTAACCGGCTGTTAAATTCAGGGCCTGCGGTGTCCCAGACATCGTATTATTTCTGGAAGCTTTGTGAAATCATTATTTCTGTATCGACTTGCCAGCTTTGTACATCCGAAAATAATTCACTTGGATTTTGTACTCTACATGAGAGAACGACTTTATCAGGAAAGGTTCAGGTAAAAGTTCTGCATTTAAACCTCTATTTGCCCCTTGACCTGGATGGATGCTTGAAGCTAACTTCCAGTCGCATATCCATTCCAAAAGTAGAAAAGTAACTGGAAATGTGTTTTACCATCAAATAGCTGAGTATGTTATGCTTCTTTTTGCAAATGACATGTGTTTTTCTTAATGATGTATTTCTGCAGAAGAAGGTTATGGAAAATGTGGGGAGGAAACTATTGTTGAAACACCTCAGTTTTTTTATCTATACATAATTTAGAAGCCTTTTCCATCATTTGCAATGGAGCCAAAGATTCATTATTTTTTGGCTTGAGATTATGATGGAATAAAGCAAAATGGCTCACTAAACTGTCTGCGCTTCTTTATTATGAAGCAACAGTCAGTCCATGCAATTTTGGACGCGATTTTCACTATGGGTCATCCGGAAACAGTGTCTCTGTGCTTTAGTATAGGGGTAAGACTGTGTATATCCAACCCCCCCTTACCCCACCGTAGGTGGGAGCCTTTGCGGCATTGGGGTAAATGAAAATGAAAATGAAATGATACATAATTTAGAAGCCTAAGTTTTATCTGTTCTATTTATTGACCAATTTTTTCTGAGAGGTTAAACTTAAGTCTTTAATTGGCATTAGAAATATCTGGCCGATGATATCCTTTTATTGTTATCCTGAACATTTCTCTTTTTAAATACATGTTGAATATCTACCTGATGTAATTTTTTTTTTATGGTCAGCAAATAAGCACTCTTGCGGGGAATCTAGTTCCAAGTTATTATGAGTGGGAAGTTCTTTTCACTATGGCCATTATTGGACTGGGTCTCCTACTTTTTGCTCTGCTCATTGGAAATATGCAAAACTTTCTACAGTCTCTTGGAAGCAGGTACAAGTATACAACTATTACTTTATTACGCCCTCCGTCCCAAATTGTTTTGCAAAGTCAACATTTTTTTGTCAACCAATTATAACAGTCAATCCTCACTATCGATAATTAACTCAATTTTTAATAATTAAAATTTACATATTCAGAAATTACATTAAAATCTCTTCAAAGTTGTAAACTCCAAATTAGAAAATAATTAAAAATTGACATCCTAATTAAGCAAATAAAATGAAACTGTTTGACCAAGAAAAGTCAAATTTGCAAATCAATTTGCAACGGAGGTATATAAATTTCATCTGTGTGGGAAGAACAAAATATGGGTGTTATATACACGTTTGGAAAATGGGAGATCACTACGAAAGCTTTCACATATTTGTATATGGACATATTTTGTGCAAACTAAATATGGGTAGACTAAATGCGGACAAGTTTACCCATTATAATCAGAAAATTTCAGTCCATTTTAACATTATTTCAACAAAGACGCGACCAAACTGGACAACATTGTGAAAATTACCCTATTCTTTGTCATGTCACTAGTCAACTTAATGATCAGCAGATATATTTGAATCCCAGGAAATGCTAGGTTGAATAAGAAAACTGTTTTCTAATGTATGAAAAAGTTTAGGGCCTATTTACTAACGGAGATATTTTCCAATTTTTTTATCTCCAGTTTTTTGTATTCATTTTTCAATTTTCCATTTTCAAATCTGAAAAAATGTTCATACAATTTTTTCACCCGGTTCTGTGACCGACCAAAAGACCGAAAGTACGGTCCCAGTCCGGAACCGAACTTAGTACAACCCAAGTATGGTACTGGGTTCCACGTATAGGAAAGTTGGGACCGAAAATGGCCGGTCTCGATCGATCTCAACAATTAGTTTGATGAATTATTTTCCCATTTCCCTATTGCTTGACAACTCAACGGTTCTTTTAAAACACTTCACTTTAAAAAATGATTTCAAAAAACCGAGACTGAATCGTCGGGTCATTAACCGGCCCGGATAATGATATTCTCTATAGGCAGTTGGAAATGACACTGAGGCGCCGTGATGTTGAGAAGTGGATGTGCCATCGTCGCCTGCCGGAACGTTTAAGAAGGTATCTTCTAAAGTTTTCTGTGAAGTGGATAAAATGGTGTTCTTTGACTGGAAAGTTAATAGGATCTTCATATTTCCTCCTTGTAGGCGGGTACGACAAGCTGAACGCTATACTTGGGCAGCTACCCGAGGGGTGAATGAAGAAATGCTGTTGGAGAACCTCCCTGAAGATGTACAGAGAGATATACGGAGGCATCTCTTTAAATTTATCCAGAAGGTGAGCTTTGAGCTAATAACATTGGCCATCTACCACTTCAGCATAAACTTGAGTCCTTGCTCCCATATAAATGTGAATGTGTCATTGTGGTTCTCACCATCAAACTACATTTAGCAGGCCGTGTCACATCCCAGTCATCCCTAATTATACCCCTTCTACTTATATTTTCAACTAGCTAAGCCGGAAAATTATATTATAAGTTTGTTGTAAAATGTTTGATGAACTCAGGTATGAAATATTAGATTGTTTTTTCTCAATGTATTTCATTTTTCGGTAATCCTAGTTCAGCCAGCCTGGTGCCAAGTACATGCTCTGCCTCTAATTGAAGCCTTCTTGTTATTATACTAATATATAAATTTTAAATTCAAATCCTGCTGGTCGAAACAAATTTACTCCTTACTATATATCTGCTGGCTGTTCATATGTCGGCTGTAGGTATCTTGTTTTGTTTTGTGGGAAATGGGAATGGCATGAATAAATGGTATGAGGCATTAGCTACTACAGGTCCTACTAATTTGTATGGGTTTCTTTATGGCGGGTATGTTATTTTTTGCAGGTTCGCATTCTTAGGCTTCTAGAAGAACCAGTTTTGGATGCCATACGTGAAAGATTAAGGCAAGCAACATATATAGAAGAAAGCATTGTTTTGTACAAGGGTGGCCTTATTGACAAGATGGTTTTTATCATTCGGGGAAAGATGGAGAGCATAGGAGAAGATGGAAATGTGGCCACGCTGGACGAAGGGGTTGCTTGTGGAGAAGAACTCCTTACGTGGTGCCTAGAGCATTCTTCTATATATAAAGGTAAATACTCCATACTGTGCATTAGAAGGTGAATGCGGCCGTACCTCATAAATTAGCGAGGGTATCCCATATAATACTCCCTCCAAAAAACTTTGCCACTTGGAATAATACCATACCTGCATTTGATTGGTCCAAATAATTTATATATTTAAATTATTTAATTGTTATATTCTAATTGATCCACATGGATGGACGAGGTAAAGTAGAATTTGCCTAAAAATCAATATATTTTTTGAACTTTATCATGTCAATTGACATTATTGGATGCTCATGGCCTTTAAAAAGGTATTGTTTGGCCATGTACAGTATAAAATATATGCAATCATCTCCCCTTGCCTCTACCGCCTTCTAGCACCACCACCTCCAACCACCGAAAAATGTCAATTTTGTATAAAAATGCCACTTTTTCTCTGAAAATGTCATTGACGATGCATTATTATTCTTTGAAAAATGCCAACAAAATAGAATTATTAATGGATTATGCATGATGAGATTTTTCCGGTGATTGGGGGTGGTGGTGCTGGAAGTTTGATGAGGCATCAGTTGGGGCCTCTTTTTTTACATTATTTATTTTATTTTTATAAATAAAAAATATTATTATTAATATATGATCATCATCATCCTTACCTACGGTGGAGTAAGGAGGGGTCGGATGTACGCAGCCTTACCCCTGTACTAAAGTACAGAGAGACTGTTTCCGGATGACCCAAAGTGAAAATCACGTCAAAAATTGCATTGACTGACTGTTGCTTCATAACAAAGAAACGCAGACAGTTTAGTGAGTCATTTTGCTTTATTCCGTCATATTCTCAAGCCAAAGAATAGTGAATCTTTGGCTCCATTGCAAATGATGGAAAACTTTTTAATACTCCGTATATGATAAGGGTAGAATATGAAGAGAGTGTGAGTTACTCTTATTTTGGGAATATGAAACTCATACTCCTATTTTTGCAATTTAACTTCTATTTACTCCTAATGCATAGTGACATTTTTGCAATCATGATCGGAGGTGGCGGTGTTGGAAGGTTGTGCATTTTTTTCTTCATGTTTTTATGTTTCAATTATAAATAAAAAGTATTCTTATTACTATGTAGTACGTAGTATATGATAAGCGTAGAACATGAAGAGGGAGCATGAGTTACTCTTATTTTGAGAATTTGAAACTCATAATCATATTCTTGCAATTTCTAATCATATTCTTGCAATTTAACTGCTATTTACTCCTAATTTAGATAAAAATCCCTATATAGATATAACAAATTAAAGCTTTTTAAATATGACTAATTCTTTTTCTTGATAAAAAAAACTTTTGGAATAAGTGCTATTAACCCCAAAAATGTTTGGTGAACTCCTTTTTTGCACACAATTCACAGTCTTTGTTCGTCTACACAGACATTTTGTCTTTTTGCAAACAATTTTCTGTATTTCCAAAGGAATTGTCTATATACAAACAACTTTGTTTGTGTAAGTCTGTGAATGGTGTACAAAAAAGGTGCACAACAAGCATTGCCCTTGCCGCTTGGGACCATACTATCCTTTTTTTAAAAGGATATACGTAGTACGGAGTATTTGATATTGACATCATTCTTTCTTATGTACATTAATTTCCTAATTACATCCTCATCCCACATGTTACTTACGTGCCTTTTAATGCTAGCTATTAAAACTTTTGTCAAAAAGAAGTATGGGAACAGTTTGGGGATGGGGGTGGGCAGCAAGCCATCAAGGGCATAGTAGGGGGCAACTTAGGCCCCAGCCCAAATTAGAAAAACGTCGAAAATATTTGAGTAAAACACTTTGTGTTAAAAAAATCAAAAACACCTTTGTACCGGCCCAACTGGGATAGGTGTGCTTATCTACGCCACTGTGAGCCATACGGCAATTAATTTGACAATTAACTTTGTTTTGTTTTTAAATTCAAGATGGGATAAAGATGAGGTTTCCAGGACACAGGCTTATAAGTAACAGGGTCGTAAGGTGCCTTACTAATGTTGAAGCATTTATATTGCGGGAAGCAGACCTTCACGAAGTCATTTCTCTCTATGCAAGATTTTTGAGGAACCCACGTGTTCAGAGTGCCATAAGGTTTTTTATTCTTTACTTTTCATAAATATACAGAGAATATGTTATGAGTTTCTAGTATTTCCATGGTGATGGTCATATTTACTTGATGATTTGCTGACACCTCACATTGCAGGTCTGAATCTCCCTATTGGCGTGCCCTTGCTGCTAGGTGCATCCAAGTCGCGTGGAGGTACAGGAAGAAGCGTCTAAGTCGTGCAGATGTCTCTAGTCCATAACACAGTTTAGGGATGTAATATCAGAATACCATTCTGATCCTAGCTTATGGATTTGTATTTGAATTAAATAGGAGCAATATTTATTGCATGACTTTACCTGAATTTAACTGAAAAGAAATAAGGACAAAAGAAAAGCAACAAGAGGCCAATAGAAATCATAGATGGTAGTTTTTAAAGGTGTATAGGTACATTAAAAGGACTACCTTTGCATGAAAATATGGACAGAATTCGAGCCTATTTGTTTCACTGATATTCTTTATCATGTTATTTTGTTACAACAAGATGGCTTTAACATAATACATTATACGAATGAAGTAGGTAGTATAATTTTTGAACGGTTTACAACATATGTACTACGTTTATAGTGAGTTAGCTTCATCCGATAGAATAAATTGTCTGTCTCACATACTTTGATTTCAAGACGACGAGCAAGAATTCACATCTTCCTTTCAAGTTTCAACCATGCAAGAACCATCACTGACATTTTGTGCATAGTTTAACAAACATACGAGTATCAAATGTGCATAGTTTAACAAACATACGAGTATCAAATTTCCCGTAATTATAGATTAAATTTTGTGATGTCCATTTGGTGACATTGTTTTTTAGCATAGTAGTACTGTTAGATTTTCTTTTCAAGCTCTAATTTTTTTATTTCATGCATTAAATTGGCTATTATTGAAATGGTAAATTTGGATGCATTATGATTGAAGACTTGAAGAGGGTTATTTTAGATTGTGTGTATTTTTTATTTTTTACTCATAAAGTATACTTTAAATATGGTTTACCATATTTAGCCTAGCTATTAAGTCAACTCAGTCATTTCATATGTGATTTTAACATGTACAACAAATTCTACCAATTTTTAGGCTAACAAAATGTGCTCATACCTTACTATGTAACAGTAAGAAAAATTTCATTATCACAGCTGAGGCATGTCGTCTAAAGTTGTAAGAAAAATTAACTCTGATTTTTAAAAGTCTTCGAAAAATTAAAAGAAAAATACTGGAGGTGCGCCTAATCGAGGAGATCAACAAACTATCATTCTCTTTAGATTTTCGGCTTTATTTGGATATTTTTAAAAAATGAATTCGTTAATATCACTTTTCCACTAGACTTTCTGGTGAAAGTGTGGTTGGAAATGAAAAAGAAACATGGTTTGGAGGTCTTCTTGATGAGGTGCACCACTTAGTATTTTTCTTTTAATTTTTCGGAGACTTTTGAAAATCGGAGTTAATTTTTCTAACGGCGTTGGACGTCATGCCCCAGTTGTGATAACAGAATTGCAACACATGTTCCACTTTGTAAAAAAATGAAACACGTGCCCCTGTCTAAAAACGACCCAAATCACAAGTACATTTTATGTAATTTTCCTTAGTTTTAATCCATAGTTACATTGTTAGAGCTAAAATTTAAATCATATTAATGAAGTTACAAAACTACACAAATATGATACAATTAATTGTCATATACACATTATAGTCATTACTTATCTTTTAAAATTTAGCATTCTTTCAATCTATATATACCAGAATATAAGATAAATTGTCCAAAAAGAACTAGTTAGTACTTCTGTCCCAAAGTTATCTTTGAATATTCCTTTTTCGTTCTTCCCAAAATTATCTTCTCTTTCCCTTTTTGACAATGAATCTGTGATTTACAACATTTATTACACATTCTTATACATTTATCTCCTTTGCACAACTTTCTACCACTCAATACTCACTATCTTAATTCTCGTGTCATTTGTACTTCAGGAGATAACTATGGGACAAAAGGAGTACATGATTTATACACACACATCTATTTAGATATTTCAAGGACAGAAGAATGCATACTTGGACTATAAAATTGTTGGTGAAAAGATAATGACACCATTTTTTTAATCCCGGAGCAAACCACACGGGGTGGGGGAGTGCCGGGGAACACTTCCCTATTTTATTAAAGGAAAAAGGTGCAAATAAGCCCTCGAACTAACCGAAAAAGTGCAAAGCACCCCTTTCATACGAGGTTCTGTCCAGCCATCGCCATTTGGGGAGATTCCCGGTGGACTTTCTTGATGAATTTTTTTAAGCATCTTCTTCATTAAGTCTAGTTTACTCATACCAAATTTCAGCTAACAATTCAACCAGGAAGGCAGTCAAATGATTTTCTGAAATATATTGCGCAGTTATCTTCAAACAATTATTTGACTGCCTTCCCGATTGCATTTTTAGCAGAAATTTGGTATGGGTAAACTATACTTAATGAAGAAGATGCAAAAAAATATTCATCAAAAAATTTCACCGGTAACCACCCCAAACGGTGACGACCGGATAGAGCCTCCTATAAAAGGGGTGATTTGCACTTTTTCGGTTAGTTTGAGGGCTTATTTGCCCCTTTTCCCTTTATTAAATAAAGTTTGAAATTACAAGAGAAAAATATGAAAACAAACCAAACAAGTAATAAAACTTCAATAATTGAAATTTTGTGTAGGAATCTCCACAGCAGCTGAGATAGACCTATTGAATTTGTTGTGAAAAATGATCACGTGATGGGTGCGAGGCTAGAAGGTAGTGTGCGGCGGTGTTGGGTGGGGCTGGGGTGTGTCATTGATGGGCACGGGCTGGGGGAGGGTGATGTGGGGCTGGAGGAGATGAGATGGTGAACCACAAAAAGATTCACTTCTCACAAAGAATAAATTTATTGTTGATTAGCATTTACAATATCACATAGATATTCAAAGAAAACTAAATGAGTCTGTGGATCAATTTTATTCAAATGTTGTAATATTCACTAAAGGGGATGTATTGTATTAGAAATTAGTAGCAAAATTTTAAAAGTTCATATATTTTAAAAGTTTAGGTGTATTCTATGTGGAATTAAAGCCTAAAAAAGTCTAGGTGTATTCAATGTTGACTTTTAAAAATCAAGAAAAGTCTAGACACATTCAAACTTCCGTTCATTCTTATTGACTTCTAAATTCATGGATTCTCGTGAACTTTTAACTCAATCTTGGTACAATAATCCTCTGCAATTGTTTCTTCTCCTCATCAAAGATTTCTGTGGACTTTTCAGTTGTTTTTTACACGTCACAAGCACGCATAGATCTGGTTGTAGATTTGGCTAATTTTTTACCTAGGATCACAAACCGTCCAACAAGTCTTGGACTAGTACCGGCCAACAAGTCCTGGATTTGGTCGAGAGGTGGATATCATGGTGGACTCAATATGAAAGATTTGAACATTAAATTTTGATTTGTTTTTATCATTTTATGAAAAATAAAGTTGATCGAACAATGACCACAAATTCTAAATTAATACTAATACACAAGATAAAATTTTAAAAAATGTGATATTTTATATATCATCTTTCGAAGAAAGATGTAGAGATGAGATCGGTTTAGTAATGAAAGAAAATAGGAACCATTTGAAGAACCATTAATCTCATATCGATTCGATTCTAAATTTTTTAGAAGAACCGATATAAGAATCAATAGTATTACATCATTGCAAATTATTGAGGAAAAAATAATTTAACTATTTGTCAGTTAGTTATACTGGTACGTTGTCAGTTAACCATTAAGAAAAAAAATTCTAACTACTACTGTGTTTCATCATTAAACCGCTAACACATAAAAAAATAATTTCAAACTAATAAACATTTAACCGTAAATAGGTAAACAAAATTTAAAAAGCTAAAAATTAAAAGAAAACAATTTTTAAGAAGAAAAACTCGATTGCACCTATGCTTGTACCACATGTAGCAATGAGTGTAACATTTGTGTAACTATTAATGTTCTTACTCATTGAGTAGTGTAATATAACAATTGATCATAAAGAGACTGATATTATTGAGCATTTTCGAAACTTTGACTTTTCTTTTTAATAAAAATAAATTTAGACGCTTGTGCTTCGTTTATTCTCGTAGAACTTTGTGTTGCTAGATGAATTATATTTGTTTTATTTATTTATCAAATTGTTTCTTATCATATTATACATAGGAAATTACTCACGGTAGGACTTAAACATATCATTTTTTCCAAAATATGATCATATGTTTGATTTTACTTACATATGACTACATATTACATTTCTATCCCTAATTTAATTAACTAATTAATTCATATAATTAATTGTCCCATAGTTCCCTTGCATGACCAAATTCATTTTGTTGGTGGTGAATCAGTCCGATGATGACGCTGACAAACTTCGGTGACATAGGCGAACAGACAGATCGGTACCGACGATTTGAGAGAAAATTCTGACGACCGGCATTGGAGGTTTGGATTCAAAAGTCTATGGACTTTTTGAAAGCCTATAAACTTATCCATGAATTTAAAAGTCAATAGCATTCATCTATAAAAAGTCCATGGATTGAAAAGTCCATTGACTTTATTAAAAATTCATGCAGTAAAAAAGTCCACCACAATCCATATTCTATACACTCTCTTAAATGAGTCTGTAGACCGTTGGAGAGGCGGTGCAATGCCTTTGGGGAAGCTTGCGTGCGACTTTAATAGGATATGGAAGTGGTTAAGACGGTCTTCAACTTACATGGGTTTGACGAAGATGTGCAGATGGTAGGCGAAGGAAGGTAGAGCGCAGTTAAGGCAAGGAGTAAAGAAGGTCAGCGTTTTCAAAATTGCGAGAACATCTAGAAGTCGCTTTTCCATTTCAGAAGGAAAAGACGAGACATGTTTTTTTTTTTGCTTTTGGAGAACAATTAGATAAACACGTTTTCTAATTTTTCAATCTTGAGTTTAAAAGAACAGAAAATATGTTCTCTCAGTAAACATGCCCTTATGATTTAGGTTATTCAAATAACTCGGTCATACTCAATCACTTTCACCATAATAACCATGTAACCTAGGGGTGGGCATAAATAACCATAACCGATTAACCGTTCAAAAAAACCAAAAAATCGGTGTTTTTTCGGTTAATCATACCGCATTTTTAAAAATCTCACGGTACGGTTAACCAACCGGAAAAGAAAACGGTGCATGGTACGGTTATGGTTTTGAAATAAAACTACACCGGTTAATCGATAATCCAAATTTACGATATTACTTTCAAATTTTGTTGTGAAAGATCCAGGTGGAATGAAAAAGAATCGACGGTCACAAACTGTATCAAACTAGCTAACGACGAATCGATGGATACAGACTCTATCTGACTAATACATACATAGTATATTCTAAATAGAAATATAGAATAATACAACAATTGTAAAATAACCTATTAAATTTTTTATATTTGCAAAACACTCCAATATTTTATTTTATGTATAAAAGTTACAAATAAGGCATACTCCGTATTTATTTATTCTTGAGAAGAAAATTGAATAGTAGCAGTTTAGTGGAGGCGGCATATTTTTAGGAGTGCTAGACTGCTAGACTGCTAGTATGTATATTACGAGTATAAGTAGTCCGTAATCCACATATATACTTTCCTTTCTTTGTAGGCATTTCCTGGATCCAGAAATTCGTGGTATAACTCGTTAAAAGTTAGTTTTTTCATATGGTTTTTTGGTTAACCATTTAATGGTTAACCTATATTACGGTAAAATATTACCCGGTTAACCAATGCTATGGTACGATTAATGTTATTATAAACATAATAACCGAAGTCACGGTTAACCGAAATATAATTTGATGTAACCAATGTTTAAGTCGGTCTATAATTTGATGTAACCCCCCCCCAATCATCATCATATGGGTAATAAATTAGTGTATTTTATTGGATTAAAAAGAGGTCATCCAACTCTAGACTTAATGACCAGTCAACATCCAAGGACTTTCCACGTCAGCGTCCATAATAAAGAAAGCATTTCACCGTAGGGGGGACTAAAGGGCAAGGTGGGCACTTCACAAAGATGGGTGATGTTCAGCGTGAAGTCCTCAACGACCCACCCGCCTATATAACCGTGCCCTGGTCCGGTCTCGCGAGTGTGGACTCTCTTTTCGCAGGGTTTCTTTTGTTATCCTCTTTTTGGTTTCTCTCTCTAGAAAAGTTAAAGCCTCCTGTCATCTACCCTACACACTATCAACCATCAACTGTTTGGAGTGATCGCTTGCCCTTGAGGTCAGTGACGGGCTCTTCTTCTGGCTAGGGTTTGTGGTTCAAGTTTTTTTGCGTGTTTTCCTGCGACATCAATGCTTTGATCTGGTTCCGTCTGCTAGATCTGTGTGTTTTTGCTAGGTTTCTGTTGATTTTTTCTGAGTTTGCTTCAGACACTCATCCTTCGTTGTGCTATTTTTTGTCTACGATTGCCTTGCCTCTTTCATCGAGCATATATTTAGATCTCTTTGCTTTTGTTTTGCTGGATCTGAGTAGGGATTTCTGGCATTCCGTTGTTGATCTGTCTTGTACATGTTGTTTGTTTGAGCGTGCGATATGTTCCGTTTGTATATGTTGTTTGCTTGAGCGTGCGATATGTTTCGTTTGTATATGTTGTTTGCTTGAGCGTGCGATATGTTTCGTGCTATCTTTGTTGAGTTGTTTATCGACGAGTACACAAATCTAAAACGCATGATAGTGTTTTATTCCGTTTTAGTTTAAAATGAATCTTCTGTATCAAAGCACAACTTGAATAATCCATTAGGATATGATTTTATATCCCTGCTCTCAGTCCGATTGTATTATTGCTTAACTTAGTTAGTGTTAAACGTTTGTGTTCTATATTATTTGCATCACTTGTTGTGGTACTTAATGCTGTGATGGACAGCAAGGGGCCCATGCATTTTAATGGGCTTAACGCTATGGTTCTAACAGAGTAACTTGTCTGTTTGAGTGAAGGCTCAGCTTTTCAATGTATTCATGTTTATTGCATGAAAAGTTGCTGCGATTGCACATTTGAAACAGTATACAGTCATTTATGTGGCGTGACAATAGAAGAAACAGTTTATAATAATAATAATTATATTATATTCTTGTAGAAAAAATGGTAAGAAAAAGGAGGACTGAGCATTCTGGTGGGGAGGAGTCTTCAGCTTCCCAGGAGTCTGGAGCAGTACAAGGTGGTGCCCAACGTCCACCACAGCAGCAGCAGGAAGGAGCAGGGAGAGGAGGCTGGGCACCTCAGCGTGGAGGTTATGGTGGCCAAGGTGGTGGACCACCACGGGGTGGAATGGCTCCACCGCAGTCGTATGGACAACCTGGGCATGGTGGTCCAAGTGGTGGACCACCACGGGGTGGGATGACTCCCCAACAGTCATATGGGCAGCCTGGTTATGGTCGTCAAGCTGGTGGACCTCCCCGGGGAGGAATGACTCCCCAGCAGTCATATGGGCAGTCTGGGTATGGTGGCCAAGGCGGTGGACCTTCACGGGGTGCAATGACTCCCCAGCAGTCATATGGACATCCTGATCATCAGCATGGTAGGGATCCACAATATCAGCATGCAGGGCCCCCACCCCAGCGTCGTGGTGGCATAGGTGGTCGTGGGCCAGCTTCTGGTGGTTTGCATACTAGCCCCCCTGTTTCCGAGCTGCACCAAGCAACACAGCCTCCACAGCAAGCAATTCTATCTATGCCCACATCATATCCCAGGCAAGGAGAAACTGAAGAGGCTGGTAGTTCTTTATCTATCCAACATGAGCCTGCACAATTGTCCCAGCAATTGGAAAAGCTTACTGTGCAACCTGAAGTTGCACCTGGCCAAGCTATCCAACCTGCATCCAGCAAAGCAATGAGATTTCCTCTTCGACCAGGTCCTGGACAGATGGGTATGAAATGCATAGTAAAGGCCAATCACTTCTTTGCTGAGCTACCTGATAAGGACTTGCACCAGTATGATGTAAGCATTCTTTGACTTAGTCTATAAGACTATAACTGACCTCTGCTTTGTTATATTTGCCTGTAATTTATTCGCAATATTCAATGCCAGGTTTCTGTCACACCTGAAGTTGCTTCTCGGGGTGTTAATCGTGCTGTGATGGATCAGTTAGTCAAACTCTATAGGGAATCTCATCTAGGAAGGAGGCTTCCGGCATATGATGGAAGAAAGAGCTTGTACACTGCTGGGCCACTCCCTTTTGTTTCTAAAGAGTTCAAGATCATCCTAGCTGATGAAGATGACCGACCAGGTGGTGCCAGGTACAAACTGTATACTCCTTTGGATGTGTTTTTAGTCTAGCAGACAACTTTGCATATATCTTTTCAAATGCCTTATTCTTATTATTTTCTCAAATGCAGGCGAGAAAAGGAATTTAAAGTTGTCATTAAATTTGCATCTCGCGCTGATCTTCACCATTTGGGAATGTTTCTTCAAGGCAGGCAGGCTGATGCACCTCAGGAAGCACTTCAAGTTCTAGATATTGTGTTGCGGGAACTGCCCACATCTAGGTACGGTTAAAGAATGAAAGGATTTAATTGTTTATATTGTTCATCCATAAAGTTTCTTATATTTGTTTGCTACTTTACTCTCTTTTGGCTTTCTTTGGATTTTATTTAGGTACTCTCCAGTTGGCCGTTCTTTTTATTCCCCTAATTTAGGTAGGAAACAGCCATTGGGTGAAGGTCTAGAAAGCTGGCGGGGATTTTATCAAAGTATTCGCCCAACCCAGATGGGATTATCTCTGAATATAGGTGAGAAGATTCATGACATGCAGTATTTGAGTCACAAAATATATTTTTATATAGCTAAATTTGAAGTCTAAATAAACTCTCATTGCTGTTTTTCTCTTTCGTGTCCTATGCTCAAATCATTTTACTCTGGTTTTCATATATGAATTTGTTGTGCAGATATGTCATCCACCGCTTTTATTGAGCCACTACCTGTCATTGATTTTGTTATTCAGCTTCTGAATAGGGATGTTTTGTCTAGGCCTTTGTCTGATTCTGACAGAGTGAAGGTTAGATTTCTTAAGCAATATTGTTCTCTAACCAAAAATAATCCTTTGAAAAAACACTTATTCCTCAGTTACACATAACAGTATTGTAATAACCTGTTTTGGTTATTTGTCGTTTGTTTGGACATTGAATCACCTCATCTAGTTTTGATATTTCCACTTTCTATTGACCTTCAGATCAAGAAAGCCCTAAGGGGCGTGAAGGTGGAGGTAACACATCGTGGCAATATGCGGAGAAAGTATCGGATCTCTGGTTTGACATCACAAGCCACAAGAGAGTTGACGTATGTATTTTTTTAGATGTGTCTGTGGTTTCTTATGCTTGCTCAGTTATTAATTATACCCTCTGTAGTTTTCCTGTTGATGAGCTAGGAACAACAAAGTCTGTGATTGAATACTTCCGTGAAACATATGGTTTTATCATTCAACATACTCAGTGGCCATGCCTACAAGTCGGGAATCAACAAAGGGCAAATTACCTGCCGATGGAGGTTATTGAGTATTTCCATTACTGAATTTTGTTTTCAATCTGTTATAGGAGTTATGCCCTTGATATGCTTTAATAATTTCAGGTCTGCAAAATTGTTGAGGGACAACGGTATTCGAAGCGGTTAAATGAGAGACAGATTACTGCACTCCTTAAAGTAACATGCCAACGGCCAAAGGATAGAGAACAAGATATTCTTCAGGTGAGAAGTAACAGTTATTCTTTGGTGGAAAGTGTTACTAGTCCCTTGACTCATAGATAATAGAAGTGTATGGACTTATGGTGATGTATTTTTGGAAGTGTTTAGTTGATTAGTTGGTTAAACAAACAGGAATACAAAACTAAGAAAAGTTTTTTGCTGTGCTCAAAGTGTTTGGTCTCTTATAGCCTTGAATATTTTTTTGTCTGACCAATGCTGCACTAAATACTACCACTATTGTAAAAATTGACATACCTCTCATTTCCAGACTGTGAGACAAAACAATTATGCCAATGACCCATATGCGAAGGAGTTTGGAATTAAAATCAGTGAAAAGCTCGCTCAGGTTGAAGCTCGGATTTTACCTGCACCTAGGGTGAGTAAAGAGATTTATGGAGTATTTTTGTGATTGTTAGAAATTTGGTCAGATTTTACCTGCGCAAATTTTATGATTTCATCTGTTTAACCGGATTGCAGTTAAAATACTCTGATAGTGGTCGCGAGAAAGATGTCCTTCCTCAAGTTGGACAGTGGAACATGATGAACAAGGTAATAGCCAGTTTTATTTAGTTCAAATCAGTGTGAATTTTGACCTCTACTTGTAGTTTACTGTGCCTCACCTGCATGTGAATTTGCTGGAATCATCTGGTTGCTAATCCTTGTTATTTTTCTTTTACGTTTTTGCAGAAGATGGTTAATGGCGGAGTAGTGAACAATTGGTTTTGCATAAACTTTTCCCGCAATGTGCAGGATAGTGTTGCAAAAGGCTTTTGTTCTGAGCTTGCCCAAATGTGTCAAATATCTGGGATGGTAAGCGTGCTGCTCTGACATTCTATGGAGATATTTATCTGCTTCAGAAATTCCCACAACACTTACAAGACACTCTGTTTTTTTGAAGATGTTCAATCCCAATCCAGTTCTACCCGCAACCTCTGCTCGGCCAGATCAGGTCGAGAGAGCACTGAAAGCGAAGTATCATGATTGCATGACCAAACTACAAGGGAAGGAGCTTGATCTTCTAATTGTGATCCTTCCTGACAATAATGGGTCACTCTATGGTATAGTACTTTCATAATCCGTTTTTTTTTGTATTGCTCAATGCAGTGTCCTTGCTGAAACCTTATCAATAATGTTTTCAGGCGATTTAAAAAGGATATGCGAGACAGAGCTGGGAATTGTCTCACAATGCTGTTTGACCAAGCATGTTTTCAAAATGAGCAAACAGTACTTCGCAAATGTGGCATTGAAGATAAATGTTAAAGTTGGTGGTAGAAACACTGTCCTTGTGGATGCAATATCTAGGAGAATTCCCTTAGTCAGTGACCGTCCAACAATTATATTTGGTGCTGATGTTACACACCCTCACCCTGGAGAAGATTCAAGCCCTTCAATTGCAGCTGTATAATAAATATACTTCTTTCTTTTACTAGTTTCGAGTGCTGTTTTGTTTACAGAGTGTGTTTGAGTGTGTTACTTCAATCTTTGTTTCAGGTCGTTGCTTCTCAGGATTGGCCTGAAATTACCAAGTATGCTGGTTTAGTTTCTGCTCAAGCGCACAGGCAAGAGCTGATTGAAGACCTCTACAAAACATGGCAAGACCCTGTTAAAGGGAATCTAACTGGTGGCATGATAAAGTATGGCTCTTTCTTTGTGTATAATGATGAGTTATAGCACTTTATTTACAAGTCTTATATACTGTTTTGCTTTTGTTGGAAGCTTTTGATGTTTGAATCAATAATAATTAATACCTCAAAGGTCTACATTAATTTGTTCATGATGGTTGTATTCATTAAAACTTTTTCCTTCCAATTGCCATTCAGAGAATTGCTCATGTCCTTCCGCCGGGCTACTGGATATAAGCCCGAGAGAATTATATTCTACAGGTACTCTGAACGAGCCAAACATTTATACTAAAATTAAAAGAAAAAGCCCCTTGACATTCTCTACTGCTTGTTGTGCGCACCTTAATTTTTTTCTTGGTCGTTTTATTAGGGATGGGGTTAGTGAAGGACAGTTTTACCAAGTACTTCTCTTTGAGCTTGATGCAATTCGCAAGGTGATTACCTCTCAGTTGTTATCATTCTTATTGTTATTATCATCATCATCATCATTATTGTTGTTGTTGTTGTTGTTGTTATTATTATTATTCTTATTATTATTATTAGGGAAAATCACACTTTTAGTCCCTCAAATAGTCATCATATTGAAATGTCAGACCCATGTTCCTGAGTTTGTAAATGTCACCCCTCAAGTATCAAAATTGCAGTGAAATGTACAATCTGAGCGAGGAGTACATTTCACCCCTCAAAGGACCACATTTACATCAATTTGGACAATTGAAGGGACTAAATGTGTGATTTTCCCTTATTATTATTATTGCTGTTGTTATTGTTATTATTATTATTGTTATTCTTATTGTTATTATTATTATTTTGATAATAATAATTATTATTATTCTTGTTATTACTTTTTCTCAGAGCGCATCTAAAAAGAGGGAGACTCTTTACTTGTCTTTTTCATCGTCCGGGAAACTAATTTTTGACCTAATTTCAGGCATGTGCATCACTTGAACCGAACTATCAGCCCACTGTCACATTTGTTGTCGTCCAAAAAAGACACCACACTAGGTTGTTTGCCAACAACCACAATGACAGGAATACTGTTGATAGGAGTGGTAACATACTACCTGGTAAGTCTCATCTGACAATATCTCACCATACTACCATTCCACTGTCATATTTGTTATGGTCCGCGTTTCTTAAAGTGCACCCTTTACCTGGTCGCTGTTCACAGGTACAGTAGTGGACTCGAAGATCTGTCATCCGACTGAGTTTGACTTTTACCTCTGCAGTCATGCTGGTATACAGGTGAGAATTTGCCTGCTCTGTTATTGTTTCTTTTGTGTGCCTTAGGGGCTCTCAACGTAAGTGAGCAAGAGGAGAAAACATTTTATAATGCCCTGAACTCAGTTCTTGTCTTTTTTACCTACCAGGGTACTAGTCGCCCAGCACATTATCATGTCTTATGGGATGAAAACAAATTCAGTGCTGATGGTCTCCAGTCGTTGACTAATAATCTCTGCTATACGTAAGTGAATTGAAAATGTAATCGTAACTGCTATATTTACAGCTCTGACATTATGTCATTACAAGCTCTATTGATCTGATTGCTGTTGTTTCTAATGTTATCAGATATGCAAGGTGTACGCGGTCTGTATCTATTGGTATGTTTTATTTTTAATGTTCGTAACACTAAAAATAGTACTCCCTCCGTCCCTTAAAACTTTGCCATCTTTTCTTTTTGGGACGTCCCAAAAAACTTTGCCACTTTCCATTTTAATCAATTATTTGTGGTTTCTGTTATTTCTCTCTCCTCTGCACAAACCTCAATCACACAGTTTTTACTTTATTATTCTCCGTGCCAGTCAACTCTGGCAAAGTTTTAAGGGACAGAGGTAGTATTAGTAACATTACTCTTAGGAATGACTCGATATTAATTTTAATCAGCCTTAACCTTGTTTAAAAATAAGAGTTGTGTTTCTAGTACTAAAAATAGTATTACAAACATTACTCTTTTTTTGAAACATGGTCGTACTAATTTTCTTTTTAGCATTTTCACTTGTTTTAAGAAAGTACTGCTTACTTATAATGCCAAAAGTTGTTTGTACACATTATTTTGTTCGTGCCTAAGAAATGATCATTAATTAAAATGCCGAGGGTTCTGGTTCTGGTTTTTTGGCATTCATTGAAAATGGTGATGTTTATATTTGGAGTCTAATAGCAATCTGCACCATTATTTCTGGATGTATTTCTCTGATGGCATTTTAATGCCAAGTGAGTTCATTCAAAATTGCGTCATTGTTGAAATTTGTTTTACAGTTTCTTGGTGAATTTGATTTGTAAAGAAATGGACTAATTTTATTGAGGTGCATGGATATTATTATGTAGTTCCTCCAGCGTACTATGCACATCTAGCAGCTTTCAGAGCTAGATTCTACATGGATCCCGAAACATCTGACAGTGGGTCTATGACAAGTGGTGCTGTTGCTGGCCGTGGCGGTGGTGCCGGGAGAAATACCAGAGCACCAGGTTCTAGTGCATCGGTTAGGCCACTTCCTGATTTGAAGGACAATGTTAAGAAAGTAATGTTTTATTGTTAATTTGCTTCCTAACAATGAAGTTTGCCCAGAACACCTTTCGTTTTATGTTTGGCTTTTGCTAATTAGACTCGTTCTTGATGTGCTCCCTGGATATTCCCAGGAGTCATGCCGACTGTAGTTGGTATATAGGAATTGTGATACGTTTTCTGAATTGGTGTTGACTTTGTCTGGATTCTACATCATTTGTGCATTTGGTTTCTTTTTGTAGTCTTGGTTTGAATTTAGTTGTAAAATTATGTGAAGCTGTTTGTGGTATTATCTGAAATATGAAGATATCTCACAATTCACAACTCTGGGGGTTAATTTGGGGTTATATGACCACCCCCAGTCCCCCAATTCATTATCAGAGTAATTTTATCTCTTGAGTTGTGGTGGGTACTTTTTATTGTTAACAACTTAACAGGTTGATCAGGGAACTTGAGTTGAAAACATTAGACAGGTTCTCAAGTGGAATCAAAATTAGAGTGTTCTCTTACTTTTTCCTTCTCTTTATTTCCGTTCTCTTCCTTCACCTTGTTGTATACTTGTATGCCTCGTGCTTGTAACTGTTCTTTTCTCTTTGCACCTAGTTGAGTGCCACTAGGTCACTAGAACCACTACTCCAGACTCCAGTACTCCCCAACAATTTCACAACTTAGGGAACAATGAAGTTGCATCACACATTCACTGATTCACAGACACACCATACCATTGTTGTTCATACTGCTTATTACCGCCACTGAAATTGCAGCTTGAATCTAAAATGAGCTCTCCGTTGTCACTAGGATAACTTCTCCCCAACAACTTCACAACTTAGGGAACAATGAAGTTGCATCACATTCACACACCATACCAGTGTTGTCCCTTTTAAACCGGTATTGGAACTGAACGGGACGGTTCGAGACATTCCAAAAAATTGCAATGAAAAAAATACAGTTCCAAAAAGAAATTTCATAAAGAAATTTCATGACAAAAACTACAACACTAAAAATGCAACACATACAAAAATTTACGATAAATGCAACACAAAAAATAGTAGTTTAATAGGATAGTTACATGAAACAAACTGTAACAACAACAATTAACTCCAACACACACAATACTATTAAGAAACTACAAAAATAAATAAAAAGACAAACAATATTATTAGAAGTGAAACATATGAAGTATAGGTGAGTTTCTTTTTAGTATGTAGAAGATAGTTCATACTTGATATAGTTTAGACTCTTTTAGGTGTTTTACATATTAGATAACTAATACTTAATTAATATTAATATTCATTAGTATTTGAATTGATGGTAGACTCACTAACCCACAACTATATACTCCGTACAATTTTGAATTCGGGACAATGGGATGGAACGGGACATATTTTATTTGTCCCGGTCCCGTTTTGTTTTGAAACGGTTCGGGATCGGAACGGGACAAAAATAGTTTGTCCTGAATTTAACGGGACAATTTCGGAACGGAATCGGAACGTTCCGGAACACCACTGAAATTTCAGCTTGAATCTAAAGTGAGCTCTCCGTTGTCTACAGATGGACCAGCACTGATTGGACTGACCCGGTACCCGGTCTGGATAGCCATTGTGCAGTACCGGCCCGGTTGCCTGGGAGCAGTCCTTGGCCCCAAACTGGGAGTTTTGGGGCGGGTCATGGGCTGCAGCCCTCTTGGAACCGGCCCAGCCGATCCGGGCCCAAAAATGTTTTTTTTTTCAAATGGATTGGGTGGTAGGCAGGTCAGGCTGGTGGTTTGGGGTGTTTGTAGTGAGGGGTGGGGTAGGAATAAATAAGAAAAACAATTTTTATGTACGCTAGAAATTTCAAAAATTAAGGAAACCGGGGTGTAGGGTGGGGTGGGAGTAGGAAGTATCTTGGGCCATGGCGGGCTAGACCCGCTCCAAAATATGTCGGGCCAGGGTGGGCCAAGGCCTTGTACTAGAACCTACCTTGACCCCCAACTCCCAAATCCAGTCCTGCCCATGGCTTGACTCAGACCTTGTCCATCCCTATTGTTGCCTGTCCAAGTCTTATTGTGTGCCAAGTATATATATATATATTAGATTGAGATGAACGATGGATTGTCGATGTCTTCTTTATATATACTCCCTCTAATCTTAAATAAAGTTCAGTGTTTGACTCACACAAATTAAGGAAATAAATTTGACTTTACTGTAGAGTACATTGTTTGGCACTTTTTGACACTGTTTTGCATTGTTTTGCACTGTTTTGATGTAGATAATTTGCCAAATAAGAAAGGGATAAGAAGTGTAAACTTTATTTAAGACTGGAGGGAATAGCATTTTAGTACATATATTCAAGTGTTGATATATTACCCCAGCCTACCATTTTTCAGGAGCCCAAGACATTACTTGGCACGAAGCCCAATCATTGAGGCTCGTTTAGGCCCGTTTCGGCCATCCGGTCCACCTTGGCCCAAGAGGCCTGTCTAGGCCCGTTTGACCCTTTAGGGTAGAGTGCACCTCCTCCCTCTTTGTCTATAAATAGGAGAACTTCCCTCCTTATTGGGGATCCCTTCTCTTCTCCTCCCTCTCTCTAAATAGCTAGTCTAATACCTCATTAATGGGAGCTTGTATAATGTAAATGGTGAGGAGAACATTAATAAAATGAGCGGGTTTCGACATTCGCCTAAACAGTCCCGTGGTTTTCTCCCTTTCCGGTTTACACATAAAGATCGAGCGTTTATACCAAATTATATCTATGTCTATTATATCGTGTTGGATTAAACTCAACATCAAGTATTAAAATAATTAAATAGATTAACTATTCAAGTGAATCAAGTCTAAGTGATTTTTCCTTAACTTTTAAAATTTCTAGCGTATCTTGAATTTGATTTAATATATTAATTTTTAATAATTATATAAAGATAAACTTTATGTAGATTCAATTGGTAACATCTTCTCACAAATAAAAATACATACTAACTAATTAGGTTACGGCGGGGCGGGGCGGGGCGGATCCGCCTCGCATGGTGCGGGTTATGGGTCAACATGTTTGAACTCGTGCAGGTCATGGGGTGGGGCGGACCCGCCACGTCAAGTCACGGGGCGGGTCTGGATCTTGCAGTACCCGTGCCGACCTATTGCCATCCCTACCTTTTATCCTTGTCACCCTCTGGATTCACTCTCCTGGATGCACTCTCGCCGGCACCCCAAAGTTCTGAAAGAGGAGACTGAAGAGAGAAAGAAAGGCCTGACCGGCTGATCGGAACCCTAATCTATTTTAGGTAGTGACCAAGAAAGAAAAAAAATGAAATAAATGTAGGCGTGAAGTGTGCAACCAGGGAATGAAGAGATCGAGAAGAAACAAAGAGAAAAAAAGGAATAAGAAAATATCTGCCATAAGGATGGACCCGGACTCGGGCTGGTTCATGGCCTTCAATCCCCCCCCCCCCCCCCCCCCCCCATTTTAAGTTAAAAATTAATTTAAACATTATAAAAAGAGATGTATATTTATTTGAAACACTAGATTGTGGCTTGTATTTGTGACTTGTATTGACAACATATTTTCAAATTACAATTGAGAATAGTTTATACTTTAAAATTAAAGTACATGAATTAATCGTATTGGTCCGAATCGCCTCCGGCAGCGGTTGTCTTTTTTTCAATGAAATGGCGGGCCAGTGCTATGTTGATTTCTTGAGTTCTACAGTGAGTCTTCTACAAATCATGGAAGCAAATGACCGTCTCAGGAGACTTTGCACTCAACCTCGTTCTATAGTTGGTTGAAACGTTGCCGACTTTGTTAAACTCTTGTTCCACGACAACAATTGAAACTAGTAGCAACAACACTCGTTTGAAATTCGAGAATATCAAAGTCGCCCCCTTCATTATATTCAACATGAAATGTTAGATATAAACATAGCTTGTTAATCGAGATTTGTGCAACGATTAACAAAAAACGTGATATTGTTATTTACTTTTTTTGAAAAGACGATATATTGTTGATTTTAAAGAACTTTTTCCTTTAGATGAAGTAGCTGGTCTCGGGAGGAGGTACATTTACATTATCATATTATGCATAAAACTCATTAAATAAAGCGTGGAATAAATTACTAACCTTGTTGAATTGGGCTTGAGGATCTATAGCTTTTTCATCGTACAGAGGGAACGAACCGTATAAAGAAGTATAAAAATACTCTAAAAATGTTTGATAATTTGAAAGTTTGAAACGAGGATCAAGACAGAAAGCAATAGATTATATAGGTGAAATGTAAGCAAAATATTTTAAAAACTTTTCTTTCACGTGATCACAAAAATGATGAACATAAACGGATTGAGAAAATTCTACAAAAGCACGATGAGATTAACAGCTTCTATCGAAAATTGGTTACTAGTTGGTTTATACACATGAGAAAAAGTTTGAGTAGCGTTATTGAAATAAACTCAAACGTTGCTAATCTTCTCCATTGTGTCGATCTCAACCTATTCTATAATATAATTGCAACTTTCATTCATAAAAGTAGGAAAAAATGATCTATAAATCTAAGAAGCACAACAATAATTATAAGAACAATTCCAACGAATAGAAAGATCTTTAGGGAAAACACAATAACTTACACCTTTGGACCTCAAATAAGCATGTCATTGCATTTTGAGTTGAGTATTACCCAAAATCAATCTAAAAGCCCCCTTCACTTTGTTCATTGCGTTTCATAATGTGGCTAAACCGTCTTTCACACATAAATTAATACGGAGTAATATGACATGCACAAACTGATAAAAAAATCTACCCATCAAAGTAGAAGGATCACATAATTCACGTAATCTAGGTATAACAACAGTATTAATTATTAGTAGCATTATCAAAGTCAATAGCAACACCCAAATAATATCACTACAAACACTCATATGTCCATAAATTTTGAAAAATAATTAATTAAATTTTCCTGTTCCCAAAGATATTGTTTAATAACTTGTTTATTACTTGTTTTGCGGCTATAGTTTCTAAATTGTGGATTTCAAGAACCTTGAGCAAATTAAAAGGAAAGACTTTCAGAAAAAATAAAAGACAAAATTTCTCCACAAATTAACTCAGACATTGCTTTTAAATGTAACTCATCATTGTAAGAGAAATTACTGAAAGGTTGATCGTTTGCAAATCTCGATATTTGTGTTTGCACGCTCTTGCACTTCATTTTTTCCGCCTCCATGGGGTGCCTCAAGTTCAAGTGCCTTTGGACCGTGCTGTAGCCCGTCAAAACCCCATGCACACTATTTGCGAACAATGTTTGCAATGTGCGTATCACTTCCTGTCCATCGGATCCTTCACCTTTTCAAAATGATTTACAAAAAGAACAAATTTTGGTTTAGACTTACGTTTTTGGGCCGGTTGGGATGAACCGGCACCGCCTCCTTGAATTGGTCCTCATCGTCGGGGGTATCCCGACGCATTGTTCATCCTCATGGCCGCCGC